TTGGCCCAGCACTCTGCTTACTAGAAATACACACAAATACAATCATGAGAATTATACAAGAATACTTTTATTTCATTGCTAAATGCATATGTATAATGTATGCATTACCTGCTCTGCCGGTTGCTCTGGGGGAATCGGGGGATGAGTCACTGCTGTTTGGGTCAGCTTCAGGTTCCCATAGCTCTGAAGAGCCTGTATCCGACGAGGAACTTTCTCTGGACCAACGTGGACCACTGGAACTGCGTGCGGCGGCTCTGGAGCGACGTGCGCGGCAAGGACTCCCGCCAACGGCCAGATGTTTAGACTTAGCTTTAGCCGTAGCCTCAGGCTTTTTGCCAACTGAAGGCCGAGGCAGATCACCTCCACCTTCCTCATGGCCATCACCCACCGACCTTCTGATGGTACCACCAGCACCAAACGCCTCCTCCATCGTTAGCTGCCGCTTTCTGCTCATATTCGCTCTCCCGATTACTCTCTTGTGCTCACTCTAACCAACCTACTCCCACAATGAGATCTGGGCTTCCGGTTCCTTTTATGCCTGATCGAAGAGCTAAAGGAGGCTACTGACATCTGCTGGCCGAATAAAATACTGTCAAACAGTCCCGATCAGAGATATATGACAGAATGGATGCGTCTGGATCTGAATACACCAAAACACGTCAATTGCATAAAATGCGTCAATGGCACACAAGCATAGATCTTGAATTGACGTAATATGCGCCATTGGCACTGAAAGAGTTAAGTCATTCAGTGCAGCTGTACAGTCAGCCCGAGGATGAATATATACAGCGCATAAGAAAATCACTGAGAATTCTCGGGGAAGATAGAACGGGCGGCATCTCAAAACCAGACACTCCAGGTTAGCAGAGCATGTTTTGTTTACAATACAACTGTCAGTGCACCAGCGCTGGTTAATTAAAAGACACACACCTCCGCCTTTCGATTTCCCCGTGCTCTCCTTCTCTCTGTCCGAGCGGAAAATGGCGAATCCCGGCGGCTGAACAGCTGAGTCCGGGATATTCGGATGCAGCCACGTCTCGCTGAGGCAGTACACTGCGCAGTCCCGAGCCTCGTGCTGGTACTGGATTCGGCTCAGGAGATCATCCGACTTGTTCGGGAGAGACTGAACGTTCGCCAGGTAAATGGGTGGCAGTGGGACCCTGGGGGCGCGACTCCACACGAGAAGCCCGCCTCGCTTTCCCCGGTGTCTGCGCTTCCTCCGTCGGCGAGAGACACCCGGCTCCGCACGGTGGTGAACACGGGGAGGCGCCCGGCCTCATCGCCCTGTTCCCCGTCTCTGTCGCGGTCCGCACGCCGCTCTCCTCGAGCGGGGGACTCGTCAAAGCCATCGCACCTCAGAGCAGGCAACACTGGCTCACAAGCCAAGTCCCGTATGTCCAGAAGAGTCTGTCGATCGTATACCACAGTGGCAAGTGTTTTGTGAAAGGATAAAAACAGCATAAAAATCACGGTGCACAACGGAGCTCTTGCCGCGGCGCCCTGGCACGGCGCCATCTTGTCTTGTCTTAATCAACAAGGAAACTGAAACTGGCTCTCATGCACGCCAGATGGGCATTTGTTTCACTTTATAATTGCTCATAAAGCTGGACTTTACCTTGCGAATTGGATTCTAGAAAATATCACAGTATAAAACCAGGACCACAGAGAACGCTAAACCACAATTGTTTAGGCACAAAATGGTGAGTGTGACACAAACTATTTCTGCTAGAGTTTATTGTGGGAACTTACTTATGTAAGCCAGATTTAGTTGTATCAAAACTTGGCCCAATACCAACCTAGTGGGTTGGTATTGTCCATCTGTATCAAGCCCCGGCGATCAAAGATTGCAGCATATTCAAATCAATGGCTTGAGCTCAGTGGTGCACGGGCCACCGTGCACACAGAAGGATTAGCGCATCTTGCCCATATATGGACATTTTCTCTGGTCTTCCTGGTTTTCCGAAGTGGATGACCTTCCATGATGCTTTGCGCCTAAATCTCACAATGATGCGTGTGTGGCTCTCATGCACGTGCACAGAGGAGCACAGCAGTATTTTGAGGTGGGGGGGGGAGCAGAGTTTGTAGAACTAAAGCAGTGGTTCTTAACCTTGTTGGAGACACCGAACCCCACCAGTTTCATATGCACATTCACTGAACCCCTATTTTAGTGAAAAAAACTAAAATAAAATTTCAAATCAATTTCAAGTGATGGCACACTGAGGTTTTCATTCCCAGACTGTTTCAAATGTGTCAAAGCCTCTGAACTAGCTTAGACTAGCTTGTAACACTGACATCTAGTGGACAAATATAACAATTGCAGCTTCAGAAGAGCAGAACTTGATTCATGTTCCAAATGTAGTTTCAAATTCTTACCGTTCTCGCATATAACAGTATAACAGAGAGCATCTTACTGCAGCAGGACATGGGTATATTGAATAAAAGTTTGTTTACATCTCTCGCAAAACAAAATACAGAAAGAAAGGAACTGCGCTTTATGCAGATCACAGGTTTTTATTCAAGTTTTTCAACAGTTGTCAGTTTCAGCCGGCTTCTTGTTTGGCACCAGCTCTGCTAAATCCCTGAGACCGGTGTTCTGTCGAGTTGGTCTGCCCGTCGAGATGATCTGCCTCAGCTGTTAATGATGTAATGCAAACCTGCGCTGCGCGTCTCACGGCAGCCGAAGCAAACCAAGATGGCGGACATGTAGTCCGCAAATTGCTTTAACAGTTAAAATACAAAAGAATTAAGACACAAATGTCACTTTTAATGCAATTTGAGGCAAGATGTTGATGGTTCCTTGTTGTGATATGTGGGTTTTAAGAGTTAGAGTTTTGTTTAAAGTTTGTTTTAAGCAGTCCACTGCTCCTGTGAAACCACACTGCTACTGTAACCCAAATCTGACTTGCGCATGCGCAGAAACCCGCCAGAATGGGGAAAAAACTCGATCGAATTAAATATTTCGTTTGAACACACTATTGTGAATCATATTGAATACAGTATGATACATGCATTAAATGTAATTTATTATTTCCATTATCAACCCGACAGACCAGTCACAGGACGCGTCATGGGTCTACGTTAGTAAAATGACGTATGCAGCAGTCAGGGACTGCTATCACACAGCAGCAGTGTAGTTTCACAGGAACAGTGCTTAAAACAAAATTTATACGAAACTCTTACTCTTAAAACACACATTTCACAACGCGGAACAATCAACATCTCGCCTCTAATTGCATTAAAAGTGACATTTGTGTCTTAATTTGTTTGTATTTAACTGTTAAAGCAATTCACGGACTGCATGTCCGCCATCTTGGATTGCTTCGGCTGCCGTGAGACACGCATGCGCAGGTTTGCATTACATAATTAACAGCTGAGGCAGATCATCTAGACGGGCAGACCAACTTGACAGAACACCGGCTCACCGAACCCCAAGGGTTCGATCGAACCCAGGTTAAAGAAGCTATACCCGATTTTTTTTCTAAGTAGTTCATAAAAATGCTTTTTACTACATACAAGTTGTATCATAATACATCATTTAATTGAAAACTTGAGGTCATTGATTCCACTGTGTATGAAATTCAGGCAGTGAAATGTGCTGAGTAGAGTCTGAGCGGGCCGCTCGTTCTCCTCCGCTCACAGAACAAGGAGCGACCAGCCTGCGTCCTCTAGCCTCTACAGCGCTGCTTAACACCAGGGCTTCCACTTCAAAATTCGAATATAATTCTAAAATAAAAAATATATACATATTTGAACAAATATTAGACAACCCTTATAATTAGAAATGTATTTAATGACTGCAAATAAAATAGTTAGCTCCCAAAGGTTTCACCGGGACGTGCTAGGCAGGTAACAGCTAAGCTAGCTAGCTGTTTCATGGTAACTTCCGGGTTTTTCGCGATCGCTTTTTGTCACTTTAAAACAGTATTTTTGTCATGAAAACGTTGACAGCAAATTCTGAAATCGTCCGTGCATGTGTGTTAAGGATGTATCTGTATACTGTATTGTCCGATTGACGTTTAATGGTGTTGATTGATATGTATTTGTTTATTGAGCGTGGCTAGCTCCGCTAGCTTCTCTACACAGACAAGTGTGCAGATAAACTGCACAGTGTAGTGACAGGCGCTGATAGCTTGTTGTACTTGCAGAGTAATGGCAGTATTTTACACACCTGAATTACAAACAGATTGCATTGGGGCTGCGGTCATTATTGGTTTGAGAGTTCTGTTATCAAGAAAAAATGATCGGAAGAATTGCATTCAAGTCAATGGAGTGCTGCTGCTGTGAGGAGCTGTATAATAAATTATAATTATATATTAGAATATATTCTAATGTTTAAATTAATACATCCGGACGCGAAACGTATTCTTTTACTTATATATTGTGTTAGCAGTGCATTGCTTTAGTGCCATTTCATCAGTGATTGTTGCACAGCTTACAAGTTACGCTAATGCTAATGTTAGAATACGTATCAGATCGCAAATAAAACTAGGTGGCTCCGTGTTATGAGAGCGCAGGTGAAATGAGAAGCCTGTGAGCGAGCTGGGGGGCGGTGCTAAACATTCAAACATTGCAGAAACGGGTATAGCGCCTTTAAGAACCACTGCACTAAAGTGTTTATTTAAATAAAACTGGTGGATTTAACAGGAAAAAAGTTCAGGAGGACAAGGGACACAATAATCCCTACCTACAGACTTTATGAATGCTGTAGGTTCCCTGTCAGCTGAGATGGAGAAAAATTCTGGGTATCCCACATGGTTTTAGTCTGCAGTCCAGGGACATGAGATGGGCCCTTCAGCTATAAGCTAGTAATACCCTATCCAGTTATTATCATAGATCCATGATCTTTATACAGTCTATAACTCTCTCTTTACGTGGTCTTCATTTTGGTCCATCCCATCTCTAACCGGGCTCTGCTTTAAGCGGCCATCTCTCTGATCTCTCTCTGCTTCAGGTGGCTTCTTCTCTCGTCTCTCCCATCTTCACCTTTTCTGTCTCTTTAGGTGGGCTTTCACCCTCATCATCATCTCCTCCTATACTGCAAACCTGGCCGCCTTCCTCACGGTGCAGAGGATGGAGGTCCCGATTGAGTCCGCGGACGACCTGGCGGACCAGACTAACATCCAGTACGGGACCATCCATGGAGGCTCCACCATGACATTCTTCATGGTAACTCATTTACTGTGTTAATTTATATGTATAGCCATGTGAGGAATTTGGAGACATTACACTCATACCCAAACTGAACACCAGGTGCTACAGTGGGGCGGCTACGGCTGCAAAGTGCCAAACTGTCGTTGTATGCTTAGGCAAGACAATTAAACCACATTGCTGGTGGAGTCTGGTGTGTGCATGAATGGTTGGTAGTGGTCAAAGGGGGCGATGGCACATACTGGTTCCCTCGCTTCTGTCAGTGTGCCCCAGGGCAGCTGTGACTACAGCAGTAGTTTATTCCCCTCAATGTATGGGGTGAATAAATATTGACATGTGAAGCATCTTTGAGTGTCTAAAAAAGTGCTATATAAAACCGATACATTATTATTATTAACATTATTATTATTATAACATGCAAACTCCTCACAAGGACCTTCTTGCTGAGAAACATAAGGCATGCATATGTGACGATGAAAACTTAAACTGACTTAGTGGAAGTTGTCAAGAATTATAACCACAAATACAACATATAATAAGAAGCAATAATAATAAATGGCGCCTTTAGAATAACATAAAAATATACCCCAAAATCATATACTAATGAGTGCACTCAAGATTGAAATGTTTCTTTCCAAGTTAAAATATGTTTGGCTGTCAAGGTCCTACCGGGGCCGCTAACCCATTTGGTTAGTGATAGTGTTGATCGAGTTCCAATGTTCAGTTGGGGTGGCTTGTGATGTCAAGGTGCTGAGTCTCAGCGCACGTGCAGATGACTGCCAATTTTCTTTTGTTCTTTCATGGAACAGTGTCAGAGATCAGCGTCCAGTGTGAATTTTAGGGCTTTTCTGTGGTCAATCAGCTGTCAACTTCAACTCCAGGTCGCTGGCAGGACTCCTCTTTAGGCTTGGATTGATGTAGATTTTTCTCAGGTTTTCTCGTTTAATTTTCTCTAAAATGTGTAATTGTTCAACTTCAGACCAAAAAGAGAGATACAAGAGGGAAACCAGAGGTGGAGACTAGAGTGAAAGAGCAAAGAGAGACCAGAGAGAGAAAGCAGAAGGAGAAAAAATAATTGAGACCACAATTGATATCTCCTGAGAAAGATGATGTGAAACTTTGTGTCAGCTTTTGTTTCAATTGGATTGTTCCAGGTTTGACAGAAAAAATTGCTCCAAATTAAATCTGACTTTTTGCAGTTACCATAGTTACCAGGGCATTGGCTGGCGGCTCTCATTGCCACCCCCCCAAACCAGATGAATGAATCAATAGCTACCAGGAGAGATGTTTCAGTTGTGCTTCTCCACATTGCAAAGCTCTTTGGGACATGCCGATGTCACATGAACACAACACATACATAATAATCCCATATTTTCTGGTTGTATATAACAGGCCTGAATAACACATGTTCCTGTGTATTTCTGCAGAACTCGCGATACCAAACCTACCAGCGTATGTGGAACTACATGTACTCCAAACAGCCCAGTGTGTTTGTGAAGAGCACAGAGGAGGGCATCGCTCGTGTCCTCAACTCCAAGTACGCCTTCCTGATGGAGAGCACCATGAACGAGTACTACCGCACCTCCAACTGCAACCTGACGCAGATTGGCGGACTGCTGGACACCAAGGGCTACGGGATTGGCATGCCCCTAGGTCAGTGGTAAAACAGAGACAGTATAGAATCTGTTGAAGCTGAATCACACATGTAGTTTTTCCAACAGAAAGAGTCTTGGAAAATATTAGTAAAACATATTTATATTTTGTGTAAGAAAGAGACCTATGAGTCACTATTTGACTCCTTGGGCTGAGAGCCAATTGGCTGAGTGAAGGTGGTACTCTATTTTTAATATTTTTCTGCCTGAAAAAGCACCGTTCTGAAATGAAAACCTGTAGCCACACTGCCCTTTGAGTGTAATACCCCTGGTCGACATGCTCCTGTCTCTCACTCATCCTTATTATCCTGGTCAGAGCTGTTTTCTGCCTTTTGAAAGAAAAGTTATTCCTCTAAATTAGTTTTTATATCCATTCTGAGATAAGGTGGTTAACCTGTTGATACAGTATAAACACACCGCTGTAATAGAAATAAAAGAACCTAAAATCAGAAATACCCAGGGCGGGCCGTGCATTTCAGACCTGCGCCTGCAGTGATGTCCTAACCCAGCGATCTCCAACCCCCCCCAACTCTATCTTTGCTGCTGTGACCTGAAGGCCTGTGGCTGATTAATACTATTATTAGCTTTTTGGAATTATCACTTTTTTTTTTGCTGCTACTGGCAGAGGTGGGACCAAGTCATTGCTTTGCAAGTCACAAGTTAGTCTAAAGTCTTTGCATTCAAGTCCCGAGTCAAGTCCCGAGTCAAGACCAACAAGTCTCAAGTCAAGTCCCAAGTTCTATTGTTTGAGTTTCAAGTCCTTTCGAGTCCTTTTAACAACAGAGAAATAATATTTAAATAGATCATGTATGCCTTTAAGATTTGTAAATGTTTATCAAACCTTTTTTTTGTAAGAACATTGTTCAAACACTCATTTGACTCAAACATTCACCACTTTATAAAAAATATCCTCACACACAAAATAAAATAAAATAAATAAAAAATAAATTTAATTAAATAGTCCACTGATAGGGGCATACATCCATGCTGGTATCAGTTCAGGTTGCTGCCTTGATAAACAGTGGCATGCATCCACAGGTGTGTGACTGGCAGGACCCTCGCAAGGGGGGGGCGAGGCCCTACTCTGACACTTTATCTCATAGATCTAAGGAAAGTTTTCCCTGTTATAATATTTGACGTGAATTCAGCACCGCCTCGCGTGGTGCATGAAGAGAAACAGCACGCGCACAACCCCGTGTCCTCGCTCCAATGCAGCTTTGGGCGCACGTATGCACGCACACAGACACGAACACGAACACACTGTTGTTGGTCGTGGTCTCTGACATGGCTCTTTCGTCCTGTGGCAAAATGGCATAGCAACTCAAAAGATTGAGCCAAAAGGAGTCTTCTTCTTCTTCTAATAGTTAAATTAGTCAATATTTGTTGTATTTTTTTCCCCATCAAGTAACGTTTTTGCCATAGCCTCCACACACTCTGGCCACAACTAGGTTACGCATGCGCAAGATGGCGGACGCATTTGTTTGGAGCCTTTTTTGAGCTGCACGTTTTTTATGATTTATTTTTAAACTAAGTTTCTTTTACTGGTTTTATTTGCCCTGCTCGACGGAGTAAGCGGATTTTAACAGCCTGCATCAAAAAGGATTACTGTCACTTTTAACTGGACTGTTTATCAGCCCTTTACCGGTAACCAGCCTGCCCACACACATCACCATGGACACCGATGCTCCCCCCGCGAACTCATACAAACAGATATACAAATCACAACTGGCTTCAATCCTCCCATCCAAACCTGTTAACACCATGACCCCTGAGGAACTTCAGCGCACTGTCAAAGAACTATCCACCGAACTCATACATAAAGAGAAACTTCTGGAACATTTCATGGACATATCATTCAAACAGTCACAGCAAATATCCCTCTCCGTACTTAGACACTCACAGCTCCACGACACTGCACTCTGGGATCCAATCGCCTGTCCTCACCCCTCATCATGCTCTACCTCGGTGCTTACCTCACGCTCCCCGGTTGCAGCTGCTCCTCCTGTCCCTCTTGGTGCTCTTCCCTCATCCTCAGTCCCGGAGCCCGCTGCCCATACCCAGAGCGGCGTGGAGCAGAGGCCTGGAGGCCACACGACATCCACGGCGTCCTCGCGCCGCAGGTTGGTGGAGGAGGCTGTGCGCAGACGCTCGGGGAGCTTCCCACGCTCTCAAACAGCGCGGGGCTCTCCGGGTGTCACGCAGGACCAACTGCGGGAAGCCCCGGGGCGATCTCTGTGCCCCGACGCGGCACCGGATACCCCCGGGAGCGCTGTCCCTGCTGTGGGAGGGTCCGTGCGCTCTGACGCGGAGGGAATCCCCAGAGGCGAGACACAAAGCAGGTCCTACGCTGAGGTGGCCGCGGGGGGACCTCTGCGCCCTGGCACGGCGTGGAGTCCTCCCGTAGACGCTGCATCGCTCGCGGGGGGGTCCCTGCGCCGTGCCGCGGCGCAGAGTCCTCCCGTAGTTGCTGCCTCGCCCGCGGGGGGGTCTCTGCGCTTTATCTCAGCGCGGAGCTCCCCCGCGGAGGTTGTCTCGCCTGCTGGAGGATCTCTCCGCCCGGTGCATGGCCCTCCCACAACCGCCCGCACTGCCACCACCACCAACCCCGCTGCAGGGGCGCCGGTTCGGTCTCCGGCTCCCTCCTCCTGCTCCACTGCAGCTCACGGGGCTCGCAGCAGCTCTGCTCCGGGCGCATCCCAACGCTCTCCTGTCCCCTGCTCTCCCCCGGGCCCTACTCCAGTCACACCCTCCCCTCCACGACCTCTGTTTGCACCAACTACACTCCTGGTGGGAGATTCTATCATCAAACACTGTAAGTTCTTCAATGCCATCACGCACTGCTTTCCCGGAGCCACTGTCCCTACCATCCTCACTAAACTACCCGCACTTCTACAGACAGCACCCCCCACAATAACCCGGATCATAATTCATGTTGGTACAAATGATGCTGCACTCCGCCAATCTGAAATCACCAAACTCCATTTTAAGGACCTTTTTAACCTTTTATCAAAAACCGGAAAAAGTGTTTTTATCTCTGGCCCTCTGCCCACGTTGAACCGGGGCGTGGAACGTTTTAGCAGGATACTATCACTCAACACTTGGCTTCAAAAATCATCACAGCAGCACAACTTTGGTTTTATTGACAATTTTAATTTGTTCTGGAACCGCCACCCCTTCTTCACACCCGATGGACTCCATATCAATAAACTCGGCACCCGGTACCTGATTTCAAACATCACCCACTCAGTTCAATCCCGTCCCCCGCACCTCTGACAACCCATCACTCCATCCCACATCATTCCTGCCCCGCTGGACTCCAACATCAGTCCCTGCCCCCCCCCCCAACAAGGAATTTCAGTTCTGTCCAGACCCCGCCCCTACAGACCGTCCATACTCCGGAAACCGTCCCTCAACACCCTCATCCCTGTTGCCCTTTGCTCCTCCACATCATCTTCTCCCCTCACTACAAACAAAAATGACTCTCCATCCACCATCAGGTTTGCTCTTTTAAATGTACGCTCTCTTTTAAATAGAACTTTTATCATTAATGATTTGATTTTACAACACAAACTGGATGCTATGTTTTTAACTGAGACCTGGCTGGGTCCGGATGCTCCGGCTGTTCTCACAGAGGCCTCCCCTCCCGATTTTAGCTTTGCTTTTAAAACAAGAGAAGGAAGAAGAGGTGGTGGCACAGCCTCAATTTGGAAAAACACCCTGGCCACCAAAACCATTAATTTTAACCAATACTCAAGTTTTGAGTATCATGCCCTTGTTTTTAGCAGCCCCGAAATTTTAGCAGTAACCATCTATCGGCCACCAAAAAAGTGCAGCCGTTTTATCAATGAATTTTCAGAGTTTTTATCTTTTTTATACAATTCCTATAATAGGATTGTTTTAACCGGTGATTTTAACATCCACTTTGACAACCCATCAGACCATTTTACCTGCGAGTTTGTAAGTATTTTAAATTACATGGATTTTACTCAACATGTCACACAGCCGACGCACAACAGAGGGCACACCCTCGACCTGGTCATTACTTATGGCCTGAGTGCGGGTGTGTCCTCTGTTGTTGACCTGGCTATCTCTGACCACTATTGTGTGTTTTTTAAAATCACTGGTTTTGTTAAACAGGAGACCTCTGTGAGAACTGTGAAGAAACGACGTCTAACCCCTGAAGTGGCTGCAAATTTTATGGACATTCTAAATAACACTCCTCAGTTGGTTTTACCTGCCCCCTGTGATTTTATAGCAGATGATTTTAACAGTAGACTAAGAACTACACTGGATCAGGTTGCTCCATTAAAAATTGTAACCATTCAACAAAAATCTATAGCCCCTTGGAAAAATGAGGAAGCAAGGAGTATGAAAAGACAGTGCAGGGTGGCAGAGCGAAGATGGAGAAAAAATAAAACGACAATCAATCACGAAATATATAAAAACCGACAGCAAATTTACAACAACACAATCAGGAAAAACAGGAACAATTACTTTGCAAAACTAATCAGCCAGAACAAAAATAATCCAAAAATCCTCTTTTCAACCATCGACACCATTTTAAACCCTGATTTTAGCATGTCTCTTTTAACCCCCACAGACTCCCTCTGTGAGGATTTTGCAGTCCACTTCATGGGGAAGATAAATACAATCAGATGTAACATTTTATCCAACCGCACAACTGTTTTTAACACATCTGATTGTTTGTCTTCACCAGAGGAAACACTGGACAGTTTTGTCCTGGTTGATGCTGAGATGCTTGATAAAGTTTTCTCCTCAGTGAGGCCCACCACATGTCTTTTAGATCCAGTCCCCACTCCATTTTTTAAGTCATTTTATGAATCTTTTAGAGAGGAGCTTTTAAACCTGATGAATTGCTCTCTTCAGACTGGGGTCTTTCCTGCAGCCTTCAAAGCGGCTGTGGTGAGGCCCCTTCTGAAGAAGAGCAATTTGGATTTTAATGATTTTAACAACTACAGACCGGTATCCAACCTACCATTTTTAAGCAAAATTTTAGAAAAACTTGTTTTTACCCAGCTCAATGCCTTTTTAGATCAGCAGCAAATTTTAGAGAAATTTCAATCAGGATTTAGGGTGAACCACAGCACAGAGACTGCTCTTTTAAAGATTTTAAATGATTTTAGACTAAATTATGATTCTAAAAAGGTGACCGTGTTGGTTCTACTGGATCTTAGCGCTGCCTTCGACACAGTAGACCACACCATTCTTTTATCACGCCTACAACACCTCGGCCTCTCTGGTGCTGTCCACAAATGGTTCACTTCTTATTTAACAGACAGATCCTTCATGGTAAGTTTGGATACCTGCTCCTCTCAGGTCCATAAAATCACATGTGGTGTGCCCCAGGGTTCCATTTTAGGTCCAGTCCTTTTTAACCTGTACATGCTCCCTCTTGGCGGTGTCATCAGGAGACATGGAATTGACTTCCACAGTTATGCAGATGATACACAGCTGTACATCTCCATGTCTCCTGACGACACCAGGCCAATGGATGCTCTTTTTAACTGCATTTTAGACCTGAAATCCTGGATGGCAGAAAACTTTCTCCAGCTCAACCAGGACAAAACTGAGGTTTTAGTCATCGGTCCTGAGGCCCAGAGAGAGAAACTTTTACCGAAACTCCAATCACACTCTTTTAATCCATCATCACAAGTGAAAAACCTGGGCGTAATCTTTGACTCTGAGCTGACTTTTATTCCTCACATCAAGAACATCACAAAAATAGGTTTTTATCATTTAAAGAACATCGCCAGAGTCCGCCCCATTCTCTCTCGGGCCAACACGGAGACGCTGATGCATGCTTTTATCACCAGTCGCATTGACTACTGTAATGCCCTGCTCTCTGGTCTTCCCAAAAAGAACATTTCAGGTTTACAATTACTTCAAAACTCGGCCGCACGTGTCCTGACTAAGACCAGGGGGCGGGACCACATTACACCGGTTTTAAAATCGCTGCATTGGCTCCCCGTGTGTTTCAGGATCGATTTTAAGGTTCTTTTAATGGTTTTTAAATGTCTTAATGGTCTTGGGCCTTCTTATCTTTCAGATTTGCTTTTATCCTATGAACCTTCCCGGCCCCTGCGCTCCTCCGGCAGCAGACTCCTAACCATCCCCAAAGTCAGGACACACACTCACGGTGAGGCATCTTTCCAGCACTACGGCCCCCGTCTCTGGAACAGTCTGCCGGAGGAGCTCAGGGCCGCAGAGAACGTTCATATTTTTAAGAGTAGGCTCAAGACGCACCTTTTTAGAGCAGCTTTTGATTAGTATTTATTATCTATTATTGCTTTTTTTCTATTTATGTTTTTAGACGGATTATATTTTTATTTAATTTTATTATTACTATATTTTTAATTATTTATTGTATCTACTAACATTTATTTATTTTTTTTTCACTAGTTTTAGGCTATATCCACACGAAGACAAAACGCTTATAATTTCAGAAACTTTTTCTGTAAACACGGAGTTAGCTCAGTAAATGTGTGCGTCCATATGAATGTAGTCAATACGCCTGAAAACGCTGTGAAACTATGCCAGACCTGTTGGTGGCGCTGTGACACAATGACGGGATCAAGCCCAAACTTCCGTGGGCATGCGCGGAATTTTGTAAACAGACAACATGGCGAGTGGGCGAGCTGGTACTACATTAGTATGGACGGATGATGAGGTTGAACTGTTGCTTCGGGTCGCACTGGATTACAAAACCAACAAGCTACATTGTTGTTGTCATTATTTTCTGAGTGCGGCGCATGCGTGCTTTAACAAGAGGCGGGGCGATGACGCAAGCGTCTCAGATACATTGCGGAGAGGCAGTAACCACGGAGCGGCATATACGGAGTTTTGAAATCTTTCCACTCTGGGACCTAGTTTCAAAAATGTTCGTTTAAACCCCCCCCAAAACGCCGGCCTCGTATGGACGATACAATGGATTGATAAAGTATTTTTGCGTTTAGGCCTGAGCTTGACTTCGTGTGGACAGGGCCTTAGAGTTGTTTCGTGTAGAGGAACAGCAGGAGGGTCTAAGGCAGGGGTGTCCAATCTTTTTCCATTGGAGAGTAACTTTTATAAAGCAGTAGAGGCCGAGAGCTACTTCTTTTTGCAGTCATGATAAATATCTATGTAATAATTATGACAAAACATGGAAAACACATGAAAAATATACCGTAAAAAAATACTGTGTAACCCTATATTTATAATAGATATGTAATGGCGCAAAAGTTTATCATTCAAGATTATGTGTTCAATTCTAAATCCTTTGGGGAGCTACCTGAAAGGGGCTGGCGAGCTACAGGTTAGAGAGCCCTGGTCAAAGGATCCAGGACACTCGACATTCAACAACCTTTATGAACATTGGTCTCTGCCCCTTATGGAGCAATGGAACCGTTTGATCTGTGTTGACCAATTCGACGGTTTTGTAAAGTCCCTTGAGAAAACCTACTGTTGTGATTTAGGGCAATACAAGAATACCTTGAATTGAATTGAATTTGAATCCCTGCTCACTTCACATCCCAGTCCTCAGAAAATGTATCCTATTCACGACATTAAGCATTAAATATTTACTCTCGTCACCGATTATGACGAATTAAATTACCTTCGGTCAACACCAAACGCTGGACAATCGAATAGATATTTGTCAATTACGGTCACTTATTGTGGGCTCTTTGAAATCCTCTATTCAAGACCGAGTATTGACAACACACATATGTCAACGTGATGAAACATGGCTCCATAAAAACGTCTTTATGCCAGCAGCTCTGAGGTGCAGTAGATCTATGTACTGTGTGTGTCGAGGCAGGAATGAGTCAATAAGGAAATCAGATACTAAATGTATTCTGTAACACCTCATCAAACATATTAAGCGTTAAGTTACTACGTTGGGTATAACTTACTCGATTACTGGAACCTGCAGTGATTCAGTTTGAAATGACTTTGCTTCAGATATTTATAGTTCTTTGTGGCTCGACGTGTACGAACGAATGCTTAAATGATTAGCCTAATAATCAAGCATTAACCTCAAGCGTTATGGCGGAAACTGGGAAAGGGGAATAGGTTAAAACAACACACAATGAGAGAATGATATCAATCAATAAAGCATGCGGGGAGGGGGGCAAGCTCAAGCCTACTCGGATCATTGAGGATGCCAAAGACGAGAATCCCCACCCCCATTGTGTTTGCCACCTTCTCGCCAAAAAAAACGCTGCTCTTTCTCCTAATTTCTCCTCTTTCCCGCTTGCTTTTCTGTTGCCATCTCTCCTTCGTCCACCTCCTATCCCCCTATTGCTCTCGCCTGTATCTATGGCTCTCCTCCAGCCCTCCCTCCCTCCCTTCTCTCTCCTCCCGTGTCTACTGCAGCAGAAATGCCAGCAACAGACAACCGCATGTGTGCCTTTCGTACCCCACTCCGACATGTGCAAAGGACCACCGCACACTCACAAGTTTGATTTCGAAAAGGAGATGGAGATTGAGAAACACGGCCCCCGATCTTTAAGTATCCCCTTTGTATGACGCTCAGACCTTCTCTGAATCCGACTCGTGCAATTTTTCACTTAGCGCGAGGCACCTTAGGCAGGAGAAAGGTAGAATAAGGCAACAATCTGGGTCATATCTCGGTGTGAAATCAGGGCTCTTGCACATTAAACTAGCCCTGCACCTGCTCGACAAAACCCCAAAATGCCAGCGTCGCGTCCACCCTCCGAGTGAATGGCTGAAATAGTGTGATTCATGGAGCCACTAGAAGCAGCAGCTGTGGTGTTAAACTGTACATTACATAATTTACAGCCTTGGGAGCAGCACAGAGCAGGTGCTGTAGTTAGTATTCCAGGTATGGCCCGACTGCAAACCAATCCAAAAACCTACCAACACACAACAATGCAACCATAGCCTTTTCCTCTCTATAACTTGTTGCTTCTGAGGGTGGGGGAGTGATTAAAGGGTTAAGGTGGACTAATGCAGGGAATCAATGATATTGAAATGACAGTAAGAGAATCCTTTCCTGCCTCGTCCTGATCCCGATACAATAATACAGTGGATCAGGTGGCAGAAACTTGAACTGTTAATCCATCTCAGTTCTATACTTTACCCTTCTCTTAAAGGAAAGTCATGACCAGGGCGATCAGGAAAGACACACAGTGGACATGCTGTTGTGTTTACTTTAGTGCAGTGTCACAGATGCACTGCAGGGCTCTGCTCTGTGTCTGGCTTCACATGTAGAATGTGTGCATCATGAGGAGGGAACAGACTAAAGAAGTGGATACAACATCAAAGCTGTAATGATCAAGCAGCTGGATTTGGGTGAATCAGAAGAGCCCAAGGTAGATGTTTTCATGTATCTCTCAGAGGAGACTTGTTACTCATACACCTGTGTGATCAAAGACCCGCACACGTCCACGTGACCCGTCAAGAAAGAGATCATCAACTTAGGACGATAACAATAAGAGCCACAGAGAGTTACAGCAGTGTTTCAGTGAGTGTGGAAGAGGGAGAGGGGCAGAGAGGACTGGTGACTGCAGATATGTACAAATAGATAACATAAAACACGACACGTCGTAAACGGACAAATATGAGTTAATGAAGGCGTTTGGAGGCGACGCAGCGTGTGGCGTGTGTTCGGAGCCAGATGTGGAGAAGCCACAGGAGGAATGATGGCAGCTGTAAAAGTGTAGTCAGTGAGGAGTAGGGGACACTACATCACACTGATGCTGGATACAGAGGCACAGATGCTGATGCTGCCTCACATTCATTATTCATGTGATAAAGTCTGTGCTGCATGTGAGATCACACACGTGTATCAGTCATCACTGCAGTCACCTGCTACACCCACACGCTGCAAACTAAAGTAACACACAGAAGTACTCGAGTACTCACCCGGGCGTACTTGGAGGAGTAAGGGTCTTCAAAAAGTGCCCATATTTTGGGTTGCCAGGTCTTCCACCAGCCCGCTTTCCTGGCGTCCTCCTGCATACATAGTCTTTTCAAGTCCCCGTCCGCACCTCCGAGCGCAGGGTCGTCCTCCGGTGCGTCGGGCTCCGGGGTCTCGAAGCTATCGAGCGCCTCCTCCGCGTCCCGGTGCTGGCGGTAGTTCATCCAGCAGCACGCCTCCACGTCCGTCTCGTCGATGCCCCAGAAGGCGAGCTCCTCCTCAAACAGCGGGCCGCACACATCGTTGGGACAGTGCAACTTTCCAGTGCGGTAATAGTTGAGGATGAAGGAGAAGACGGACGGGTGGCGGTCAAAGAAAAACTCGTCCAGTTTCGGATCGTAGTCGAAGTTGCTGAACGCGTCCGGTTCCGTGAGCCACGACAGGCGCGTCCCGGGCAGCGTCTTTAGGGTGCTCCGGTAAGTCTCATGGCGAACCCCGCCACAGTTTATCACTATTTTCTCGCTTTCCGACGGACAAGTCATGTCTGCGCTGTAACATGCTTTGTTGGACGACTTGTTCCCACCCTTGCGCCCTTTGAAAGAGGATACACACACCGAACTGAGCATAGAGGAGCGAGGGGGGAGGGAGAGAGGATGCGAGAAAACGGAGGGAGGAGGAGGGAGGAGTCTGAGGAGTCTGCGGGAGAGAAGAGGGATAGAAATGTTTTCAGATGGAGAAAAAGTGTATTTCACCAACAGTTAGAACAGTCACAGAAACAGCACTGGTCCGCACGGGTCTGTGCTGCTGCAGAAGCATGAGGCATATTCAGAACAGGTGCTCATGACTCAGCAGCCACAGAAAACATTTGGGATGAGGGTCTGTAAAGTCATCATCACTGGGACACACAGCACAACACACACATGGAAACCGAGGAAGCCCACATCATCATCATCATCAGAGACTTACAGGGCTGGGAGCAACTGGGAGCTATCAGCACTGCGGGTGTTCACTGACTCTGCATGTGCTATTTACACACATGGGCACTTGCATATTGTATTCTTTTCTAACTGAAAAACACATACACGGTGACAGACCTGTATATCTCAGTCTGTGTTACATCCCCTCATCAGTAATAGAACAGACTTCACATGTTCTGTGTTGTGGTGTGGTGTAAAAATGTATGAGCTGCGAGGGGAAGATGGGACATGCAAATCAGTCTCCATTTGCATCTCCCTTTCTCTCATTAGCCCAAGCCCAGCCCTTTCGCCGACAATCTCCCAATTGATCCAGTTGATACTCAAATCCAACCACCTAATGAGGCCAGTGTGCGCCCTCCTCTCCTCTTCCTTCACCTGCTCTCTCTCTCTCTCTTTGTTTTTACCTACACTGTATGCCCAAAGTATCGTCTCCTCTCCTTCCTCTGACGTAAGGCACGTAAGGCTGAGCGTGTGTGTTAATTGCCTCCCGAGAGTGCGGTGTCCGTACTAATGTTAGACCTCCTCCATCAGCCGACACACCGCTGCAGCAACGTGTCGGAGTGGAGGCACGCAGCGGCCAGCGACGGGATGCCACGCGTAAAACTAAACAGCTGTGGGGATGGTGGTGGAAAAGTGCGTGTGTGTGTGTGTGTGTGTGTGTGTGTGTGTGTGTGTGTGTGTGTGTGTGTGTGTGTGTGTGTGTGTGTGTGTGTGTGTGTGTGTGTGTGTGTGTGTGTGTGGTGGTAAGTGTTTGGAGGGGATGAGTAAAGGCTGTATAATGTTGTCTGGTAATGGAGAAGGGCAGGGATATAAGGCAGAGGAAGCACACAATGGAAGTGAGAGAGAGAGGGGGGTAAGAAACGAAAACGAGAGTGCGCTATAAAAGTGAATGAATTCTGCTGCAGTAAAAAAAAAAAAAGCAAGCTCCAGTCTCCTCTCCTCTCTGTCCTTTTTCTTTGCTTTGCTTTTTTGCTGCAGCTGAGTCTTGGCTTTGGAAACACAAAAGAACATTCCTCTACGGTCCCCAGTGTGCCGCAGGGTTCTCACTCTGTATATGTTGGATTTTTGTTTTTTTCTTTTTTCTTTTGACGGTGAACTGCACCACTTCAGCGCTGGCCCCCTCCTCCCCCTTTCTTGACTTTCCCTCCCCCTCCCGCAGCTCGCTCCTCGTCCGCATAAAGGACTCGCGTTTCATGGGAAAGGGGAGAACCAGGGCTCCACTCTTTCTTCACCCTTCTTCATCTCATGACACTGTCTCAGCCTCATCATCAACTACATTTGTGTTTACTTTGTTCATCTTCTCTTCTTGGTTAGTGCCGGCGGTTTTCTCTGCCTCCATACTGTCCCATCCCAACTCACTTTGACCAACTCTCCATCCTCTGCACTTGTGTTTCCCCCTGTGCATCTAGGACACTGCAGTAGTTTTGTGTTTGGACTTGTGTGGTGTTTATTACTCAGGGAACTATTTTTTTAATATAAGTTTCTAGTTTTTTACTGTTTTCCTTTTTTCTCAGTATTATGTTGACTATTTTGCTTGGATATCAGAGAAAGCCATACCGTCTTACTGAGGTAAGGTTTCAATGCAATGCATGAGTAATGCCAATGCAACTGTGGCATTTCCTCAAGTTTCTCATGTTTTAATTAAGATTTTATACCTGCTTGCCCAGAAAGTTTTATTTTAGAACAGGCAGTTTCGAAATGATGGCATGTGTGGAATGTGAACTAAAGTGAAGGCATGACAAACACAATGAGTAAGTTTTCCCAACTATGAGAAAGTGCAGTGAGTCATTCACTCTGAAAGCTGTCCTCTCCTGCAGCGCTGCTTCAGTGGGACAGCTCGAGTTTCAGCACCTTGGACAGTGCCACACTCTCCTCTGCTCAAACTTTTTTCTCGCCAACTCACACTTTGCCATGCACAATTTCTGATCCTGATTATTTTACAGTTGTTCATCTTCCTACTAAACAACTGTCTTTTCAGGCACTGTTTAATATTTAATAGCCTGACAACCACAAGTCTGTAACAGGGTTAAATAGTCCGCAGTCTATTGATTATAATAATCCACATTTCTAACAAATGACAGTGAAAGTGACTTTGGGACAGGGCGCTTCTTAAACTCTTCGCACTCATCAAACATGCAAAGAACAGTTTGCATGATTTTTGTCCGTACTTCTCTGCATCTTATCTGCAGCAGTGAACTTGCTTTAACAATGTAGGGGATGATTTGGGAAAAGTGAAGGTAAAAAGATGCAGCATTTCCCTGGTTCTCCACCATGTCCTGCGCCACATTGCTATTGGCACTGTACACCAGAGAGCTTGCTCACCTGGCCAAAACTAAAAAGCCCTCAAACATATTATTTGAAAGGCAAATGAGGCTTAGTGCTACTAAAGCTTTACTGAAAGACTGTTCTGGCAGCTACAGATCAACGTTTTGAGCGAGTAAATTCAATTTCAAAGCGGCATGCTAATATATATTAGTAGAAACGCTGCAGCACGAAGGAGGAGGGGAGCATGGGATTATGGGATGCATCGACTGGTGTGAGGTACCAGCAGTAGTGACTGGGGGAGGGGAGGAGGACAGGAGAGGGGAGGCAGAAAGCAGGGAGGAATTTGGTAGAGTGCTGACTATGCAGAACACGGCAAGCTGTTAGCAGGAAGAGCAAAGACAAAAAAAACAATCACAGGAGGAGGGACGAGCGGAGAAGACACGGTGCTGCAGTGGAGGTGGACCTCCAGGAGGAAAACAAGAGCAGAGCTGTATCATAGATGTACAGCTGAGCAGAATAGTAAATGTTGCACTTGGAGGAGGGGGGCTCTGCAGAGAAGGGCAGAGGATGGTTGTGTGTGCGAGACAGAGCAAGCCCCAGCTACGTATGTGCTACTGCTGCTGCTGCTGCTGCTGCCTTCTCCCCTCCAGCTTCCTCATCAAAAGATGTAACCACAAGGCTTCACGCTGTTCCCCCTCCTGCCACCTCCCTCCCTCCTCCCTGGCACCTTATCTCTCTCTGCTCTTCCCCTTGCTCCTTACACACAGACACATCCCCTGTGCGAAAGAGACCCCAGCAGGACGAATCACTGCACTGCAACACGGCAGGACGGAGCACTGCGGTCAGCCCCCTCCCCTCGCTCTCCTCTGCCTTCTCCCCTCCTTTAGTCATGCTGCGCAGGGCCTCGCCGCACCTCCACAGCAACATTACGGCATGAATAAGGTGTGAGGTACTAGCAAAGCGAGTGGGTGGATGAATCAAGAGCAGAGATGGAACTGCATGAATGGATCAGGGCTAATGCAGAGACTTAGACTTTACAAAGCCAGAGCAGCAGGGAAGGGGAGGGGGAGGTCTAATCATAATAAGGCTCGACCTGTAGTCAATTCCCACAACATGAATTAAATAAGCAATCAATTAAGCCAAGACAATGGCCGATATATTCCCTCGTCATCTCCACCGCGGCAGTCCCGGGGGTCTACAGCAGTGACACGTCCCTGGAGGGGTCTTGATCCTTGTGTATATTGGGTTATCACCCCTCTCCCTTTGGAGGCGGCTAGTGCTGCTTCTCACACTGCTGTCCTCTTTCCGTGCATGCAGAAAGTAGCCGTGTCGTTTTCCTTTTAGCGGGTTGAAGAGATTATTAAAACATAAGGCCATTTTCAGGTATAGAGGCTGTCAGGAATGGGGGTTGTTATGGAGCCACACAATGTCAGAATGGGAGCCGGAGAGGAAGGGCCTTTGGATAGGGAGATTTATTGTCGATGGCAGGTTACATTACTGTTTGGACGTTCAGTGATGAGAAGAATGGCTCTCAGTGGCACATAGGGAGACGGCCAAAGGGGTTCGCCTGCACTCGTAGACCTTGCCCTCTTTGACGATTTAAAGCTGTCAATTAGTAATACACCTTTTTGCAGTGCTACGGGTTCGTTATGACTCAGTAATGTCTTTCAGAGGCCGGGGAAAGAGGGCTGACCTGTGAAAACCATCAGGCAATTACAAAACACAAGTGCCCCAGGCTTAGTACAGCAGGAGCGAGGAGTAAAATGTGAAGTTTGGGATCGGTACGAGCTGAGAGTCAAGGTCGAGAATGGACCAGCATCAGATGGTCGTAAATTAGTTGAAGGACAGGACAGCGAAGAGGAAAGTTGTCTATAAGGAGGCAAGCAAGGGTCAGGGAGGCAGACACGCACACCAGCACACAACAAGACACGTAATTCAATCTCGGCCTCAAAATAGATTTATTTCCCCACATCAGCCCCCACCACCCCCTCATCCCCATCTCTACCACACAGCCTTCCCATCCAGCTCCACTCATGTCAAAGGACTATATCTCGGCTCTTTCTGCTCCCCTCAGAATTCTTTCTTTTTTGTGTTCTGGGGAGGGGGGTGAAATGGAATGGGTGTTTTCTGGGTTACCCTAAGTTCTAAAAATAGCAGCAGCTGTAGTTTATAATGCAGGATTGAGAGTGCATGGGAAGAGAGGGAGGGCGGGTGAGGAGGTGTGAGGGAAAGGGGAGGGGGGTAGAGGGGTGAGAAGAAGAAGCAGCAAATGGAGGAAACGGAAGAGGAGTTTCCATTTGAACCGGGGGAGCAGAGGCAAGAGGGTTATGAAACTATGGAGACGTATGCGCATGCAGAGGTGATGGAGGTCTAGACACCTTTGAGGTAGACTGGTGCGGACTGGCTCGGGTCTGCTCCTGGTCCTCCCGATGTGTCCAAACCCCCTGCATCTCAAGGCCTTCAGGATGATGCCGCGAGCTCACACAGACAGACAATTCAAGACAGACAAGACAGGCAAAAGGGAGAGAACAAGTACACACACGCACATGCCAAAACACACACTATAACAGGAACAGTTACTCATGCAGACAGACTGGAAGTGATGCCAAAAGATTGACTTCTGTCTCCGAGGCACGCGCTAAGGAAACACCCACCATTTGTGAAATTTCTCAAAATACAGTTGAGAAAGTAGGCTGGTCTGTTGGCACACGGCGAAACAGTGGGGAGCTATAAAAGTGCGAGTCCATCTTGGCACAATTTGCGTAAGGCCAAAGGGAAAAAAACGAGTGGTAAATGAGACTTGTTGAATGTATGATAGCAGGTGCCGTATCTTTTTTTTGTTTTTTTTTTACAGCAGATTCACGGCCCCAAAAAGCACGCTGAGAGCCGCTGGGAGAGCATATGCATACACAACACTGACACACAAATACGGTGGACGTATATATACTCACTTGGTACGTTTCGAGTGTGCGTAAAAACACGCACATAGAGCTCAATCAATCGCACAAAAAACAAAATAGCTGTAGTTTTCTTTGTTAGCGTGTTAGATTTCAGAGTAATCCACTTTGAGGCATTCAGTTGCTGTGTTTTCCCATCGGAATATACGAGATGGAAATGTGGAGAGAGAGAGAAAAAAACAGCACGAGCGCTGGAAATCTCGTTAAAGGCGAATGCTACTTATGGACATGCTGCTTCTGCTGCTGCTGCTGCTGCTGGAGGTGATGGCAAAAAGCAAAATGACATGAAGCAAGAAGAAGGAAGTCCCCCCCCTTTTCCCCCTCTCTTTGTTAAAAAAATAATGTTGCTATTCCCTGACGGGTTTCTGTCTCCCACCTTCTTCTTCTTCTGTTATTGCCTAAAAGTGGCAGCCTTTGTGATAGTGTCTCTGTATTCTACGCTTCCAGGCTCAGGGTGGTGCTACCATTCATCCGTCTGCTCCTCCTGCTTCACAAATATGTCAGGCTGTGGAAAGCGCCTGCGTGTGCATCTGTGTGTGTGCGTGTGTGTGCGTGTGTGTGTGAGTGTGAGCCGCGGCGGATCCCTCTGTTGCTTCTCCTCTGTGTTCATCCGGAGGAGCGTCACCTTCTGCACTATTTTCTCCCCCGTCAGACGGCGCGTGTGTGGGCGATGGAGAGAGCGCGCGTGCGGCGATGGGAGGGGAGAGAGGGGAGGGAAGGGCCCCGGTGGAGGCTCGGGTTCGCTCCTGAACTTAACGCACGCAGACACACGCATATGCTTTAAAGAAGTGTGTTTGTTTAGTGCTGTGATTGATATTAATGTGTATTCTCTCTCCCGTGTGCGTGTGTGTGTGTGTGTGTGTGCGCGTGTGTGTGTGCGCGCGTGTGTGTTCAGGTGCGTGGCCAGGTGGACGTGCACCATTTTGTCTCCAGGTTCCAGACGCAGCAGGTGACATGACACAGCCAATATTACCCCCCACCCTCCACGTCATTGGGACTACTGTGTTGTTGTTGTTGTTATTATTATTATTAGTATTGTTATTATCATTATTAATATCATTATTATTGTTATCATTATTATTATTATTAACACTTAGACTCTCAAAATGTTGAAACCAAAACTGAAGGTTTCCATTCAATTTAATGACATTTTGGAGAGAAAAAAAATCCCCAAAACAGTTTTGGTTTTTGACTACTTTTGTAAAAATAAAGTAATTCATACGGGGTTTATCTTCAATACATGCTAAACGCTAAATGCTAACTCCTGCAGGTAAACAGGGAGTTGCTATGGTAACTAGCACTTCTGTCAGGAGTCGAGTTAACGCTAGAATCTCATGTAGGTTCTTGGTCTTTGTGACTTTTTCTTTTTGTATGTGTAGTTTATCACTATTTTTTTATTAAATGATTCTTTACTTTTGAAATTTACCACCAGAGAATATCAACTGCTAGTTACCATAGCAACAGACTGTTTACAGTCAGACGTTGGCATTAGCCTTTTTAGCCGTATTGCAGTTGCTGTTTTTAATGACCAGTTTAAGCACTTATTAAACGTGAGTGAAGGTAAAAACATATAAATTACTTTCTTTTATCAAATCTGGTGAAAAACAAAACATTCTTTGGGGGATTTCTATTGGTTTCTATTGGTTTGAATCTGAGCAATCAAAATGACAGCTCTGGGAGTTCCAGTAGTTTCAACATTCTGAGTCGTGTTCATTTTACAAACATAATAAATAAACAACATTTAGAAACAGAAACAGTCACAAAGTTATGTAGACCAAAAACGTACACAGAGTCAACCGAAACAGTGTTCACTCTGCTCTAGTGTAGATCACTGTGTGTTTTTGGCGACGCTTGAGGATCGATGAGACCCATGTAAAAGCGTGGATCAATAGGAGAAAGATTACAGCCGCAACAACAGATCAAAGGATCAATGACAGAGAAAAACAGACTGGAGTCGATCTCGCGGTCAATGCTCATGGTTTCAGTGGAATTCCATTGTTCTGATTGATAAATGTAGCTGCAGCTGTCACAAAGATGAGTCTGTCTTTGTCATTCACCTACAGGACGACAGGACGTGGAAGAATTAGGAAATATTATGGATAAATGGAGAGAGAAAAACACCCGAAGCTGGATTTCTCTAAAGAAACTGGCAACCCCCAATGAGAGACTTGTGATGCTACATTCTGATTGGATACTGAACGTGAGGATTATTGGTTTCATTGATAATGCAGTTCACAATATATCATATAATAGTTTGTTTTTTTAAGTGTTTTTAGGCTTAAACCAACATATGTATTCAATCTTCCAACATTAATCAACTTGGAAAAGGAATTAACATCAGTCAGAGAAAATTCAAGAACAGGTCATTACTTTGTTTAGTCAATAATTGTGACTTTTCCAGGTGAAACCTCTTCTTGTCTAGCGTCACTTGCCTGATACAGAATACATACAATACCAGACTTTACTGATAACTCAATTGTTGCCATGGTCACATACTGTTATTCTACATGTACAGTTTGAGGATTACTGTATGGTATCATTAATGACGTAACGTAAACATGTGACTTTGTTCTAAATCTTCAAAGCGTCGTTAATGTGGCGTCGGAAGTTCCTGTGAGTCGGAGGATGTCAGGTAAAGTGCAGCCTCAGCGTTCTCAGGGATGGACTTATCGACCGGACTCTCCTTTAAACGTCATCTCATGAAAATTACAAGAGCCGTAAAAGAGCACTGGCCTCTGACTCTGACCACAGAAACTTTTAAGCCTGAGTGCGGAGAGCGGTCACAGCCAAACTGCCCAAGAGCAGAGAGAATGAAAGAGCAAGACTGAGGAGCTCACATACTTACAGTAAGTCCTACTGGACAGAAGCTTTATCAATATTTCAACAGGCCCATCTTTTATGCATCCTAAAGTGGTTCTTTTCTTCTCGTGACCAGGAAGGTATTTAAAGGAATACATCTAACCAGGAGAGGCTTCTTCCTCCACATTCATAAAATTGTATGATACAATATAATACAATATTATATATTCACATTGTAATATATTCATTTGGCACAATTTATTTTCATTGAGAAAAAGAGGTTTGTCTCTGAGCCGCAGAGATCTGAACATCATTCACATTCATAATTTAACCTCAATAATATATACTTAAATTCCAAACAATTGAAACGTAAAAACACAGGAGGCTCATGAGTCTGGTCCTGGATGAGGGTCCAGTCTCCTGCAGAGTGCTCCTCATGTGACATCACCAGCTGCAGTCTGTGGACCTCCACAAAGAAACTCGTGGCTCAATAGTCTTTATTGATGCTGTCCGTCACTAATGGGAATCCAGTGTGTGCTGATTTACAGCTAACATGTCCAAGAATGAAAAACTCAGATGAAACCTGCAGTGTTTTATGTGAGCTGCAGCTGCAGAGCAGCACAAGGAGTGAGGCACAAATCATCCCTGAGAGCAGTTACCGGCCGACAGTCGATATGACTGCTCTGGTCCCACACTGGAACAGGAACATGTTATTGTAGTGTGCACCTTTCTATCAAACAATCATCCAAATATGTATTACATTTTATATAATCCTTTTATAATTTACTTTAAAAAGTCCACTCTTGATAATCAATTTAGATACTGAAACTTAATACATGTCTACAAGTTATACCTGGGAATATTTAACCTATTTTTGGAAGGTGAGGTGTTAATGTTTTAACGTTCGTAAATATTTTATCACAAAAAAATTCAGCAGTGAATTCACTGGATCACTGTCGACACTTCATTTGGCCACTAGGGGGAGCCAGCACGTCATGTTTAAATGAAAAGCGAGTTGCAGTAGTAGAGTCTTCAGTCATGTCCAGGACAGACCCGCCCCAGTCCCAGTCCTGTGTGCATGGCCTGGTTTCTGCTGGAGTCCAGACCAAGTGGGTCTCTTTCCAAAGTAGGACACAGTATGCATCAGTGTCTAAGAACAAAACTACTGACAATTTCTCAAAACAAAAAACTTTTACATCTCGTCTTTAATGGAACATGAAAAAGATAAAAACATCTTTATGACAGAATCCTGGTTTCCTTGGCGACAGTGCGGCTCAGCGAGTTGTGCTCGGCCTGATCCTCGGCTGAAGCATTATTTACAGTCCACAGGGAACATTCATGAAGTACAAAGCACAGCCGCAGCAGCAGCGCTGCTCTCACCTCACACTAACATAGCTTTTGTAAATGACAAGTTTATAAACTTTTTAAAGACTGCAGTCCTGAAGAACACAAGGGTCTGAATCTTACCCTCATGTGTTCTCTGTGTTGTTGTGAATAATTATGTGTTCATAAATAAATGAGGATTTGAACTCTGTGGTACGTCTGTTCTTTGATAAAGTGTTTTAAGGGTCCTCTTTACTGGGGGGGGGTCTGCCTCAGGGCGGGGGGCCGGTCCTCACGCTGTTGCTTTTGCCCGTCACAGGTTTCCTTCTCTTCATCTTGTCTGAGTCTTTGTTCTTATTTCCTTCCTTGATCTGTGCCTCCCACTTCTTCTTCACCATCGTGTAAAGCCGCATCGTGGCCTGTGCGTCTTGGACCTGAAACAGAGGGAGGGGTGAGGGTCTGGGGCAGAGGAGGTAAAGGGTGACACACCTGACTCTGACTTACAGAAGAGTGCTCGCCTTGTTGCACTTTCACGTTCAGAACTTCTCTGCAGAGCACTCGGAGCGCTGGACGCCGGCTCTGGAAACACAAACAGAATCTGATGTTAACAAATCTCCTTCATAACACTGGGATGTGGGAAAGCAGCGTCGACAAGCTCAAGTTCTCCACTAAATCAGTCACAGTATTTGCAGTGGCGATTTGTCCATAACTTACAACATGTCCAACTTAAATCAAAACAAATCAAAAGGCCACTCCGGTGTTTTCAGGTCGGCTTTACGCAGCGCAGAGAAAACAAAATGTCCAAACTAAATTGAGTTTTAGGTGGGTTTATTGTCCAAGCAACTGCAGCCTCTCCTGGTTAAAAAAAACAAAACGCCTCTACGCTGCGCCCTCCCCCCATAGTCTATTAAACCCTGTGACCTAAATTAAATTAAACAAGCAATAATGAACTCAAAATTATCTTAGCAAAATAACTAACTACAGTGGATCATCAGAAGAATCAAAAAATAGACAAATTGCTCCAACAGTATTCGTTTTCATTACATTTATCTTTCTATTGTCAATAACCAACGAGTGGTTGTTTGAAGTTTATCAATCCAGAGATAATTCACTTATTGAGCCCAGAATGACTCGACACAGATACATCCATATTTACTCCTCACGTCACCGCCATCGTTTATAAAATGGGTTCAATTCTCCCTCTCCTCTCTCGCCCCTCCCTCCTCTCCTCTCAATCTCCTCCCTCCCTCCCTCTCCCTTGTCTTTCTCCTCCCTCACCTCTCTCTCCCCTCTCCTCTATCCCTCCCTCTCTCTCCTCCCTCCCTCCTCTCTCTCCTCCCTCCCTCTCGTACGTTTAGAAGAAAAACAACGACAACAAAATCTGCCAGTAAATGTTCAGAGTAAATACAATGATACAGATTTAGATTCGATGCTCGATATAAGTTCTAATATTCTGAACCCTAAACACAGACATTGTTCAAAGCAGAAATCAAAGCAGAACATATTTACCTTTGCCATTTTCTTAAAGGGCTCATACTTCTGCGTGTCCCGGATCTTCTTCTTGGGGTGATCCAAGAGCAGGATCTGAAAGTGGGAGAGGGTTTTGTCAGGACCTCGCTCTACCTCAGTCTGAGGGTGATGCCAGCGCTCCTACCTTCAGGTCGTTGTGGATGGCGTGTCCGACCACCACTCGGCCCCGCAGGATTTCCCCGACCTCCTTCCGCACGGTGTCGATGTGTTCGCCTGCGGATCAAAGACAAGAGTTTTAATGCATCACAACTGCACCATCACAGCATCACACACACAACCACTGTCTCCACACTGTATCAAACAATAACTACATTTAACACTACAATACACACACACACACGTTAGAGCCCTCCCTCCCTCCCTCCCCTTCCTCTATTTCCTCTCCTCTCTCCCCCCTCCCTCCTCTCTCCCTCCTCTCTCCCCCCTCTCCTCCCCCATTTCCTCCCTCCCTCCCCTCCCTCCTCCCCTTCCTCTATTTCCTCCCTCCCTCCTCTCTATCCTCTCTCCCCTCTCTATCCTCTCTCCCCTCTCTATCCTCCCTCCCTCCTCTCTCTCCTCCCTCCCCTCCCCTATTTCCTCCCTCCCTCCCTCACCTCCCTCCCCTCTCTCCCCTCCCTCATCCCTCCCCCGTTCCCTTCCTCTTATTTCCTCCCTCGCTCTCCTCTCTCCTCCCTCCCCTCTCTATCCTCCCTCCCTCCTCTCTATCCTCCCTCCATCCTCTCTCTCCTCCCTCTCTCTTTCCTCCCCTCCCCTTCCTCTATTTCCTCTCCTCCCTCCCTCTCCTCCTCCCTCCCCACCCTCCTCCCTCCCCACTCACTCTTCTGTCTCCACACTCACTCTTCTGTCTCCACACTCACTCTTCTGTCTCCACACTCACTCTTCTGTCTCCACACTCTTCTGTCTCCTCACTCTTCTGTCTCCACACTCTTCTGTCTCCACACTCACTCTTCTGTCTCCACACTCACTCTTCTGTCTCCACACTCACTCTTCTGTCTCCACACTCACTCTTCTGTCTCCACACTCTTCTGTCTCCACACTCTTCTGTCTCCACACTCTTCTGTCTCCACACTCTTCTGTCTCCACACTCACTCTTCTGTCTCCTCACTCTTCTGTCTCCTCACTCTTCTGTCTCCACACTCACTCTTCTGTCTCCACACTCTTCTGTCTCCACACTCTTCTGTCTCCACACTCTTCTGTCTCCACACTCTTCTGTCTCCACACTCTTCTGTCTCCACACTCTTCTGTCTCCACACTCTTCTGTCTCCACACTCTTCTGTCTCCTCACTCTTCTGTCTCCTCACTCACTCTTCTGTCTCCTCACTCACTCTTCTGTCTCCTCACTCACTCTTCTGTCTCCACACTCACTCTTCTGTCTCCACACTCACTCTTCTGTCTCCACACTCTTCTGTCTCCTCACTCTTCTGTCTCCACACTCTTCTGTCTCCACACTCACTCTTCTGTCTCCACACTCACTCTTCTGTCTCCACACTCTTCTGTCTCCACACTCTTCTGTCTCCACACTCTTCTGTCTCCACACTCTTCTGTCTCCACACTCTTCTGTCTCCACACTCTTCTGTCTCCTCACTCTTCTGTCTCCACACTCACTCTTCTGTCTCCTCACTCTTCTGTCTCCACACTCTTCTGTCTCCACACTCTTCTGTCTCCACACTCTTCTGTCTCCACACTCTTCTGTCTCCACACTCTTCTGTCTCCACACTCTTCTGTCTCCTCACTCACTCTTCTGTCTCCTCACTCACTCTTCTGTCTCCTCACTCACTCTTCTGTCTCCTCACTCACTCTTCTGTCTCCTCACTCACTCTTCTGTCTCCACACTCACTCTTCTGTCTCCACACTCACTCTTCTGTCTCCTCACTCACTCTTCTGTCTCCACACTCACTCTTCTGTCTCCTCACTCACTCTTCTGTCTCCACACTCACTCTTCTGTCTCCACACTCACCGTCTCTGATGTCCTTGGGTCGGATTCCGCTGACGTGTGTCCTGTAGTCCGTCACCTTCTCCGTTGGCTTCACGTATTTGTCGTAGATGCACTTCCCAAACTGGTTCACGAGAGACACGCGAGCCAAGATGCTCTCCTCTCCGTCCAGACCCACTCCAACCATCTCACAGTCGATAGCTACGACTTTGGTCAGTCTGCGAGGGACGAAATACCAGGTACATGTGAGATCACTGCAACTGCAACTAATCCGCTCTTACAACCCTACAGCCTCTACAGCTAAGAGTGTGTGTGTGTCTGTGTGTACGTGTTTGTGTATTTTGATGGGTGCAAAAGGAATGATGGGTTTCAAATAAAGTTTTATGTGTTTTTATTGACTTCACACACCCCCCACGTGACTGCAGGTAATCAGGACACCTGTGCTTTGGTTTACAAAAGGAGGGGCTGAGGAGAGGAAGAGGAGGAAGACACAGAGACTGGTGCCATGCGCAGAAGAAGTGAACGAGAGAAGACTGAGCTTGGTTTTAGCCCCTATTTTTAATCCACAGCAGTTTACAGCATGGGCTTTAATATCTTTTATTTGCTTTGTATTGATTTTATTACTTTATTTTACACCTGTTTTTCTATCCCACGGCTTTCATTTAACAGCGTCTCTTTCAAACCGGATCCAAAGAACCCTTTCCACGTGTGACATGTTTTTTTATTGTGGTAGAGTTGGGCTGATGTCAGAGCAGAGTTGATAAGACTTATTATTTTGACTAAATCCAGTTTTAGCAGCTATAAAACGCACACTTGTAGACAAAATATCGTGGTAAATGAGTAATGGAAGCTCAAATTCAAGAAACCGTGCTAACATAAGGTTTGCCTCCTCACACTTCATGACGTACCTTACTTTTTAGCTTTGTCCATAAAACCTCAAAATTAAATCATGTGTCTAGTTGTAACAGCTTTGCTCCATCAGCGGTTGGTTAAGTGCTATATTACAACACTAAATCCTTTGAATATGAAAGCTTTTATACACGATCTTTGTATATAATAAAATACAATAACCTTTATTTGTCCCACAGTGGGGGAATTTTGATGTTGCCGCACACATGCAGGACAGTAGCACAAAGGGAGCACACAAAATATACACAACAGAAGTAGCTGTAATGATTCTTAAAGAGCGACTAAACACCTGTGCCCAGCCTGACTCCGCCCACCTGAAGATTTGAAAATTTTCTCTAAAAAGGGCGTTGCCTGGAGGACCAAGGGACAAGAAGGGGGGCTTAGAGTTGGGCGTGGTCTGGGCTGTGATTGACAGCTCACTTGTCACACAAAAAAAACAGACAGTTGTCATTGCTGCTTAAAGCAATAGTTTACAGACCAGAAAGTCTCATTCCACCGTTGTTTACACACTAAGATAATTGTAAAGCTACACACCTGAACCTAATCACACTCAATAATCTCAGAATTACTCATTTCATTTAATTTTAATCCACTAGATGTCGCCAGAATACTCCAAACTGCAGCTGGGGCGTGAGTGAGAGTTGAATGGGTTCACATCACTGGCTCTGACAGACTGACGTCACACAAAACAACTGATGTCATAGAGAACTTCAGAGTCAATGGAGAGGCCAGGACCAAATTCAAATGTAGTACCACCAAAAAGGTTTAGAGGGCGCCACACAGCGTTTTTTGGCTCAAAAGTGATATTTTATCTAATTTGAACTAAAATGTCTAAAAAATGACCAGGATATGTAGACAGCACTACAATAAACATATTTATGCAGTTTATGAGTTCAAAAAAGTTGATTTGGTGTTCAGTCGCTCTTTAACTAGCTTTAAATGCTTCAGAAGAGCAGGAAGTAAATATCAATCTATCTATATATAGTGTAAATTATACACATATGAGGCAGGTTAATAAGTAGGATAATACTTATATATGTTTGGACCCCATTTACTTATCCATTCTAATGTATGTACATGTGTGCTTACTAGTTCACCAAGTACTGTACATGTGACATTATAGTTAAAACAAACAAACCCTTCAAAGGCCTTCTCTTTGACCAGTGCACTCTCCACGTCCCGGCTCTGGTGAATCCCCATCCTCTTCCTCATGATTTCTGCCGCTTCTGCTCCCACCGTGGCCTCCATGTCGTCAGGATCCACGTCATCGAACCAGATGTCCTCCCTGCAAAAACACACAACCTTAAATACTATAGCAGATTTACTCAGACGTAAACTCGGAACATCGCCGCTTCACTCACTCCATCTTGTTCACGCTGACCTCCGCTTTCTGTTTTTTTGCTTCTTGGTGTTTCCCTTGTGTATTTTTGCTGTCCATTTTTCTTTTCTTTGCAGGAGTAGATTTTGCATTGTTCTTGTGTCCTTCGGCCCCATTCACTTTGTCTTCACCGGGACCAGTCTTAATCTTTTTCGTAGGTTTTGCAAAATCTTTTCCCTTCAGATCTTTTGTATCTTTTATGTTATTAGTAGACGGTTTGACGGTCGACTTCTCCTTGGTCACAGCACCGTTAGGTTTCTCTGGCTGCTTCTTCAACATCTGTACACAAGTAGCACACGTGTGAAGTAGAATAATATGAAAAAGTTGCATCGTAAGTTACAGAACAGCAGGCATGAGGAGAATAAAAAGGGTAAACTAAGTAGCAATAATACTGCATTGTTTTAATTTTATGATTTTTTTTCTCAAAGACGCTTCACATGTCATTATCTATTCACTCCGTACAAACTACTAATCTAGCCACAGTCGCCCTGTGGCACACTGACATAAGCGAAGCAACTTGTGTGCCATGGACCCTACCCACCACCACCAACCATTCACACACACACGCCAGACCCATTATTGGCAATGTGGGTGAAGTGTCTTGCCTAAGGATACAATGACAGTATAAAATTGTGCTATAATAAAATACAATCTATATCTTTAGCTTGACAATGAATAAAGTACTCAGATACAGTAGTAACCAGTGTACTCTACAGGAAAGAAATATTTACTTGTATGTATACATATATAGTTACATCTGTAATACACTCTAGTGCAAGAATGTTGACTGGTAAGAGTTCCAGATCCAATGAGAAGAAACACAACAGAATGCACTTTAAATACCTCTTGTAGTGTTTTCCAGTTGGCAGAGAACTGTTGAGCATCCGCTGGGGGCAATACCTGCATGGCTGAGGCACTTCTCTGTCCCTGCGTCTCCTGAGGTTTTTTCTTGTTCATTTTGATCCAGTATTCTTTCTTCTTCTTTTTAACCGTGTAATTTTTCTTGTCACTTTTAGGCTTCTGTCTATTGCCGCTACTCGTTGTCACAGCCGCAGACATATTTAATACAGAACTAGTAAAAAGACAGAATGATCACCGCAGACGTAGGCGCTAAGATTGACTCTTCACGAGGCTATGGTTTCAAATATATAGTTTTAACAGATCGAGATTTTCTAGCAACTAAATAAAGCTAAACAATGACTATAAAATGACAACAAATATATATTGTTACAGTTTCAGAAAAACTCGTAACGCAGTCTGCAGCTGAAGACCATGCTGAAATGTGTACGTCCCTGCTGTGTAAGGTCCAAATGTGTCCGACAACCTAACAACTTTAAACGGTATCTTAACCATAGACTTAGTCGTGGCTTTAATTGTTCCAAAAATAGTCATCTGTCGTAAAAAAAATATAAAACAGAATGTATATTGGAAGCAGTCGACATCACAAGTCATTTTATACAACGTTTCTTTCTGATGCGGAACCTTTGTTGATGCAGATGTTTCCCACCGGCTGCTTTGAGGAAGAACACAGTGTCGGTAAGCCGCTGGTGAGTATGAAACACAATAATATTTATGCTTTGACAGGTTTTAAACATAACAGACATGTGATGGAGTGTTTTTGTGGCTTAGATTATTTGACTTTATTATAATTGTGTTTCAGGTGAAGATGGTGGAGTCGCCCTCCGCTGTTCCCGAGAGAGGCATTTATGGATTTGTTCAGTTTCTTGGCGCAGAGTTTGCCTTCAGTAAGTTGGAAACAGGAGGGTACTTTCTGTGTGGAGGATGTTCTATGTTGTAGCAAATCTATAAGTATTGATATAAAAATGTTTACACCGTTACAGTTTTTTACAGACTTTTAGAACCGCTTTGTTAATATCATTCCAAGTGACAGTAGGATCAGAGGAAATACCACGAATCTAGAGACCTCTGGAGCAGTTAATTTGACGGTTTTTCATTTTGTACGTGTATTTACCCCGGTTATGTACGTTTTTGGTCTTCATAACTTTGTGACCGTTTCTGTATCTGTATGCAGTTTATTTCCATGTCCTCATATTTATGAAATTATTTCGATCCTAGACTGGTTCAGAGCGATCTTATCCTTGAGCAAATACCAGTTACCATGGCAACACACTGTTTACTTGCAGCAGTTCCCACAGACAATGGTATAATACATGTCACTGTTCACACACTCCATGCTTGAAGTTAGACCATACGGAAGCTTGTTAGGTTCACTTGTGAGTGTGTTTTTTTCCCCCGCTGGTATCATGTTATTTCATGATACTGTAGATACAGAAGAAGAAGAAGCTGTCAGCTTCTGATAAATTGGTATCATGAAATAACATGATAGTTGTGTATCATGAAATAACATGATAGTTGTGTATCATGAAATAACATGATAGTTGTGTATCATGAAATAACATGACAGTTGTGTATCATGAAATAACATGACAGTTGTGTATCATGAAATAACATGACAGTTGTGTATCATGAAATAACATGACAGTTGTGTATCATGAAATAACATGACAGTTGTGTATCATGAAATAACATGATAGTTGTGTATCATGAAATAACATGACAGTTGTGTATCATGAAATAACATGACAGTTGTGTATCATGAAATAACATGACAGTTGTGTATCATGAAATAACATGACAGTTGTGTATCATGAAATAACATGACAGTTGTGTATCATGAAATAACATGACAGTTGTGTATCATGAAATAACATGACAGTTGTGTATCATGAAATAACATGACAGTTGTGTATCATGAAATAACATGACAGTTGTGTATCATGAAATAACATGACAGTTGTGTATCATGAAATAACATGACAGTTGTGTATCATGAAATAACATGACAGTTGTGTATCATGAAATAACATGACAGTTGTGTATCATGAAATAACATGACAGTTGTGTATCATGAAATAACATGACAGTTGTGTATCATGAAATAACATGACAGTTGTGTATCATGAAATAACATGACAGTTGTGTATCATGAAATAACATGATAGTTGTGTTTCATGAAATAACATGACAGTTGTGTATCATGAAATAACATGATAGTTGTGTTTCATGAAATAACATGACAGTTGTGTATCATGAAATAACATGATATTTATCATGTTATTTCATGAAAGTATCATGAAATAACCAGATACCAGCGGGAAAAAAAACACTCACAAGTGAACCTAACAAGCTTCCGTAAGACCATGAACATTATCAAGGTTTGATCTTTTTTTTGTTTTTTGTTTTTTTCAATTAATCAGAGGTAAAGGTGTGGGTGATGTAGATGATACATATTCAGCACCTAAATGAATTGCTGATGTGTTTATTTGATGAAGACTACAGTCACCATCAGGCTGAGGGGTTTGCGGCTCTAACTTTGTTCTCTTTCCTCAGTTCTCTATTGTGTGTGGGCATTTGTGCCGGAGGAGTGGCTGCATTCTATTGGCCTGACTTACTGGCCCCAAAAGTATGTATGCAAGTGTAAGAGAGAAACATATAAAAGGTTGTCTTTGGTGACCTGTGTATGTTTTGCTCAGGTACTGGGTACTTGCTGCTCCCATCTATTTCCTTGTTGGACTTGTGGTGTGTCTGGTCGTGCTGTTTGGAGTGAACATGAACAACACTGCTCCTCTGGACTCTGTGGACAACATCACAGGTGATGATCTCATTAACGTCTGACAGAAAGGAAAACTTCCAATTGAATGTGGATTCTAACTTGATCTTCTCTAAATGACAGATGTGTTCGCCCAAAGTCAGAAAGCAGAGACCTGTGAGAAGGGAGGAGTGCCCAGACTGAAGGATGTTTTCATTAGTGACGTGAATGAAAGGTTTTATTTATCATCATCAGGTGAAAGATGATTTTTGTTCACATTATTGTATCTTGTCATATTTTATATGATTGTCTCAGAGGATGTTGTACATGTAATAATGTAATCTTGTAACATTTGTATTGATGCTATTATAACTCAGGACTGAGTCTGAAACAGCTCTGACTGTAAATAAATGCATTTGAAAGTTACTTTTTTGCGTTAGTTTGCATACTGCATGAATGAAGTACCATCCTGTTGTCACCAGAGGGCGGTAGCGGCTTAGTGCATTTGGGATGTGTGAGGACTTCCGTAAGTTCTTCCTCCGCCGCTGTTTAAAGAACCTTTCAGCCTCAGTCCCATGGATCTGTATTAATATCTCTGTCCTCGGTTCTGGGTGGTCCACAGTGTGGTGTCCCCGGAGCAGGACATGGCGGTGCCTCTGCCCATGCTGCTCGCCGCCTACGACGCGATCATCGACAGTGACGAGGACATGTCGAGCTGCTTTGATGATTTCGAGGATGACTCTTTGTTTAACCTGTTCCACCTCAGCAGACCCTGCCTCATGTTCATCGCTGACTCTGTCCGTGCCCGAATAGGAAACATTAGGTCCAAATACCCGCAGTTTTCTGTCGATGAGCTGGTGATGGTCACACTGAACTATTACGCACACGGCATCTCCTCCACATCCCTCCTGACCAAACTGGGGCTCACCCACACCCAGTGCCCGGCCATCATCAGCCTGGTGTCCGAGACCCTCTCGGGGATGACCGACAAGTTTGTGTCTTTCCCTGAGACCCCAGAAGCCAAAGCCACAGTGGCCTCCACCATAGAGCGGCTGTGCGGCATCCCCGAGGTCCTGGGCATCGTGGCCGTGCCGCACTTTCGGGTGCGCGTCTCTCCGTACGATAAAGATGACTACCGGGCCTTCTTCGGGCCGCCTGGGTACACCGCAGTGGCCTGTCAGATCATCTGCGACTCTGACGGGAACGTCCTGTGTGTGGACCAGTGCGGGGTGGGCAGCCTGTCCGAGCTGGACCTGTGGGAGTCCTCTGCCAAAGGGAGACAGATAGAGGCAGGAGAGTACGGGCCGTACTGGTTCATTGGTGAGTTTCTCCTCACGCCCCCTTCCTACATATGTCTCTTACTACACAAAGCAAGTATAGTTGGAACAAACTCACGTAATCAAATATGTTTTTTCTTTTAGCTGGAAAAGGCCATCGCCAGAGCAAACATGTGTTGACCTGTTTGGCCAGTCCATCCTCTGAGAGTGAGGTCCGCTTCAATGAGGCTCATGCCAAGATCCTGGGTCTGATGTGGACCACGCTCAGCTGCCTCACCACACGCTTCAAGGTGCTGCAGCAGCTCGGCTTTGCCAAAGAAAACTGTCTGGACCCAAAGGCAAATATCATCAGAGCGTGTTGTGTACTTCACAACATCGCTAAGAAGTTCTCAGTGCCGCCGTTACTGTCGGGGTTTGAACCTGTGTATCCAGAAAAACCTCACTCTGGACTTACAGAGGTCAACAACGAAGCTCTGACTGCGAGACAAGAACTCATCCAGAGAGTCTTCTCTGCTTGAAGCAGCTCAAAAAGAACAATGACCTGTGGAACATGACGCTCATTCACACGTCATGCATCTACAAAGAACTTTTATCAAGTATTATGTTAAAATGTCTTTTTCTACAAACAAACTACATCCAAACGGCAGACAAAGTATTCACAGGGCGTATGCAGCAAGAACCCTGACATTGTGGAAAATCTAACACCATTAACATTAACAATATTCATCCAATGCTCTATGGTTTTTATATTATTTATTAAAATGTTTGTTCATGTGTGAAAGTCCTGCAGAGCTGTGGCATTGGCATAAATCAGTTCATTCTCATAGATATTTTCTTCTTTCTCGTTGAGCTGTAGACTGTCCAGAACGCACTGATGTAAAAACACGTACTGCGACTGAAAAAAGCAGAAGCGTTATATTTAGTTTTGCGGTTGACGCTGTTTCAAACCAAGTGAAGTGTGAGACAATCGGAGCAGAGTTACCTCGGTCTGTACCATATGTGGTCTGTGTAGTCTCATCTTATGCACAAATCCGTTGACGTCTACGGCCTTGTCTTTGTCCATCTGCTGCAGCAACACGTCCAGTGCAATGATGGTGCCCGTCCTGCCCACTCCAGCGCTGCAGCCACAGACAGAAGTATCAAAGGTCTCTTATCGCAGCGCGTTGGTTCCGCATGCATTACTCATGGTATGCGGATCATAATTAAGATGAAGAGATCCTTTATTCATGCCACAGTCAGGAAATTTTATGATTTAAAGAGAGATAAATGCAAAATAAGTATACTAAAAAAAAATCTGCATCTTTCGCATGATAGAGAAGCAAGTATAAAATCTAGCTTTAGTATAATGAAGAGGCAAGTACAACATCTCTAGCTTTATCAAAATAAGGAAGCAAGTCTATAATCTAGTGAAGAAGCATCTGAACCACAAACAAATGTTAAGTTCCCTGTCATTAACAGCAAAGCCAGTAATTATGAGACTATTATAACGTGTGCGTGTGTGTGTACGGTGTTGTCCCGCTGGTGTGAGGACCTACCTGCAGTGCACCACGGTGGGGGTCCCTGCGGCCTCTGTCTGCATGTGGTGTCTGACCAGCTCCCGGAACTGGATCAGGACCTGTGTTCCCTGTGGGACGCCGTGGTCGGGCCAGGCGGTGAAGTGGAAGTGTTTGACTGTGCGCTCCTCAGAGGTGTGTCTCTGCAACAACAACACAACAATACAGTAATACAATAGTGTCAGGTTCAGCAGAGAAATCTATACTGTGACCCTCTGATGCACGGAACAAGACCTCACAATCACAGCGTAAGTACTCATACCACAGACCAATATTTTACCTATAGACATTTAACTTATAGACCTAAAGACTACAATCCCTTGTTGATGATGGATCCAGATCGTGTGAAAACTAGAACCCAAGGCACTAATGACTGAGAATGTACTACAGATGTATCTACAGATAAACATTTATTTCAACTAGAGTGTACAGGGGTATACTTTATATGTTTACACTTAGTTTCTTTTTTAATACACTGAGATTTGTCTTTGAGTTAGGTAATAATAATAATGCGTAGGTTTTATACAGCGCTTTTCTGGACACTCAAACACACTTTACATGTCGTTATTCATTCACTTCATACACAGAGGTGATAAACTGCTACTGTAGCCACAGCTGCCCTGGGGCACACTGACAGAAGCGAGGCAACCAGTGTGAGCCCCTCTGATCACCATCAACAACCATTCACACACACACCAGACTCATTCTAATGTGGGGGAAGTGTCTTGCCTAAGGACACAACAACAGTTTGGCACTTTACAGCCGCCCCACTGTGTTCCCAGAGGTCTCCCATCACAGTATTAACCGGGCCTTGTCCTGCTTCGCATCAGAGGTCTGACTGGATCTGGCTTTCATAGGTAATAATATGTACAAATACATTAAGATTATCAAACTTTCAGTGTTTTTTAAATCAATTACCTTTCTTTCTTTTTTTAAATAATATATTAATCATTTATTCATGACTTTTTTGCAGTGCAGTAGATACAGATCTGGATTATGTTGCGGGAACCACTGCTGGATCGCGAGCCACAGTTTGAGACCCACTTGATTAAAACCTACATGTTTGACGTTGAACTCCCTCAGCGTCCACTCGGGCTCCTTCTGCTCAGACGTGGTGAGAACCTCCAGGTCTGCGCAGGTGCGAGAGGGACCTAGAGGCCAGTACTGCTCACACTTGGTCTGGAGAGGACACAGGTACGATCAGATTTAAACTTGTTTTTGTCGTTTCTTATTCACTTCATCGGAGTCTTTCTCACCCGTCCGCCCTCGGTGCAGTTGGTTACCATGACGATGCGTCTCACTTTCTGCTCCCAGATCATTCTCCAAAAGTCGTTGACGGTGGACGACAAAGGGCCTTGAGCGGCGATGAACTCTCTGCTGCTGCTGTAACCCTGAGGTCACACGATGGAGTACAGTACAGAGTATAAAGTACAGAGTAGAGTTTATATAATCATGAGCCGTGTCTCAGAACGTACCGGCATGTAGGAGGCGTTTATGTAGTCGTTGTGCGAAGAGGAGGAGGTCAGTTTCACGCGGCTTTGGTCGTCTAGAATCAGAACCCAGAGAACAACCTCACAGAGTTGCAGTAAAACCACATTGGAATACATCCCGTGTGCACCAGTGATAGACTGAATTATTTACTAAAATTAACAAATATTATGCTTATTCTTTTAATGGAAAGTTGTTGGGGGTTTTTTTGCCATATGAGATTATTATACGTGTTTTAAGATAATAATAATTCAAGCTTTAAATTTTAAGATTATGAAGTAATGAAGTTTTTCTAATTTGACTTTTCTATGTATGTTGTGCTATACTCTCTCAAAAAATGTTTAATAAATAAGTAAATAATAATTGAATTGTTTGGTTTTTTACTGAATACTGAACTGACTTTGTATTTTCTTATTTTCAGAACGTTTTTTGTTCTATTGGCAGATAGTTTTTCTTACTTTAAGCAGTATTTTACTTAAATTCATATGTTTTTCTTATTTTTTTCCGTGGCATTTTTTCCAGAGTAAATAATATTTGAACCCGCACTTACAAGGCAGAACATTAATGAAACGATTCTTTGGTTTGTTTTCATTCGTCGTCGCTGCTTTCTGGCTCTGGTCTGTGCCGACAATTCCAAGGTCCTGTCCAGAACGAATGGCATTAAAGGGACAGTGAGGGGTTTACACAGAGGTTGAATACATAAATGATATTCTAGAATAGATCGAGAGGCATCAAGGTCTACTGGACGGGGATAGACGGGACACTCAGTCGAAACCAAATGAATTATGAAAACGTGTATTACTCACCTCATATTCTAAGCTGAATCCTTTATTTTCATCTGCACTTAACTTGCTGAAGTGGGCGGGGAACCTGTCCAGAGGAATCCATCTGAAACAAGCAGCGCCATTGTCAAAAAATGATCTGAAACGTCCATCTGTGTGGTATGAATGAAGGATTTCTTCATCTTAATTTAATGGTTTCCTCAAGCATTTGGTGGATCACTTTATCTACCTGAAGCTTGGAGCTGAAATCTACCTCAGTGTTGCATCTCTATCACTTCGTTTTAAGCACTTTTACATCAAACTGCATCTCGACCATTCTGTAAAGGCTATAATCAGACACACTGCTGTTCTTAATCTGATGCCTGTTCCCGGGGCTCGCGGTCTATTGATCTCAAACTGGGTTAAAAAAGGTCTGTTTTACTGTCTATCCATCTGTCTGTGTTTGTTTCGCCTTGATTTTGTCCGTCTGTGTTCTGTTTTGTAATTGGTCACTGTATGATTTGTATGATTGTGTCTAAAGTTACCGAGGAACCTGCCTTGATCTACGACTGAAAATTAGCAGTTATGCAAAAGTCCGGCGCATTTACACTGACGTTTAAAAAAATATCAAAAAATAATAATTTGTGTTCATAGTGCTTCTACATCTCAGAAAATAAAAAAGGCAATGCTTTCTCCCAATCAGGGAACATTAAAGGGTTAAGTTCAATAAGGAAAACGCATAAGGTTCATGTGAAACTGACCTGTCTTTTCTCACCGAGGTCTGGATTCCACCATTGACAGACTTCTTTTGTTTTCTGGAGTGAAGCAAAACTCATTATTGATACTAAATTAGTCAATTACTCATAGAATACAGCGGCCATCTTATCACAACCAACCTAATGATGCCAGGTTTTCTTAATTTAATAAAGATAATAGCACAGACCAAAACGATAAACAGTAAAACGCCAAAGAAGGCTCCTGCGATGACTCCTGTAATCAAACAAACATGAGCAGATGTATCTCAGTGCCGTATCCGTGTGGTTAACTCACCCCGGGCGTCTGTGGCACATGTAAACACGTACGGGCTGCTTCTCCGCGGCCCCGACACCGAGGAAACAGACACTTGATACTTTTTCGCTGGTTGGAAGTTGTTTATTTCCACAAATCGCTGCATGTGCTCCACACGTTCAGACACGCCGGAGACATTCACTTCCACCAGGTCCCAGACGCCGCTCGGTGAGTCCCACTCGATGTAGATGGAGTAACCAGCGTTCCAGTTCTTGCACTTCGCCGTCAATCTCGGAGGAACTAAAGAGCACATTCAAATTACAAAGAGCAACAAGTTTGAACGAGGATGTAGAGTGAACTGGGATGGATTGAGTAAAGACCAGAAGACTTTGCTGATGACGGATCCAGAGCGACTTTCAAATGATCATCACTCTGAATGTTTGAACCCATAGAGCCAATGAGAGCAGGGGTCTCCAACCTGTGGCTCGGGAGCTACCTGTAGCTCGCCACCTTCTCCAAAGTATCTCCCCAAAGGATCATTTCACATGCTCACTACTGCTGCATATCCCTGCTGTAGCTAAGAACACTACTGCATAGTTTCAAATGGAATGGAAATAATAAAACAGTATCAACAATATAACAAATTGTACAGTATCCTAACTCAGTATTTTCCAGACAAGCCGCACCTGACTATTAGCCGCAACCGTCCCACGTTGTAATATGGATAAATGTAGATCAAAACGTTCTTATTATTACTGTAAGGGTTGATTCAGTGTCTGTTCTCAAACTTCCAGTGAAAGCAGAAAGGTAAGGGGTAACATTTAGCAGGCTTGTTTTTTCCTCATGTCTTTACAGAGAACCAAAAAACAATGTATTTGCTTTTCTTCTAGTATTTTCCATGTTGATGTGGGTGACTACAAATGGCCAAAGACATATCACACAATTTAATTAGACCTCTGTGAACTATTCTTCCATTCTGGTGGTCTACTGTTAGTTGGGATAAATATTTTGGCGCCACAGAGAACAATACAAATAAAATAATTAAGCCGCACCTGAGTACAAACCGCAGAGTTAAAAGTGCAGAAAAAAAAGCTGCAGCTTGAAGTACGGAATTTACGGTACTATACCATGCTTGACATAAGAATAAATCTGGTGCTTCCATTTGAATCCTTTGATGTATTCTTTTTAAAGCGCATCATCATGTATCCAAACTAAACTCAGCACAAATATGTTTCTCTCATCTGTGTAAAGGAGCTCACTGCCACTTCTGCCTCCTGAAAAGACTGTAAATACATACATGTATACAGTATATTTTTTTGTACAAGAAAGTATAAAGATGTACATATAAAGTATACAATTATACTTTTGATACTTTTCTATGTTAGGCTAAAGTCTAAATCTTATCTCCGCATTCCTACTGCTCAGTGACCTGCGATGCAACACTGACATTTTCCCACTGTCAGTTGTTTACGTATATAGGATCTCTTCATCTTCATGTCTCATATGATATTGAAAGTACAAATACCATGGTTTGGTCAGGACTACTGGAGCTGGAGCTGGAGGATTTATCTATTGTGCATGTTTTTAGCGGTATGGAACATGCAGACGCGGGGAGAACATGCAAACTCCACTTAGAGAGACCCTCTTGCTAAGAAGCGGGAATCCCTCGGTGGGAATTTCAATGACACAGTTGCACATTTCAGCAGAAATAGGAGCACTCAGGTTATGCACACATCAAACAGGATCTATTATGTAAGATAGTAAAATAATGGAAAATAAGATAATAAACTCGAACTATAATTGCACTTGGGTCAAGGATAAGTCAGTTGTGGAGTTTAGTCAGTTTAGTCCTGAGGTTTCACATGTACAGAGTTTATATTGTACTTTAGCAGCCAAGAATTTGACCAGAAAAACAAAAGCAGCAGCAGGTAAAGGGACCAGGGAGTGATTAAACAACATGAGACTTACTGATGAAGAGTGAGATGTCGCACTGGTCCAGCTCTTTGTAGACCAGCTTCAGGTCGTACTGTGCTCCAGGATAAAGCCCCATGAACAGGACCTTGCCGCTGGAGCCTGAGTTCTGATGCCTCTGCGATCCGTTAGAAGCCGAGGCATCTGTGAACACTCCCTGGACCACTCCTCGGATCGATGAGTCGGTGACCTCCCAGTCCACTGCGCCACAGTCTATAACTACAGAGCAACAACACACAGCTGAATGTCATTTCATATGAAGCAGAGGCGTCAAACTCATTCTGGGCGATTGCCGAAACAATAAATGGGATTCCTTTTTTTATCAATTGTTTTTTTAACATGGCTTTATTTTATTATTATTTATTTATTATTTTGGGTTGATTTTTCTGAAAACAAAATGCATTTATTGTTTATATTTAACCAAAACTGGACCAAAAATAATGGTAAATATTTAACTTTTGATGATGTGTTGGGTTAAAATGTTAGAATAAATTACATGTGGTTGTTTTCCTGAGAACATAGATGATGTATAACATGCCATGGCCACTCATTACCATCAGAGCTGCAAGTTAGTTATTCTAATTGAAAACACTTTCAGGGGCCACTGAAAATGGTCTTGCTGCCCGGTTTGACATTGTCTGTTATAAAGCTATCAAAGAATTGAATAATATCCCAACCAAACTAAAAAATCAAACAAGTTACGATACTTTTACCTGTGATAGTGACTGTTGAGGCCAATCCTACAGCACTGATTGGAGACTGTGTTTTAATACAGTTGTAAATAAAGTTAGAAGGAAATGGAAATGTAGAGAACGGTGCAGTGTTGTTGAAAGAGAACGGATGGATTCACTTTCATATTGCAGTATTGTAATTTATGGTTAGAATGCAGACCGAAACTATATAGCTATAAACTTTCCCATGTTCGATTTTCATGTCCTAAAGTTGTTTTAATTACTTGTGTGATTTTAATGTTTTTAATATTTCTTGTGATCTTTGTTTGCTTGTTTTTTTATTGTATTTTGATCATATTTTTAATGTTTAAGTAGATTTTACTGTTTTTGCCTGATGTGATACTGGTTTTGAGGTTCTCTGTGTTGCCTTGTATAGGAGAAACGCCCTACAAAAAAAGTAGATTGATTGATAATCTGTCTCTATGAGCTTACATTCATTCATTCATTTTCTACACCTTTATTAGTCCATTTCTGGATCGGGGGGTTGACATTGAGAGCTGCCACCCAATGCTCATAGCACCAGTCCCTCTGATCCTCTGCAGGGGGTGGGTCCACAGAAAGATGGCTGCTACATCAGTGGTGCCACAGCCTTAGTGCTTCAGTGCGAGCTTCAGGCAATGTGGGGTTAAGTGTCTTGCCCAAGGACACAACGACAGCAGACATTAGGGGGAGCAGTTGGAGTTGGTCCCAGGGTGGGCTCGAACCCACGACCTTCCAGCCCAAAGGCTACCAACTGAGCCTACTGTCTCTGTTCAATGTCCCTTCAACAAAGATAGACAAACTAGCCTGTATTTTAATTACCCACAGACAAAAACAACAAACCCGTGGCTGTGTCGTATCCAAAAGCCGAACTGTTCAACGTCTTGAATTCTGTCACGATGGAGAACGAGTACAAAGACCCAGGCTTCAGCGAAGTAGCAGCGTAAGAAACCACGTCTGCGTTTTGGCTGAGCGTGCCGTGTGCGCTTCCATTCGAATCCACGCGATACGTCCAGCCTGCGCCCTCGCTCTTCCACCGCAGCGTTATGGAAGTCAAAGTGCGCTCTGATGCTTCCACAGAGGACACCGAAGGAGGAACTGAAAACACCAAAGAGAAGCAAGTTTTATGGGTTGCAATAATCAGGCAAAATAAAAAAGCAAACGAAGCTACCTGTGGGGGCCTCGACTCGAACTCCTCGGCTCGAGAGGTTCGCAAAATGAGTAGTGAGCGTGAAATTGTACAGTTTGCCGCTTAGAAGAGAGCTGACGAGGTGCGTTACCACGGCACCGGCGGATGCGTTTACAGCCTCTCTCCTTGTGTCGTATTCAATGACATAATCCTGAATATCGCCCACTCTCTCCCACTGTAGGGTCACGCTGATCTCTGTCTGGGTTTGAGCTTTGAATCCATTTGCGTCGCGAGGAGCTGCAAAGACAGTAGAAAGGCCGGAAGGAAGTAAAAATGCTTCTGTCAGGGATTATGTAGGGGCTTCCATTTTTGCATCATTCACAAAATGCACACAAAAGTTATAAGGAGTGGAGCGGATTGGACTTTGTTATGTATTGAATCTGTATATTTCTTACTGGGAATAGGGGAAAAAGGAGTGCGGCTGCTGTCGGAATGTACAACCAACAATGAGGACTAGTGAACACTGCCGACCTGCCCTCATTTCTCGTGCATCTGTGCAATAATTTGGGGCAATATAGAACCACATATGTCACTGTCACTTTGTCCCAGACCCAGTATTTTGGACTTTTTTGGAGATTTCTTTTCTTTTCAATTATCTTGTCACTTGTCTTGTTAGTGGGGATGCAACACTGAAATTTGCCCACTGTTGGACAAATAAAGGATCACTTAAAGTAGCAACAAGATTTTCATGTCAAGTCATCATTAAATGTCCCTAATCGGTCAAAAGGCTTTAAGAAAACATTTTACATACTGCTCCTTTAATCTTAATCTTAAAAAACCCTGTTAGGAGTTAAACGGAAAGACAGGGGAAGGATGAGCTCAGAGATTTTGTGTTAGAACTAATAGTAACCGGGTAAAAAAAACTTTGATTCTACTCTTAGTTTCTTGGTTCTCCTTCCATAGTCACAAAACACAGTAATTACTTCATGAAAAAGCAACTTTGTACCTGTGGCTGCGGATACGGAGACGCCGCGGCTCAGGAGGCGATGAAACACGGAGAAAAGAGTGAAGTTGAACCATGTGCCACTCTTTAAATCTGACACAGTTGTTGCGTTTGTCTCTTTTATGGTTAAATTTGCACCATTGAATCGTAGTAGATACTCCACAACACCAGGAACAGGCTCCCATTGTAAAGTGATGCTGGTGTCATTCTGATGAACCGGACCAAAGCCGTCTGTATCGAGAGGAGCTGTCATAGGGAAAAAGACACATGGATTTATAAATGCTTTCTTTTGCATCGAGATGACATTACAAGAATATCTGGTCTCCCTCTGGTCTCTCTCTGGTCTCTCTCTGGTCTCTCTCTGGTGTCTCTCTGTTTTCTCTCTGGTCTCTCTCTGGTGTCTCTCTCTGGTGTCTCTCTGTCTCACTCTCTCTCTCTCTGGTCTCTCTGTTTTCTCTCTGGTCTCTCTCTGGTGTCTCTCTCTGGTGTCTCTCTCTGTCTCACTCTCTCTCTCTCTGGTCTCTCTGTTTTCTCTCTGGTCTCTCTCTGGTCTCTCTGGTGTCTCTCTCTGTCTCACTCCCTCTCTCTCTGGTCTCTCTCTGGTCTCTCTCTGGTCTCTCTCTGTCTCTCTCTGGTCTCTCTCTGTCTCTCTCTGGTCTCTCTCTGTCTCTCTCTGGTCTCTCTCTGGTCTCTCTCTGTCTCTCTCTGTCTCTCTCTGGTCTCTCTCTGTCTCTCTCTGGTCTCTCTCTGGTGTCTCTCTGGTCTCTCTCTGGTCTCTCTCTGGTGTCTCTCTCTGGTCTCTCTCTGGTCTCTCTCTGGTCTCTCTCTGGTCTCTTTCTGGTCTCTCTCTGGTCTCTGTCTCATCTTTTCGGTCTCTCTCTGGTCTCTGGTCTATGTCTGGTCTCTCTCTGATCTTTGTGGTATCTCTGATCTCTCTTTTGTCTCTCTCTGGTCTTTTGTCTCTCTCTGGTCTTTTGTTTATCTCTGGTCTTTCCTGTTTCTCTCTGATCTTTTCGGTCCCTCTAGTCTCTCTCTGGTCACTCTCTGGCCTCTGTGGTCTCCCTCTGGTCTCTCTGATCTCTCTGGCCTCACTCTGGATTCTCTTGTTTGATTGTTATACACTGTAGTTTTGGGGGTGCTCATAAGCTTGTTTCTTCAGCCCACCCCTTCGGTTCCTTATTAAAACTGTTCAAATAAATAAACAATGAAAAGCCTCTTGCCTGTCGCAGCTCTGAGGCTCTCTCCAGCTCCTGATATATTTCTGAAAACAGTGACCAGAGTAAAGTCATACAGCGTGGTGCTTTGGAGACCTGTGACAGTATACTGCGCCGGGTTTCCGAGATCTCCCGCTGTGAAATTCTTTTTTGTTACTCCGTTAAATCTCAAACTATAATTGATTTCCAGGTCGTCGTTGGTCCACTGCAGAGTTACACTAGTCTCATTTTGCGTCACTGCCTTGAAACCTTTGGCTTTGGCAGGAGCTGAAACAGAAAAACCCCAAAATCAGGTCCATGTTTTTACGTTTTTCGCTCCAGTGGGAACTCACCGGTGGCAGCAGTCAGATTGAAGCCGCTGCTCCGCTTGTCTTCGAACACACTGTACAGAGTGAAATCATAAAGAGTGCGACTGGAGAGATTTTTCACCTCATGGATCCCTGCGTGTTCTTCGCCGAATGTAGTCTCATTTCCATCAAATTTCAAAATGTAAATATGAATGTCTGGAATCTTCGTCCACTGAAGGGTGATGCTGCTCTCGGTTTGATCGGTTGCTTTAAATTCTGCAACATTTTCTGGAGCTGGAATGGAAGGAAATCCATTTGTACACAATTGTCCGGGTGTTATACATGTACGATTTATCTTTATACGTTTTTATAAATTTAAGTCCTACGTACACTGCACAGAGGAGAGAAAAATATAGGGTCAGGGTAATAATAATAATAACAATAATAATGCATCGGTTTCATACAGCGCTTTTTTGGACAGTCAAAGACGCTTCACATGTCATTACTCATTCACTTCATACACGGTGGTGATAAACTACTACTGTAGCCGCAGCTGCCCTGGGGCACACTGACAATGAAATAGGTGGCATTTTACTTTGGACCAGAGCAGGGGAAATGGTCGGAACCCAGCGGCTACTCCACCTCTGCGGCTGTGACCTGAGGTGCTGTTGTATTTTATTATGACTATTGTTAGCTTTTTAGAATAATCCATTTATTTTGTTTTGTTTTTATGGATGGATGTGTTTTTGCTGCTACTGGACATCTGAGTTTGTCCTTCGGGGATCAAAAAAGTATCCATCTATTTTTTATGGTGGTAAAGAGGGTAGCAATATGTGTGTGTGTGTGTGCGTGTGTGTGTGTGTGTGTGTGTATTATCTATGTATATTTTGTGTGCTCTTACCTGTGTGTATGCTATAAAACCCAAATGGTCTCACTGTGGCACGAGTAAAGTTTCTCTGATCTTATCTTATATACATGTATTTCTGTGTGTGTATGTGTGTGTGTGTGTGTGAGTGTGTGTGTGTGTGTGTGTGTGTGTGAGTGTGTGTGTGTGTCTGTGTGCGTGTATATAGATATTGATGTAGAATAGACATTTACTTAACATGGGATTAGTGGTATTATTGTTAACATTGTGTTGCTCGTGTCTTCATAATCGTCTTCCTGTATAGATGGGTCTGGGTTGTTGCATCATTTTGGAGTTGTTCTGTTTCATATTTTATTTATTTCTAATCTGCACGTTCCGTCTTTTTCAGCACACCAGAATTTCCCCCTCATTCCAAAATGTACACAAAACAGGATCCTACTGTTACGTCGTCCTGGAGTCTGTTTATCAATCTCTGCACGGAGAAAGATCAAACTCCAAAGTGAGTCATCTATAATGTTCTTAGGTGAATATAAAGTTGTCTATAGATAAATGTCTGGGGCTACGGACTAATACACTGTAGAAAATCCAACTGCAGGGTTTTGACCATTTAGGGACCAGGAATAATGCAAAAATATACACAAGGAATATATATAAATTGTGGTTTGGTGTTAGGGTTAGAAGGTTAGGATTTACGGTTTATGGTTATTTAGGGTTTAGGGTATTTGAGTTGAAACTGGCACTGACTCATTCCAAAATACTTGATTTGGCTCTAAATATTCTTTTCATTATTCTAGCGTCACAGTGCTTATTAAGCCTAACCCTAACCCTCTGGGAACGATAAAGTTTTTTTGAGTGTGAATTGTACCTGTGGTGACGTTAAAAGCAAATCCAGGTCTGGTTTCATTGCCCACTTTTAATCGAAGAATCATGTGATAGTTTGTAGCCGGCTTCAGGTCCCCTTGAGTGTAACCAACTGGACCGGCGTTGATCCACCGGAAATCTGTCCCGTTGCCTTCTCCGTAGAATAAATTATAGTCGTCAACACCGGGAACCTTCTCAAAGCTGATGGTCACAGTCGTCTCAGTCACAGCCACAATCGAAACATTCTCTGCTTCTGCAAAGGCACCGTATCTTTCACAATCGAAACCACAGCAAGACCATGCACCATGCATATTTATAACAACAGCCTTCTCACCTGCTTTTGAGTTCGGCTGAGCATCCGTCAGACTAGCGGTTCTCTAGACAAAGAGCAAAACATGTGGTAAAACTGTGACAAAAATCAAGATAAAGGTAAGATCATTGCGCTTCTTATTGTGCTGATGCATGAGAAACATGTTTGTTAATGGTAAGAAGGTGTTGTTTTAAGCCCACATATATAGAAAGTGAGACATTTTGAAAAGGCGTCTCCCATGTGTCAATAATTGTAAATAAAGGGTTACTATGTCCCGTTGCTAATAAACGATTTTTAAGTTAAGTCGGAGTGCCATGGACCATTTTCTTCTTTGTTTTCAAAATTGTAAATATAGGTTAAATGGTAGTTACATTTGGCTTCTCCACATAATCACCTATGTGTGCCATTTCCCCATAGAAATCCATACAATCTAACATTATGATATAGATGAGACATGTCCAAACTAAAGCTTGGCCTTCTGCTGCTGTCACAAAGAAGCCATCAAGGCACTTTCACTGCGTCATTCAGCCAACTTCAGCTCCACCACTACAGTCATGCACCCAATTGTAAAGATAAAACCCAACTTCATATAAACTGACATTTGTTTTTGATTGTGTCACAAAATTCCATAAATGCTAATGTAGCTGTGGTGTGAATCAATATGCATGTAGTGTTTCCCATTGAAAGCCATGATTTCACTCATAACAGTCTTAAAATCCATGTTGTCGGGCCTTGGACAAGTCTAGTGCCTAGTTTTTATATAAAATGCTTTCTCTGCATTAAGGCTGAGCTGAGCGTCAGTTTTGTGGAAGATGTTTTAACGGAAACTGCACCATCGTCCCAGCAAAGGCATGAAAGAAGAACGACATAAATATTTTCCATAAGTTAAAAAACTGACGTCCATTTTGAATCCTACCACGGCTTTGCATGTGTGCAAAAGTTTGCACTTCTTACACTCTAAATTCCGATCGCGCGAAACAATAAACCGGTGAAACTGAACTGATCTGAACCAATGCAATATATTGATTGTTATACATTTGTGATTTTTATTATGCATAAGTCATTCTATTTTTGAAGGTTGAATATCTGCTTATATATACACAGCTGACAGGGAAATAACACATGAATAATATGTTATGGAAAAATAGCACAAATGTTTATTTGAAAGAACAGAGAAACTGAAAATATAGACTAAATATAACGTTCGTAAAGCAGCTGTTCAGTCTCAGCATTTCCTCATTTGTTTTACTATTACGGGAATAAAGGTGGACATTGGTCAATTGCTCCATTTGGACTTATGCCTCTGTGTGTTTTTATCATTTATTGTGTTTGATCTGTTTGATTCTCTGATCTGTGTTGGAGAAATCAACGTTTTTTTAAAGTCCCCTGAGCTCACTACTGCTGTGCTTTAGAGCTATACAAAATTACATTACAGGACTTCACAAAGTTGTCGATGCGCCCACAAAAGATCAGAGAACATAACAGTTCAAACACAGCCCTTTTATACTACCTCCATAAAAATGTGTTCAAAACAACACAGCTCAGAGTTCAAATATCCGCAGTGGTAGTTAGCAAAACCAGACTAAAACCTCAAACTGGGCTTAAATCTCACTCACCCACAGCGGCCACAGACACAACACCCACAGCAGCGCTCCAGTCCTCACTCTGAATGTAAAAAGATCCATTGTTGGTAATCAGTGCATGGAGTGAAAGCTGGTCTGACGATGGTGTCGCCGTCTGGTGTAAGTGACACTAAGCGGATCCCAATATGTTGACTTTTAATTCTCAGGCATATCCTCCCTGTCTCACCTCTGATCTTCTCCTCTATTAAGAAGGAACTCAGTAAATAGATACTTCTCTATTTCAGCCTTAACCACACAGACCTTTGCCCCGCCTATCACTTCCTTATAACTGTTATAATCTGAAGTCGGCTGAAACTGTATCAATCAAATTCATTTGCATAATTGTCGTGTTGAAATCTTTGCTTTCTGATCCACTGACAACAAGGAAAACTTATTTTGTTTGGAACAGCCCTCGCAACAATAGGCTGTTCCCATTTTCACTCCCTCGGGCCTCTGAACAAATACACAAAAGAATGAGGTTATGTGGATCAGCAACATATTTCAAACTTATTATTCACATTTAAAGCTTCCTTTTATCTAATTATTGGTGTAGAATGTGTCTGAAAGGATGAAAGGGGATTGGATTAATAAACGCTGTTTGCTTTGACCAATCCCTTTTCAAACTCTGCACAGGTTTTCTTGTTTTCTCTTATTATCACATTTTTCTGTGAATAATAGTTTGTATCTCGTGCATGTTTGAAATAAATAAATAAACAAACAAACATGTATGAAATTTCATTGGGAACAGTTCTGTCAGCAATAGGAAAAATGAATAGTCACAGGTCGGCAGATTAAATTATTACACATTAACACCTTTTGAAATATACCCCCTGTAATAATAATCACACTATCTCCATTTAGATGAGATCAGATAAAGCCTCCTGTTGGTGTGGACTCCTTTACTTTGGGGCCAGTGGTTTTTGAGGTTAGCCATATATATATATTAAATGAAGACCGTCTTCATTTAAAGCCAATAAACAGAATAAATGTCATACACTTGTTTATAAAAAGGCATTAATAAAATTTAAGAACACTAAATATGATCTACATTCAGTCTATTCTCTGAACCGGCCGACTTTGACCCAGGAGTTCCATGCCTCACACAAAACTAGGGCAGAAATACTATATTTAAACGTAAGAACAAGTACAACAGTGTGTGACGTCATCATCGTGACGCACACTCGAACAGTGTATCCATCATGACTTCTGCACTGAAGCCTCTGCTCCCCACGGGGCAATGGAGAAGATAAATATGATGCTGAACCACCACAAAAACGGAAAATGCAATGCTAGTTATTGGACCTCCTGGATAAATATCGTTTACACTAAACGCAGTACTGGTGGTTAGTACTGTGATGGGAGACCTCTGGGAACACCAGATGCCACAGTGGGGGCGGCTGTGGCTGTAAAGTGCCAGACTATTGTTGTATCCTTAGGCAAGACACTCCAACCACATTAGAATGAGTCTGGTGTGTGTGTGATTGGTTGGTGGTGGTGGGAGGGGCCAATGGCACATATTGGGTGCCTCGCTTATGTCAGTGTGCCCCAGGGCAGCTTCTGGCTGTGGTAGTTTATCACCATCTTTGAGTGTCCTGAGAAGTGCTGTATAAAATTGATGCATTATTATTATTATTATTATCAAAAACATTTTTCAAACTTGCATTGAAATTGAGATGAATACATGGGATGGAGTAACTGTAACCCAGTTACATAAAATTTTAGTAAGGCTTTGAATTTATGGAATGAAATTTCTTGAAAATAGTCCCACTGTCTGAGAAATATAGTGACAGGTCTGTTAGATTACTGAAATTATCAGTGCGGCTCTTCACTACTTTGTGTTCACACTGATCAAGTGTTTTAGTCTGTTTATTGGATTGTGATGTATTGTGTGCAATGACCTATCTGTCACCTCTTGCACAAGGCAATTACATATTACTCCCTTTTTTGTCACCCAATCAAATACACCCATCAGGCAATACAAAAGATCAAAGTAAAGCTGTATCTTGTTCACACATTCTGGGAGGAATCAGGACCTGTTTGAACTCCAAACTCACACATAAAATATGGCCCAAGATAAAAGAATTTGCACACAACATCAACTAATATGGATTTGTCTTATATTCTGCCTGAAGCTTTTATATGTCTTTATATGGCTTTACAGAGCCAATTCACAGACACCAGTTATAACCTGCTTTATTTTAGCACAGAACATGTAGGCAGCGTTAGATCCCTATTCACAGAGGTAGTCTCCACTTGTAATGAGAGAAATCAGAGGGCGTAACTACAGGTCCCCCACTTCTAAATGAGTTCAGTCAAATTTGCACTCCAGAGGTTCTCAAACAGATTCAATTTGTTCAGATTCTTTGATATTATTTTCAGTGGTTTTAGAGATGCAGTTCTTGAGATACAGTTAGTACCGTTCCCGAACCAGCAGGGGGCGCACGGACACGTTTGAGTCCATCTATGCACGACGCAAACAAGAGCTTACCAACAAACAGCAGCTAGCATTAGCATTAGCACAAGGGGCGTAGCTTGTCTGTGCTGCTGCAGATAAAAGCTTCCACACCGGGAGATAAAGACACAACACCAACGGACACGTGGATAAGCGGCTTCCTCACGAACTCGGTAATATTTTGCACCTTCCGCACGTTTCTTTATAGTAAAACATTTATCTTGAATGTCAAATGTAGTTGCATCTTCAGGCTTGTTTACGCTAGTTTACGTCACGCTCGTGCCTCTGACCGCACGTTCCATCGGTCTAGAAATGGGTCTGAAAATCGGAAAATTATCTTTTTTTTTTTTAAATCTTCTACTACAATGTGAGTGGCGAGGTTTAAAGGTTAAAGTTGTATTAAATCAAAACGTGGTGGAAAGACTGAAAAAGTACAATGCTGTATGTGTGCGTGTCTAAGGTCGTAGCGTGCTTACGTAAATGACCATTAAGTTTGGGTTTCCACGTTCAACTTTGATCTATTGAGCAACGATTAGCGAATTGGTCCCAAAAAAAAGTCAGATTTATTCGCTGTTATGAAGTAGAAAATGGAGCAAGTTCATGGAAGTGTTTGTTGCTTGTTATTTACAGCACACTTTTCGAGTGGGTGGTTTATTTGACTGTGTTTTCCAGAAATGCAGTCTGCGGTGAAACAGAACTACCATGTGGAGACGGAGGAGGACATTAACAAACTGGTGAACCTGAAGCTCACTGCGTCCTACACGTATCTGGCTTTAGTAAGTAATATTTTTATGATGTATAACAAATCCAGCCTAATTCTTACTAAAGTGATTTTGATTTCCCAGGGAATGTATTTTGACAGGGATGACATCGCCTTGCCAAATTTTTCCAGCTTTTTCCTTGAGCAGTCCATAAAGGAGAGGGACCAGGCTGAAAAACTGCTGGAATATCAGAATATGAGGGGAGGACGAATTTTGCTCAAGACTATAGCTGTAAGTGGTTGTGTTTTTATTTTTTATTTTTTTGATTGGTTTGAATCTTTGAACGATATGTTGGGTCTTTAGAAACCTACCAGGGAGGACTGGAGAGGTGGCCTGGATGCAGTGTCCTTCTCTTTGGAGTATCAGAAGTCTTTGAACACCTGCATTCTGGACGTCCACCGCCGAGCTGGAACCAATGGGGATCCTCATGTAAGTCTGGAGCTAATGCAAGAATAACATAGTTTAAATTTCAATTCATGTGTGATATGAATGATTTACTTTTTTACCCACACTGCTATTTTTCAGCTGTGTGATTTTCTGGAAGAGAATTTCCTCAAAGACAGTCACGAGACAATCAAGAAACTGGGCGACTACATGGGCAGTCTGGGCCGCATCGCCACCAACGAGACCTCTGGTGCAATGGGAGAATACCTCTTTGATAAACACACTCTTTAAGTTCATGCAACGGCACAAATTCTCAAAGTTCTCAAGAATTAAAAGCTAATTTGAAATACCTCAAATTTTTACAGCTAAAACTGTGGTGCATAAAGTTACATTTCAAATTTTACAATATTTCATAGCTGCTGGAAATGGATCGTGTTAACATTCCGTTACGTTGGAATAATGCAGACATTGTTCGTACAACTGCAAAGATGTTTTAATTTTAAATAAATTCCTTGTTAAATAACTGTCTGTTAACCTATTTAATTACATAACATATGCTGAGCTTTCATGGGCCACATTCCCAGTTTATATGCAGTAGATTACACACATACATTGTTTACTCATTGATTGGTGGGAGCTTAATATTTAACTGTAGGTTGAAGACATATCATTTAAGGTAAACTGCTACTTAGCAAATTGTAGGTTTCAGCAAATACCTGTTCTCCTGCCCTCAGTCACAACCATACGCTGAAGCAACCGGCTGCTTTCAACCTCGGAAATGGTCACACAACTAATTGTAATGGTCATTATCAGACTTATTTTGAATTTTCAGTACAATGCAAGTGAGTTTATTTTCTAAAAGTAAAATTACTTATGACGTATAATGGTATGTGTAGATCAGGCATGACCAAACTAGGTGGCCCTCTGCTGCTAACCCATAGTCTTGGAGTCCACGGTGTCATCCAGCCAACTTCAGTTCAACCGACAAAGGCACATCATACAGTGTGAAGCTCAGGATCTCTGGAATCAAGTTGTGGACTTGCATGAACTGACGTTACTTTCAGATCGTTTGCCACAAATGTATCTGACGGGTAAACATTAGTCATTCAGCCAACCTCAGTTCTGTCAAATGTGAACCAATAACACGCCATAGCTCATTTTAACCTCGTAGAACCCTTACATAAAAATATTTGAAAAAAAAAGATTCAATAACAATTTTGGCAATGGCGCATACTATATTTGCTTCTTTGGGTTCTTGGGTACATACATTAGTATAAGTATAATATGTCATAAACCAAAAAGTCACTACTTTTGTCGTAACAATTGAACTTGATGTTGCATATTTGTATCCCAGGGTGCTACGGCGGAAAAAGTTTGGACACCCTTGGTATAGCTGAAGCTGCAGCAGCATGAGTTTGAGCACCTGTGGCTTATGTACCTCTCACCAGACTCTAGTGCCTTCTCTAGTGAAACGGTACAGCCACGTTATCTCACAGTAGAAGTCAATAGATGGACGACGGACGTGCTGCTGCTGCTATGAGAGGATTAGTGAGGAGGCTGGATGCGCAACAATCTATTACATAAACATTACTTCTTATTGCACCTCATCAATCTAACAAACAAACTTTCATTCATAACCGGACCTTCAGACATTGATGTGATTTTATGTGTGTACAAAACATAAGAACGTGTTTGTCTTGAGCGAGAGTTTTGAAGCAACAGATGTGATGACAGCGTTATTAAAGGAAGGAGGAGGGGTATGGGGATTAAACACTGCTCTCCATTGCGTTGGATTTGATAGTAGGATTGGAGGGTTGCCGCGAGACCGAGCCATGGGACTGTGAAGGCTGAGGGGCCGAAAGACAAAACCAGAAATACACCAAGATTTTGAGATGAAGCTACTGCATAGAGGACAATACAAATCAGCAGGTACGACTCAAATGTTTCATTACATTACAGTCACAGTTTGGGAGACACCACAGCTAGCATGGTTTTAAATGATAGACACGTTTTGACCATAGCCGTGATGGTGACCAATGAGACAATAATAATAGTAGGTTTTGCTCCTATGCAATAACTATGTTTGGTAAAAAAGAAAAAAAAAGAAATCTTGAATTAAACTTGTTTGTAGTCCCTCCACCACAACAACAATTTTCTTAGGCCTACCTGGATGTAACTAAGAAATACTTTTTAGCTTTAATGTCTCATTCTCAATGCGTTTGGGTGTGCTCATAGTTGTTGTCTTGCATCATCTCTGAATTTTAATGATTTATTTGATTTTCAGCTTTGTAGAAAGTGTTGCATTGTGATAAAATCTAGTAATAAGTGTTGAAAAATGGAGGGATGTGTATCTTGTGAGTTGGAGATGACGGAGAATAAAAAAGGGATTAGGGTCAGCCATGTTGAGCATCTGGCTTAGGGCTGTTCCCCTGCGCTGCTCGGACATGGGATTACGGCCCATGTCCGAGGCCTACAGTACTCCACACTCTATACCTGTCTGTTGTATGTATCTTCTGCCAGCGGCCATGAGGCTGGTGAGTGCCGGGATCCGGGTCAGACGGGCCGTGGAGACCTCCGAGTCCTCCGAATCCTCTGAGGAAACTACAGAGACGGTCCATCACGAGTCCCATCCGGAGCACCACCAAGAGCACCACCCAGAGCACCACCCAGAGCACCACCCAGAGCACCACCCTGAGCACCATGAGGGCCACGAGAGCCGCGAGCACACCCAGCCAGAGCACCACCATCCGGGCCACGGACACGACTACACACACATGAAGAACAAGTTTATGAACGAGATCACCCACCTGCCCAGTAAGGACACATCCTCAACAACACTGTTTTTTTGCGAATTAAACAAATACACATTTAACAGCACACACACCAACACAATGTAGAGCTGAGGGGAAGTCAGGGTCAAGCTGCTGGAGTAAAGTAAATGACAATAACATAATTTAAGGTTAGATCTGACTGATGTTGTAATGACAGGTCTGAAGTGGTGAGGTCAGACTGGTTACTGTACAGTTTAGACCACTGTTATTATCTGATCTTACAGGGAGTTTGCCAATTCATGCACACTCAGCAAACTGACATTAGTCTAAAGAGGTCCTCTGACACAATCCACAATTTAGAAAAGCAAAACAAATGTAATTATCAATCAATTATTTGACTTATTATGAATGAATAGTGGTTTTGGAACAAGGTCCAAGATGCAGCCTCAGCCAAAATCAAAAAGAATGTAAATCATGTTTCTTTTTGGGCATTTGGAACATTGTTAATTTGCAGTATACTGGAACATTCCACTCCATTACTGCCTCCATAAAGTCACACAGTGGCTTAAAGTTGGAGTACCTAACTTTGACAAAATCCATGAAAATAGTTCCAAGCAAAACAGTTTGTTCTTGGCCTGGAACCTTCACATCTTTAGATCAACTTCTTCAGTGAAAAGAATCCTTCCAGCCCTCGCTCCATCAGCTCTCAGTATTTCAAAGTAATATTTAGTTCACAAAATACTTAAGCATGAGACAAACAAAATTCCTTTATGGTTAAGAATTCATCTCCAGTTCTTCAAAGGAATCTTAAATACACTCTCATAATGCAAATTTTTTTGTCATTTCAAGAGTAGTATATAAAGTAGTATCATTATTATTATTTTTATTTTTTCTTCCAGTTCCCATGTGGGCTGTGGGGGCCATCGTGGTGGTGGTGCTGTTGTTAGTTGCCGCTTGTCTTTTCTGCGTTTTCAAGAAATGTTTTGGGAAGAAGAAAAAGCCAAAGAAAACCAGAGAGACGAAGGGAGGACGCCGCAGAAAAGCGAAAGAAGGAGACGAGGAAGGGAAAGAGAATAAGGTACGTTATACTTTGCCAATGTGTTTTTCAAAGCCACTAACGATAAAAAAAATATTCGTCTTTTAAAGGAGGGAGAAGCGAAGAAGGGAGAGGAGAATGATAAGGAGCATGAAAAACTGGGGAAATTGGAATATTCTTTGGACTACAACTTCACAGATGCTCAGGTCTGTTCCATAAAAAGCATAACCACAAATAAGACTATATTAACTGGCTTTATAATTGTTGTGATTTCAGCTCATTGTCGGGATACTTCAAGCTCAGGATCTTGCGGCGATGGACATGGGCGGCACGTCTGACCCCTACGTGAAAGTCTTTTTACTACCAGATAAAAAGAAGAAATATGAGACCAAAGTCCAGCGCAAAAACCTGTGTCCTGTCTTCAATGAAACGTTCATTTTTAAGGTGGTTATGTGATAAATACGATTTGTTTTTATCTTCGCCAATAACTAACCACATCTTTTCTCCAGATTCCTTATGCAGAACTCGGAGGAAAAACCTTGATCTTGCAGGTTTATGACTTTGACAGGTTTTCGAAGCACGACATGATTGGTGAGATTAAGATCCCCATGAACAGTGTGGACATGGGTCAGCCCATGCAAACGTGGCGGGAATTAGAGAGTGGAGAAAAGGAGGAGGTTAGGGTTTCTTACTGGATATCTATCAGCCAATGGTAGTGTTGTTTTAGTGATATTGTAAAATTGTTTTTGCTTCGTTCCATTTCAGCAAGAAAAACTTGGCGATATTTGTATTTCTTTACGATACGTGCCCACCGCTGGGAAGCTCACAGTAAATATCATGGAAGCTAAAAATCTCAAGAAAATGGATGTTGGTGGATTATCAGGTGAGACTAAAATTATATATATATTTTGAATGGCTATAATGGATTGGTCGTTTATTGTCTATTGTGTGAATGAGATAAGATTTTTCATGCTTTATGAATGTTTTCTTACATTTTCATAACTTTTTTGCGCCATATCCGAAGCAAATTCTATGTGTTCTAAAACAATCTATTTTATCTTTGTCCTTAAGACCCGTATGTAAAGATAGTTCTGCAGCAAAACGGAAAACGAATCAAGAAAAAGAAGACAACTGTAAAGAAAAACACACTAAACCCTTATTTCAACGAGAGTTTCAGTTTTGAGATCCCATTCGAGCAGATTCAGGTACGGTCCATCCACATCCATCTCAAACCTGGTTGTAGTAGATCACTGTTGATTCAATGTTTTTGCTTCCAGAAAGTGCAAGTGGTCATCATGGTGTTTGACTACGACAAACTGGGAAGCAATGACCCAATCGGGGGCTCCTTCATGGGGTATGGAGCCACCGGGGTCGGCCTGCGTCACTGGTCTGAAATGTTGGCCAATCCCAGACGTCCAGTGGCTCAATGGCACACGCTGGTGTCAGAGGAGGAGATGGAGGCGGCGCTCAAAGCCAAACCGCGCTAACGTAGCATTTGTGTGACTCAAGGATGGTCACTGACAACCGTGTGCAGTCTCTGTTTTCTTTGTGTTCACGTTATCATTCAAGAAATTATCGTTTTGTGTTGTACAGAATGTCTTGATATTTCTGTTTTGTATGTGCCATAGTTCCTACCAACCGTATGTGACACTAAATATACAGTGTGTACGTTTGCATGGCAAGCTAATATTGGCTAAAGTATGTTTCATTTGTCACTAACTGTTGTAAATTGTATCAATGAAACATGTCCAATTAAAGTAACATATCCCTATTCACTGTATTATTGGGGTATAGTGTTAAGAAATAGAGCAAATAGCACAGGGATAATCCAGAGATCACATCACCCCCATCCTCAAACAACTCCACTGGCTCCCTGTCCCATCCACATACAATCTAAGGTCCTCCTCATCACTTACACTTGCAGTACATGTCACTTCGCTTTCAGAGCTTCAAATCACTGTTCCAAACCCACCTGTTCAAAACTGCCTACCCACTGCTGTTTATTTCTAGCATTTTATTATTTTAGTACAATGTTCATTCATTCATTGCCACTCACTGATCCTCCTGCAGGTGGTGGGTCAACGGAAAGATAATACATTAATAATACTACATATTATTGATCTTAATAAAATTGGACTTTCGGACACATACAAATTACAATGCAATACATAGTTCCCACAGACCAATGAATGTCACATGACCTCCTCGGAGACGCCATCTTTGATGGCACGCTGCTGTGTTTGTGCATTCCATTAAACAGAAGAATGAGAATAAATGTAGATATTCAAACGCAAATTGGAAAAAAAGGGCAACTTTTGAGCAAATAATTGTATATTAATACAATGGCACCACAGTTTAACGTGCTACGGACATGTTTTACATATTTGATCAAATTATGCAGCAAAAATTAACAAGCAATGCAAACATTTCTCAAAAACTTTAGATTTAATACCAGTTGGAGCTCCATTTAATTATTTTAATTATATTAACAATTAATTTAATTAATGCTAATGCCACACGGACACTCTGGATTGCTGTTATTGTTTATTTCCGCGTTTTTGACCGTATGTTTTGGTGAATGGTGGGCAACTGATTTTTCCAGGCGTAAAGAGCAGTTTATTTTATGACACAGATCTTTTTACAGAAGCAATGCTGTTTGTGAACATTGTTTTAGCCCACCATAGAACTATTATTTTCTATTTAATACATTTACGTTGCCCTCGAGAGCCTCGGACGCGACACCGATCCTCCTCATAATAAAGTAATCTAAATAATGAAACTCTCAAGTTACCAGATATCAGCATACACAAGTTAGTACTGAGTAAATTACGTCTGTCAACACATTATGAGATACGATACGCACCTGACACAAAGTGCTCCGAGCATATTCTTGCGTGTTTTGAGGGAGTTTCTTGCCTGTTTATCTTCGCAAGCCATAACCTCCGTGGTTGTTCTGACAAAAGCTTAGTCTTCTCACATTCATGAAGTCTAATGATGGGTATACTGTAAAATCCAAGTTTAACGGAACCTCCGGCACAATTTGAACATCCATTGACCCAGCAGGAGATGACCATTTTCAACTTTATCACGACATTAACACGTCTCAGCTTCTTTTTCTATTGTTTTGCCCACAGCATGCCAACACAAATGGCGCCGGGTCGGCAAATCCCCGTATGTAGTGACGTCATGTAGGAACTATGTATATAATCATATTTTCAATGGTACCACAAGACTTTATACTTGTTCTGAGATTAAAATCATTGGAAAGCCTCTCATTGAGAATCTCACATTCTGTTTTGTGAATCTAAATTGTGTGATATTATTTTTTTATTTACACAAATTAATTTAAAAATATAACTTTAATCACCGTAATGGAAAGTACGTAAAAGAAACACAAGATGGCGCTGTTTCCTCCCTTAGGATGGATGAAGCGTTACCTAGCAACAGAGTCCAAACTTTCTTAAACAAGACTTCCACGTTACTGACGCTCAAGGAACTTACTTTGCTGAGGTAAATAACACTATAAACACAAAACACCATTATTTGTATCGTCAGAAAACGTAGAAAGCTAACTCCACGAGCTGCATTAACTTAGCTAGCGTTAATTAGCTTTTGCAAAGTTGGAATTGCTCCATATCGATAGCTAGCTTGATTGCTAATGTTGTTTTGTCATTCACAAAAGTCTAGCTGGTTCTATTACCTGAATTTACCGTCGTGTTGTCCAAGAATGAGTGCGGGGCGACCTTCTGAAGGAGCTGGCTGCATGTCGTGGTGGGGGTTCAGCCCGGCCCGAGACCTCCGGAGCTTCGGTGAGAAAGTCCCACTCATTAAAATAACCCAACTGTGCTGTAAAAATGGATTCAGACTAACCTAAATATATATGGAGATTTATGTGTTATCTATTGACTAATTTACTAACAAATATTTTTTTTCTATTATTTTTCATAAGATATAAAAGCACATTATAGACTGTATTTTAGCCACACACTTCCTGTCGTTTTGTACACCCTGAGTGATTCTATCTGTGCCAAATGTGACATGTAAATTTCTCCGTGAAGAGATCAATTACATTTATCTACTTTTTTATGTCATTAAGTATTTGCCTAGTTATCAATCAATCAATCAATCAAATTTTATTTATAAAGCGCTTTTCATACAATAAAATGCAACACAAAGTGCTTTACAGCTGAGTCAAAATCATTACAACATACCCAATAAACCCCAAAGACCCACCCATAAACCACCCTAATTATTATATATACATCGAGATGCATATACCCTTACACACGCACACACACACACACACAAAGACATATAAAATCACAACAGACAAGTAAAATAGGTAAAACTATGAAAAGATATAGGGCTGGGTGCGGATGTCTCCAGCTGAAGAAGCGCCATCCAGGGAGCCATCTTCACCAGGAGCAGAGAGCCGCTTGCAGTCACGGGGACGACACAGGACCCAGAGGAGAGAGGAGGCCCCAGACCTCCCACCAGGCCCCCATAGGACCCGGAGGAGAGAGGAGGCCCCAGGCCCCTACTAGATCCAAAAGCCAGACCCCCGCAGCCAGAGCAGACCGCCGCTCCCAGTGCAGAGGGCTCCTCCAGAGGAAACACTGGAGGAGCCCTGGAAACATTTACTTTTAAAAATATGAACGTTCTCTGCGGCCCTGAGCTCCTCCGGCAGACTGTTCCAGAGACGGGGGCCGTAGTGCTGGAAAGATGCCTCGCCGTGAGTGTGTGTCCTGACTTTGGGGATGGTTAGGAGTCTGCTGCCGGAGGAGTGCAGGGGCCGGGAAGGCTCATAGGATAAAAGCAGCTCTGAAAGATAAGAAGGCCCAAGACCATTAAGACATTTAAAGACAATTAAAAGAACCTTAAAATCGATCCTGAAACACACGGGGAGCCCGTGTGACATAGTTATGTCTTATGGTTTTTACTTTTACTCCTTTCTTTTGAACCCAAATATCTTTCCCTAATACCTTCTGCTCCTTGGTGACTTTACGAAAGACAACTATAAAAAAGCAGTAGGATAAAGTGTGCTCAATGAATTTATTGTGGTGTCGTAGATCAACCACACAGAGACGGGATCGAGGCGCACCAGAGCTCCTGGAAGTTTATTCGGTTTAAATCACATTTTATCCTGAATGTCTCCTACGGGGATCAATTAAGTGTTTATCTATCTTTTTTTTTACTTCAGTAGACAGATGCAAGTATTGGTTTAATTGTACTTAAATAGTAAGGGAATTATGTGCATGTGTTTTATTTTAACCAGGGTAGGGCTTCATATAAATACCTACAAACGCTTTCTTCTACCATTTTTGCAGGACCTGTACTCAATAAAAAGGAAGTCAATGTTTTACTTGTGGGCAGTGGTGATCCTCGACATATTCTCAAGACCATTGCTGGATTGCCAGACAAACATAGTCTCCATGTAAGTTCAAAACAGACAAAAAGACGCTCAATTCTGTCACAGATTTTGTCTATGTCTTTGTGTATGTTCTAAATGAGGTGTGGGTGATCGAAAACAACATGGCGGCGGTGGCCAGGCAGATGCTGTTGCTGTACCTCACACTGATTCCAGAGAAAAGCATGGGACTCAGTGGTACGTCCAGTCAAAAGTAACAAATGATCCCAGTGAACAGCATCAGTTATTAGTGTCGTGTTTTTAGAGAAGACTGAAGTTTTCCTTGAGCTTTTTGGAAACAGTGAAATCCGCAGTCAGACAGCAGAGACACTCAGAGCTGCAGCATCACAACTGATCCTGTCCGTTACTGAAACTATGGAGGAACCCACACATCCGTGCTTAAATACATCACAACTCAAGGTAATACTATCTCTGACTTAGCCTTTACCTTTTCTGTTTTACAAAGAAATGCTTCTGAATTCTTGCATTCTTCTACAGTTCAAAGAGAGAGATGAGCTGGCCAGAATATTCAAACAGTGGACAGAGCCAGAATCTTCCGTCTCAGGGCATCGTGGTTCCATTGTGATGTCTAAAGCCTGGGATTATCGAGTTCGTCAACATCTTGGGACGCGCTACGACTCCAGGACAGGGTGCTTTGACTGGGACCTCGTCATGAAGCTGCATGATAAAGGGGTAGATAAATAATTTAAATCACTAAAATGTATGGTAAGGTAGAGGGTGTGCATTTTGCTTGGGTATGTGGTATGAAATTTTCCATCTACATTAAAATAAGCAATTATTTCAACCTGGTTCTCGGATCTAGAAAGAGGAGAGGCAGCCAAAGTGGGTATTTAATCCGTAAAATTGAATCTATAAATATATATATACAAGATTTATGTCATACCAAGGTGCATTCCTAGCTAATAATTGACATATCCATTGTATATCCATTGTATTTCAGGCCGGTCTAATCCACAAAAAACAGTATTCTCAATGGCGAGCTGGAGGCGTTGCATTTGAACTCAGAGAAGGCGTTTACCAAACTTCAAATCCAACGTTACTGTCCTCCAGGTTGTTCAATCAGGTCTGTTTTCTCATTTTATTCACGTGTAGGATCAAAATAATGAACTAAGTATTTGTCCTCGTGCTGTTGACAGAAAGGTTCTAAAGTTGCCGTTACGGGTTATTGGGGCGACATCGTGTCCAGTCCTTACCTTTCCTTTGGCATCGAGACGGAAGATAAAAGTCTGTTGAAGACACAGAATGGGCACTACATCCAAGTAATCTTTTGTATATCTCTATTTGTTTTTTTATAAATCTAAATCTCGCTAAGTTCCTCTTGTTTATAGACAGCTCAAGACGTCTCAGTCGCTAATTTGCAGACGATGTTCCAGTCCCTGTATCGTAGACAGAGAACTGCTCCTGACTCCTCTGATAATGACCCTAAGTGTGTCGCTGTTCATGGTAATCCTTCATAAACACATTTCTAAATAGAATCGATCAATTTTAGAATCTCACGGTATCTCTCTTTCAGATTTGATGCGTCTCGATGACTTCAGTGTAACTTTCCAACCACAGGATGCTCTGATAAAAATGCCACAAAAAGAGAAATATTCAAACTTTTTCGATGTGATTTTCTTCTCCCTCAGGTGTGTCTTAAATATTTTTGTTTAATGTTTATATATTTTATATGTTTTGATGCAGCTGACAGTGAATATTAACAACTCTAGCTTCTCAATGTGATGTTTTTTTAACAGTAGAACGCTCATAACAGTCAATTCGACATTGTTTTGTTTTGGAAGTTTAATTACTTATGTACGTTTTGGTCTCCATAACTTTGTGACTTTTTCTGTTTCTAAATGTAGTTTATTTCCATGTGATTATGTTTATGAAACTATCTCGGCCCTAAACTTTCCTAGAATGGTCCTGGACTGGTCCTGGACCGGTCCTGAACTGGCTCAGAGCAATCTAAGCTGGGAGCCAGAGCTAGTTACCATAGCAACACACTTAGTTTTGTTGTATTTGATTTACACTAACCAGTTTTTGCATATTGAATACAAAAAAAAACATACAAAATATTTAAAAACTATAATTATTAAAAACTATAACGTTTGAATAAGAGCTGTCAAAATGACTGCTCTGGGAGTTCTAGTAGTTTGAGAGTTCTGTTGTAATTCTCGTGTTAACACCTTGTTGTTGTCTGTGTCTAAAGCTGTGTTCAGCAGCTGGACTCTTCGCTGACAAAGATGGTTGCACCAGACGCAGTCCTGGCAGTGGAGCTGCCCAAGTAAGACTTTTATTCAGAGATGAATAACTCTGTTTACAGACAGTCACCCTCAAGAACCCTCTGGAGAAGCATCTCATTTCACTCTTTTCTTTCAGGTTTATCCTGGATTTGAACAAAGAACAAGAAAGCTGTTTTGTAAATAAAGTCAAAGACATTGCTCAAGAATCTGGGTTTGAGCTTTGGAACGAGGACACAGCAGATGATGTTATTGCTGTTTTTACTCCACAAACAAAGGTGAAATGTTGAAGTGATTTATTATTGACTAAGTTTTACAACATTGAGCGTCACACAAGATGTCACGAAGAAAAACGGGACATTGTAGTCATTCATATATTGCAAAAGCAGTAATATTGTCTACTGCACAACACGACTGGATCTAAGTATGTCTCCCATCACTGCAACAACAATAGAGTTTCTTCTTGTTTTCCATTACTTCCATCGTCCTCCAACCTTCCCCTTCCCGTGGCATTTTTTGCTAAATAAAAAGATGAGAAAGGTGTCCAATAAAAGCCTGGTATTGAAAGACATCAAACATAGACAGACTCACAATTTCTGAGCGTGTTGGATTCGGTTCAGTAGGACATTTATCTGAAAGAGTCATTGAATATTTACCGCACACTGTTATAGATTATAATGAGTTCTATCTATCTAACCTCATATTTCTGTCTCTTCATCTTATCTGTCAGCTCAAACTTCTCTGACTCCAGTTGGTAGATCTGCTCCCACATCTCTTTGGCTCTGGCTCTGAAAGGCAAAGAAGCAAGTATAAAATCTCTGACTTTAGCAAAATAAAGAAGCAGGTCTAAAATCTGCAATTGTACGACTATGAAGAAAGTAAAAGTATCGATCGTGTTTCCAAATATTGCTAATCAGTTCTTTATAATAACAACAATGGCTATGCATTGAGGAAAGCTAAGGTTGTGTTTTCATTACGCTTTTATCTGGTCCTGAATCCTAGAAAACTACTCACGACAACAATTAGTATCGTATAAATTCCTTTGTAAATAGTTAGAACACAAAGGAGCAGTATGTAAAAATCTGGCCAAAGGTGGTACTGCAGCCTCTCCCACTCTCCCTGACTCAGGTTGCCAGATATGCAGACACATCCAGCTGGGAGCATAATATCTGAATTTTGAGTTTTGTCAACAACAAATCTATAACCAACAGCTTTTTCACAAAGAGAGAAATCCTGGTTTTATTCCTTGTTTTGTCATTAATAATTTAAGAATCATAACAAGACCTTTTTTAGTTTTGTGGCCACATGTCACTTTACCAGTGAGATTAGCTTGAAGTGGTGAGAGTTCTGGCAACCCGGATCACGGACCTTCTGATTGGTAAAACGGTGGAGGGCGGGACATTGTAATGAAAGTAATAACAAGATTTAGGGGCTGTAAAACTAATTTTGAAATTGAAATATCTCTGAACTACTGTTATCAGTTAAAAAAGTATTTTAAAAGAGCATGTTTTGTTATTGCCGTTTGACAGATTAGGACCACTTCATGATGACTTGACATGAAAATCTTACATATTGCTACTTTAAGGCCAAGCAGGAACTACAAAAGTACCTGTGTCTGGTTAAATAGGGCCTAAAACTACACACCTCAGTCCATCCTCTCTCATATTCTCAATGGCCAGTGGCGTGCGTCTCTCCGCCAGTGTCTTCTTCTTGATCTCTCTTGCCGTTTGTTTTTTGCCTCGCCTCTGCTCAACCTAACAGAGAGACAATACTTAAAAACAGTATTAAAAATTCAAAAGAAGAGTTTATAGTTCTCTGACCTTTGCCAAGAAGCCACCAAAATGTGCGCCCATGTTGGAAAGCACTTTTTTCTTTTTGGCGTCATCCTCCGCTCTCTTCTTGGCCTCTTCCTCCTCCTTCCTCTGCCTCTCCTCCTGCACAGAACAGCAGTATGTGTATTATTTGATAATACTCGGAAATATACACGTAGAATACCGCGATTCGAGTTTGTCTGTGTCTTTCTTTTTCGGCTCTGACTCGCTGCTGCTCAGCTCTCTCTGCTCTGCGACTCTCCTGGACACAGAATAATAACATCATGGTTTTTAATTTGAGTCAATGAAATGTATTTTTGTATTGCCCTAAATCACAACAGTAGTTATCTCAGAGGTCTTTACAAAGTTGTCGAGAATACTTTTGAGAAATACTTCAAACACTAGAAATGCAATGATAAAAAACACAGAGTCCATAAGGGCCAGATGACCATTGTCCATAAATACAAAAACAGATAAGTTCCATGGAAACATATCTGAAAAGCTTACAATTTTCTCTTTACCAAGTAGTTTTGTGAAAAGTCAGATCTATTTTAGTACCATACAATTAAAGTTTAACCCCTTCTTGCGCAAAATTACACAGATTACTATTGAAATCGAAAAGTCACAAAGATTTTACAACCAAAAAGTAAGTAAGTAATGTTTATTCAGACACGAGGAGAACATGCAAACTCCACACAGAAAGGCCTAGAGGTGGAACCGAACCCAGGACCTTTTTGCTCTAACCAAAATCTCAAAATCAAAAAACTGCAAAGTCATATATAACCAAATACATATGCGTCAAAAATCAAAACAAATGATCTACAATTCTCTCCTTGAGCCCGATCAGTTCCTCTTCCTCCCTCTTCCTCTGCTCAAAGTGGACATCGATCAAAGTCTGCAGCTCCAGAAGGTCCTTTTCCATCCTTTTCCGGTGAATGTCCTGCCGCAATCAGCACAAATGAAACTGGACACTATTCACACTTAAAAACCACTTGACATTTTGAATATATGATTTGCATACGTCAAAATCCACCCGTTCTCCTTCTGGGATTTTGGGGGCGAGCTGAGTGACATGTGGCCTACAGACGAAAATTAGAGAATAATATTTGTCTTTTTAATGAAATGAAAAAGGGTTGTTTACCTGTATCTAGGGCGTTCTTTGTCCCAGGAAATATGAAAAATTGATATAAAATGTTATCTTTAGCAAGTTATACAAACTTCCCCTGTAATGTCTCACCTCCTTCGTCATCATAATCTTGGGGTGAAGCCGGAAAATCCCCAGAAACATATCTAGAAGTGAATATGAAACGATGATGTTTTAGTTTACAGAGAACAATGAGGGAAACCCAGCACACTTTTAACAGTATGAAGATATCTGTGTGTTGCAAATGTTTTTTTTGTTTCAGCGTTCAGTGTTCTCACCCGTGTTCTTCCACTTCAGACATTATTTCACTAAACAGAAAAACACATTGTTAGAATTGGTAGAATGACAGACTGAAGGCATGGACACGTTTACACATGGATTAAGAAACCTAGATGTAAAAAGTTCATTATGTCTTCTGTTTCGAAAGTTCTTTTACTAAGACCAAAATGTAAAGAAACTAGTACTGCTTAAGTCCGTTGCATGTTTTGGCGGCAGTGTGAGACGATGAGATGGAAACGAGAGGCAATTGAAATAACGAAGCGGGGCGCAGGACCATCAACAGAAACGAGAGGGCCTTCACCTTGTCTCACACTTGGGACTCACTTCTTCAGAGACCACGGGGGGGGGGATCAGTTTGACGGATCTACCCTGTCATCCAGTAAAAACAGCTGACATCACACCATCACGTGTCTTCAAAGGCGGAAGTCTACGCCGAAACATGTCAGATAATTACGCATAGTTTCCTAGTTTCTTTAAATTTTTCTCTTATTGAAAAGAACTTCTAAGCAGATTGAAATTAGAAATACATTTAACTAACTTTTTGTAAATGATGGAGCCAAAAAACATTTTCAAGTTGCATTTGACAAACAAGGATTTCACTGAATGTTTAACTAAATCAATTATGTTAAAATAGCTCTTGACTTTGCATATTGGCTTAAGCTTTGTCCTCAAACACCAAACATCACTGTGGGTGTAAAAGTGGTGCCATGTTCTTTACTGAGGCAAGTTCAATCATAGAACACAGGCAATCAAAGACAAGGCAATTTGTTTAAGTGCTTAAAAAACCAAGAAATGTCAAATTAAAATCTCCCAGCAGGAGGCCAGTCCCTGTGCTCCTCAGAGTCCCAGCAGGAGGCCAGTCCCTGTGCTCCTCAGAGTCCAGCAGGAGGCCAGTCCCTGTGCTCCTCAGAGTCCCAGCAGGAGGCCAGCCCCTGTGCTCCTCAGAGTCCCAGCAGGAGGCCAGCCCCTGTGCTCCTCAGAGTCCGAGTTGGTTCATAAATACCCTTTAGGCCGTAGTCATTTGTGGATAATGGTCTCAGAATAGAAGAGGTGAAGAGTCACAGAGTCCTCATCCCTGGATACGAGAGGAGCTCAGCCGAACAATCTCATTTTTGATTTGATTAACGTGAGAGAATGTGTCTGTCAGAAATATTAGACTTCTCTATTATCACCACCAGTCTTCATCAAGAGGGAACTCAGGGACTGGACAAAATGTAGGACTGGTTCCAAAGTAAAGTCGCAGCTTCAATGTGACCAATGGTGCCACGTCAATGTTTACTTTTTGGATCAAGTGCAAATGCGATACAGATATAACTGGTACTGGTATATGCTAGAATTTCACTAAACCTTGATTGTAAAGCTCTTTCTGTGACCCTGATCCGTGACATGCGCTATACACATAAATATTACTTACTTTCTTAATAGAGTAAGAACAAAGACTAGATTCATAGTAAAGTAATTGTTTATTAGGAATTATCCAAGATTAGTAACTACTCATGTAAGACACTAACCCCAAACTTTATATACTTTTATACTTTAGTATTTACTGAGCCTGAATTATTCTATTTGCACATTATCACATTATCAATTAATAAAGGCTGCGAATAGTATTAGGTCTGAAAATCTTTTATAAAACCACATCCATGAGTTTTCAAGAGAAATGAGGATGCCTGAAGAGCACGTACCTGTGCAGAGTCCAGAGAGGCCAGAGTGGAACCAGATGGGACGGCCTTTTTATAGGAGCCGTGTGGGGCGAGGATAGGGGCCTCACATGAAAGATGGAGGACTGTGTGAGGATTACAGAGAGCTTTGCAGAGCGTGAGATCAAACCATGACAGACAAGATAATGAGTGAGATGTTCTGGCATGACCTCAGCGCTGCTCTGGGGCCGACAGATGCACAAACACTCACAGAGCCAACCGCTGCAGTCACTGATCTCACCAGTTATTAGTCAGTAATAGATATATCCATCCATCAACTTTAGCTCAATTTACACTTGTCTAAATGAGTTCTGTCATAAAATCTATTATTTCTAAACACAAATGTTGAAATTAATTGTAATAATCAGAATCAGATTTCTTTTATAGTCATGAGCGTAACAAGAAGTCACAAACTAGGAAACTGCTTTGGCTCCCTCTTGCAAATTGCAGAGGGGAAGAAACGGTTCTTATGGCGGGACGTTCAGGTCCGAATGGATTGTAGCTTAATCCCGGTCGGAACAGGCTCTTTCTGAGTGGAGTTTGCATGTTCTCCCCGTCTGAGTAGGTTTCCTCCGGGTACTCCGGATTCCCATAACAGAGTTACTACCCCCTTTTAGGGCGACAGGAGCTCAGTTGGTAGAGCATTGGCCTTTGAGCCAGAAGGTCGTGGGTTCGAGCCCACCTCAAGACTTTCAAAATCAACTCCCACTGTCTGCTGTCGTCGTGTCCTTGAGCAAGACACTTAACCTCTGAGAACACCTGATGCCACAGTGGGGCGGCTGCGGCTGTAAAGTGCCAAACTACCGTTGTGTCCTTAGGCAAGACACTTTACCCCCATTGCCTAGAATGAGTCTGGTGTGTGTGTGAATGGTTGGTGGTGATGGGAGGGGCCAATGGCACATACTGGTTGCCTCGCTTCTGTCAGTGTGCCCCAGGGCAGCTGTGGCTACAGTAGTAGTTTATCACCGTGTATGGAGTGAAAGAATAATGACATGTGAAGCGTCTTTGAGTGTCCAAAAAAGCGCTGCATGAAACCGATGCATTATTATTAAGGACAGAATCGTGTATGTTTGATGACAAAAAAAAAGTGCCCCAGTCCCATGTCCAGAGCTAAAGTTTACCCCGGGCTGTGAGGGCCACAGAGGCTATGGATCTATTAAAATATCAGGCGCATGGAAGAGCCTTTCTAGACCCTGCAGCGCCGCCCTGTGGTGACCTGGAGCCTTTACTTAGCAATCATGTGGCACATATATTCATGCTGATCAAAATTAATGATTTGTAACTTTGTACAAAATCAAGAGAAGAAAATCATAACCATTTTTAATGCCACGTAAGTAACAGGAAGTTAGACTTGGAAAGAGCAATTTGTTGTGTCCAAAACAAGACTTGAGTTGATGTCAAAGTCATATCCAGTTTATCATAATCAATAGTTCTTAATTTATTTAGAATTTAATCCTAATTAGTGTATGTGTGCTCCTCATTCCTGCTGTTACATTTCCCCACTGTGGGACCAACGAAAGAGCTTCATCTCATTTATCTACTGCTGCTGCTACAATCGCTGCTGCTGCTGCTACAATATCTCCTACTTGAACACATAAATAAATACAAGAACAGACACAATTTTAAAATGCTTTTATTTTGATATAATTACAACACTAAAGTCTAAAATAAAAAAGTTAACAAATAAGAAGTCTTGAACTTACACTGTCTGGCTGCTGTTATTCTTTACACAGACTTGGCACAGAGTTGATAACTGCAGGCAAATAATCTAAAATGTGTCTTTATACACACTGTACGTTTGCTGGAGCTATTGTACTGTTAATACCAATAAGTCTAAAATGATCCCGGCAGAACACAGACTGATATGTGCAGCGCTTCTGTATTTTATCAACCTCGAACAGCTCCAAGAAAAGACGTTGAAAACAGTAACATGTTCAGAGAACCCTGCAGCTGATTGGCCAAACTTTCAAATGGATTCATAAAACTGTGAACACTAATATTATAACTGTGCAAGTAACTAATCGCATTAGAATAAACTCTGTGCGAAAAGCATTGACCAATGAAACGTCTTCACCGATGTCTAGAGATCTTTCCATGTCAGAGCACGCAGAGCAGTCGCTGCTCCCTCAGTCCCTGTAGGCCTATGCTGGTGCAAACTGTATGCAGGAAATACAAAATCCCTTTGTAATGCAACCCTATCCAAATACGTTCTGAAGACAAGACCTGTACATTATACAAATGGCTAAATATGTAAAAATAAAAGGTCCCTCTTAAGTAACCTACAAACAAATATAAATATATTTTTGAAATGTCCTTTTCAGCACTGAAATATTTATATTGAGAATTATTTCTCACAATGTGTAAGGCTCGTTCGTGCAATTCTAAAACCAGCACAGGTGCAGACGTCACCTTTCCTTTGGTGAATGTTACTGGTCTTTCTTGACTTCTGGTCGTCTGGCTTCTGGTCTCTTGGGCTCTGATTGGGCACCGCTGAGCAGGTTGAGAATATCATGCAGTGCCTTTTTAATCTGATGGCCATATTTATGGGCGTCCTAGAAAAAAGAAATATACCAGCAACGTCAGAAAGATCCCGCTGTGCAGACAGCAGAAGTTGTTTAGAACTTACAGTCTGGGGGCACGAGTGCTTGCAAGAAATGTGGAAGTTAATGATGTTGTCTCCAACAAGGCTATAGGCCACTCCATACCCATCATCAGCCACCTGAAAGTAGACAGGTCACTGTTCTACGTGTCACATAAACTGTTAATGATGATGATAATAAATGACTCACTGGACCAAAGCCTCCTCCACAGGAGATGTATTCTGGGTAGTTGACCAGGTCAAACAGCTCCACCTGCTGGACAGCAGTCTGACTGGTAGAGAGCCTCCAAGGCTCTGACAAAACCTGAAACATAGAACCATGTAGCACAAAGAAAATGAATGGATAGATACATGTTTTGCAGCAGCAGCAGCCCCCAGACTGTGGAATGGTCTGCCTCTCCATATTAGACTGGCGGACTCACTTCCTGTTTTTAAATCGCTTCTTAAGACTCATCTTTTTACGTTGGCGTTTAACTCAGTGGGTTGACTTTCTGTGCAATTGGTATTCTTGTATATGTTTCTGTATTATATTGTGTTTTTAGACTTGTGTTCAGCACTTTGGTCAACTGTGTTGTTTTTAAAGTGCTCTATAAATAAAGTTGAATTGAATTGAATGTGAGGGGACAGTAGCTCAGTTGGTAGAGCATTGGCCTCAAGGCCAGAAGGTTGTGGGTTAAATTCCCACCTCTACACCTTCTCCACCGACTCCCACTGATGACTGTTGTTGTTGTGTCCTTGGGCAAGACACTTAACCCCACTTTGCCCAAAGCCCCTGCTGGAAGATCTCAGCTCCTGTGGACTCACCACCTGCAGAGGATCAGTGAGGGGCTGGTGCTATGAGACTTGGGTGGCATCTCTGATTGCCACCCCCCTGACCCAGAAATGGATTAAAGGGTAGAAAATGGATGGATGGATGGATGAATTGAATGTGTTGAATTAATATGTTATATAATAAGAGTATGTGCAAGTAACTTCAGGAGTGATGGACCTAAACTGTTGCTCAAACGCTTTTGGAAGATAGGAACAATAAACATGTGCGAACCTCTTTCAAGAACGGAGACTCGACTCCCAGATACTTGGAGACCACATAGAGGCAGAACAGGTGTCTGTCGATGCCCCCTCCCGTCATGGCCATGCGGTAGAGGAGCTGGTGCTTTTCTGATGCAGAGCGGAACAAACGTCTGCAGACCTCTGGAGCCTGTGGGAGACAGTAAGACGTGGTTTAGCTTCAGGAGAAGAAGAGGAGTCTGCTTCAGTCTCACTTACCTCTCCTCCCTCAAACGCTCGGACAAAGGCACTGCTCTCGTTGGAGCAGGAGCGCACCGTCTCAGTTCTGCCCTCTCGGAACAGACGGGTCATAGACGCCTCGTACGTCAGGCAGAAACTACTTTGCTCCTGAAAAGTATTTGTAAAAGACGTCAGATTATATTTGTACATTTAGTATGGACGTAATTACTAAATGTATTGTGTTATAACGTGATCTCACCCTGAAATAAGCCAACTGAAGGGTCATCTGGACGAAGGCATCTGGGCTGACTCTGCACTTTTTAACCCTTCCTTTCCCAAACTCTTGGAACGAGAACACATGAAAGTCTATATCATCTGCCAGCGCCTGAGCCACCGCCAGAGACTTGGAGATCTGCTCTTCACACTAAAACAGCCGTAACAAGGTCGTAAGTAACCAAATATTAATACGTAAAATCAATATAAAGTCCAACCTCTGGGAGGATTTCCCAATTGAGCTTTTGTGGTTTTGGAAGTGAGGAGTCCACTTCTCCCTTGCAGTGACCCTCTGTGTTATAACCAAGCTGGAAACTGTCCGTGGCCAGAGAATACTGAACAGAAACATTCAATCATTTAAACATAATGCTGCAATCTGGTCATATTAGAAGCATTAAATCAATTAGATTCACAGATATATTATTGAACAAAAAACAATAGTGATGCATAATAATGAGCCTCCTCTATAGAAAGAATATTGGCGCCAGTAGTGAGAAAATATGTCAATTCAGCCACAGGATGATAGAGGGCAGCACTGCTTCATGGAATCGTCATGGATACATCAGGGTGTATGGCCACTGGTTTAATGGGGTAAATATTATACATGTAAATATAATGTGACACAAATAACTAGGTCACATAATACATCCATTTAAATCGATCAATCCACACAGGAACTTCTGTTATTGTTGTAGAAAGCAGAATAAAGACGATGACAGACAAAACTGTCATTAATGTAAATATTAGTCTGGAACTCCCCAGTGCTGAAGGGTTGGTTGAATGGAGTTCTTCTGTTTCTATAGTTTTAGGATTCATTATCTTAAGCATGCAGCTCTTAGTTTCCTCTTTGCTTACCTCCCATAAATGAGCCAGAACAGGTGCATCTGCCCAAGAATGTTCTGCATTTATGCCACATTTTCCATTTTTATAGTAAACCACAGAGAACGACTTATCAAACCACCTGCACACAGCAGAACCATCACAGCTGATGTTTAAAGACAAAGTCATAAAAACAGAAACAAGTCTAACCTGTCGTAGCATTTTCCATGCAACAGTGATTTAGCGTAGCTGTCCAGACTCGCAGCAGGGTCATCTCCCATCATGCCTTGCTCATCATCATCAAGTGTGACAAAAAAGGCAGATTTCTCTATGCAGCTTAGAGATCTTTTGTTGAGTCCTGTGCCAAAGAACTTTGTCCTGGTTTGGGCCCATGGAATCCTGCAAAAGTATTGAAACAATATTGTTTATAAAATAAAAACCATGTGTTAATTACAGAACCATCAAACAAACCTGTCTCCTGCCGTCAGAGCGCCGAGGTGAGCTTCTCCTTTAGAAGGAGGAGTGGGATCGTCCAGGATCCTCTGGATCTGAAACTCAATCTCTCTGGGTGACAGAAGGCGGCCCGCCTGGTACACCCTGAGCCGGAAGTAGCGCCCCCTGTGGTAAACCACCACGTAGTCACTGTCTTGCAAGTGCTGCAGCACATCTTCAGCAGAGAGGAAAGATACATAAATGTTAAATGTTTCAATACTATACAAATCCAGAGGCTTCGAGCAATGACCACTGACTAAACAAATATTCTCATATGCCGTAAACTGAGGATCATGTAAACAGGGTGGAGAGAAGCACAGACCTCTGACCCCGTATGAAAAACTCACAACAAAACCAACCAAAAGAAAATAAAACATGTGTTTCTGTAGCCGGCCTTGTGGGGAATGAGAGGTGGAGTGACTCACTGGTACAAAAGTAAATAAGAGCTTTAGAGAAGGACCCGCCCATAAAGAAGAAACATGAACACTACCTGTTATCTCTCCAGGGATTCGACAAGTATCAAACATCCTCTCAAACTGATAGGAACAGCATGGAACTGCAGACCTCAACAACCACTGAATAAGATAAAGAGAGAGGTCCAGTCCGAAGAGGAGAGGGTGTGAATCAGAGGGTGAGGGGGGTTTGAAGAAATCAACCAAAGAAAAATGAGAAAAATCAGTCATTGTGTTTCAGAAATAGACCCTCCCAACCTCTCAGCAAGAGAAGGGACAGAAAGGAAGAGGAGGATGGAAGGATGGCCATAAAATGAATCGGGAAATCACACAAAGTGTATTTGTTAATGTACGAATGTGTTGTTGAATAGAGTCAAACATTGAAGAAACAGAGGTCTTCTTCTTGTGAGGTGTGAATGTTTTATCGCCTCTCATGTCTGGCTGCCGTGTCTCTTTACCAGTCTCTTCTCCTGGAGTACGTGTGGTGTTGAATATCCTCTCACACTGAGCGGCACACAGGGGAATGACAGTGCCGGGGATACGACTCTGGGAGATGGAGGGTAGTGGGGGAGGATGGAGGAGGCATGGCACAGAGAATCAAGGAGAAACAAATTAATGAATGAATGAAAATTAACAATGATCCATGGAATGTGGTAAAAAAAATGACATTGGGGGAAAAGTTGAGCTTGGTCATGCATGCTGTGATTAAAGTTCCACCCACTTCACCTTCAAACAAAACAAGCATCAAATTTGACATTCACAAACCAAACACATAGAATTACCCTGTGAAAGTAAACAATGCAAGCTTAGGGAAGTCAGATAACATATGATTAAATATTAACTTTGACCGAGCCCTTTGTCTGGCATTGCAAAGATAATGTCATATAGATTTACTGAAGTAGTTTTTTTATGGGTGCAGTGAAAAATAAATAAAATTGAATGCAAAAACTAATATAATTGCAAAGGGAATACTTATTAAACACACACACACACAGAAACGCACACACACGCGCCCTGTGTAGTGGTGGGCAGCTAAATGCGTGAGGTGGCTAGACGACTCACTGGTTTGATCTCCTCTTTGTTCAGCTTGCGGCGATAAAGAAAGAAGGCGTGGATGGAGTTTCCGGCTCTCGCTGCCTGGATCGGCGTGGGCGTCACAAACAAGAAGTCCTACACGGAAGAAATCATGGTTATGCTGTAAAGTAGGATTTTACATCGTCTTCATATAATCCACAATGTTGCTATAAAACTGAAGGGCCCCGTCTCTTCATAGTGCTTTAGCAGGTAGCAGTGGCGTTATTGATTGATTCTATTGTTTTTTGTTTAAGCTACATTTTATCCCAACATGCCAAAACACAGACGTAGACTCGCACCATGCCGTAGTAGTTACTGTTGACCATGATGGGACTTCTTCCACGGAGGTAAACGTACTCCTCCCACCAGTCACTCACCTAGAAAACATATAGACATTTCAGATATACTGTTGTCTTGCTACTTACAATTCTATGTGTAAGTATGCTCACTCACATAGTTGGCAGCCCATAGTGACTTCAGCTTGAGGTACCACTGCAGGCGGTTCCCCAAACTGCCCTCAAACTCCTCCGCCAGTTTGTTGGTGCGTTCGTATTTGTCGTCATCCATGAGAGGACGCACTGACTCCAAGTACTAATCACAACAACAACAAAATCCTTAGAATGAGACAAAGATGCTGTACCGTCTATGGAACATTTGCAATCACCAAAAATGAGTTCAAAATCCACACATACATGCATCACATGCTGAAAACATGTGTTTTCACTCATTTCAAAGAGGTACCCTAATTTCCGTAATATACTTTTTTTCTTGTTCTTTTTACCCAGCGGTGAATAAAGTCATGCGGCTAATCGATGTATTTTTGTTGTGGTCGAGTTATCGGTAGTTTATGGTAGGGGTGCAACGGATCGGCAAAGTTAATTGTTTCCACTCATTTGACTTTCTTGTGCCACAGTAACTAAACACAGTCAGTTTTATTGACCAACCTCTTTCCATCATCAGTATATTAGACAGAGATGCCAAAATAAATGGCGCCTCCGTTCCTCCGCTCGCCATGACCACGCCGTGTGTGGACTGAACATAAGCACCTGCGGATCACGTGCCGAGCCGAGAATATAGATCTGAACAGATCAATGAAGATCTGTTGAACCACTACTAGCTTAGGGATTTTGTATTATTATTTTGAAATTTCAGTAGCTTTTGAACTCTCGTTTATTGTCAGAATAGATGAAGGTGAATGAGTCACGAGGCTAACGGTTTAGCTGCTAATCACCTCCTCATTAAATCATGTTGTGAAAAGTCGTCTCTCTGCTACAACATGAAAACCTGTGGCTTATATTCAAGTGCGGCTTATATGTGGTTAACATATACTTTCTTATCAAATGTTGCTGGTGCGGCTTTTCTATCCACAGAATATCTCACCCTTTTGACGGTGTCCTTGACGGTGGGCACGGGCAGGTTTGGCAGTGATCCTTGGTAACTGTAAAGAAGAGGCTTCCTGCCAGAGAAGATGCGAACCAGAGCCTGTGGAAAACAACAGATATAGGGCTTAATACACAATATTTGTACCAAAAACCATAAAACCACCCATCCCCCAAAATCAATAACTGGATAGAAGCGAATGGAGAGAAGGACACAAAAGAAATACCACACTGTTGACGATAAAAGTTCCCAACTAATTACAATGAAATATATTAATGCATTTATAATATCAATAATAACAAAACAAGAAAAGAATGTCTTATGAAAACAAGAGTAAAGGGGGAAAAAAGAGGAAATGAAAGACTAAAAGAGTCAAATATGCAGTCGGAGGAATGTGAACACAAATAATGACGTTTGCTTCATGCACATAGTCCAAATAAAGGAACGAGGAACTGGTCGCGGCCGAAACAAAAGAAGGAATTTCCTTTTCTTATAATTGTTTTTTTACGATATGAAGGTATTTTGACAGAGGACTTTTGTCTGTGTTTCACTATTACTTTCTGATTTAACTAAAACTGGACCAAATATAAAATTAAACAAACTTCTAAAGATGTGACATTTTAGGATGAAATTAAATGTGGGTGTTTTCTTGAGAAAATGTAATGGTAAATGGTAACTTAAAATCATGGTAGGGGACACTAAAAACCCTCTTGTGGGCCAGATTTGGTCCACGAGCCGGAGTTGGACATGCCTGGTCTACATCATCACTATGTATTACTTTTGAACCGGTTTAATGAGTAAACGCCGAGCACTGACCACCCAGACTTTGGTGGTGTTGGACATCTTCCCGTGCTGCTCGAACATCCAGCGGTGGTAAGACAGCAGCTGCTTCAGGCACAGCTTCATGGTGAGAATGAGCAACAGCCACAGCAGCGTACTGAACAGCACCGCCGACACCACGGCCTGGCACTGCGAGCTCATGGACTGACTGGAACGAGGAGACAAAGAAGCAAAGATCGCATCGTTTAGCTGCTCGTGTGTCCAAGACGAACCAAGAGCAACAACAATCAACCAAGAATCAACAAAAAAGCTCACATTGTAAACATTAAAGCTGAGGTGACACATGTTATATCTATGATGTCATCAAATCCATGTCACTTCCCGGCTCTGAAAATAGTTTGGTTCTGTTAAACTTTTAGATCCTATTTTTCTGTTACTATATAGTATACTTGCTTCTTTATTATGCTAAAGTTAGAGATGTTATTTTAGTACACAGCTATTGTTCATTTATCTCATGCTGTGTGCTCCTACTGTTCTGTAACTGGTTATGCAACACTGAAATTTCCCCCACTGTCTTAGAAATAAAGAATCTCTCTTATTCTCTTAATCTTAAAAAGAGAGGACCATCATCACTCAGCCAATCAAATCTCAGCCCAAAACATAAAATAGTGACTCACATGGTTCTGTAACTATAAGACCTATACTATAACTATAACACCAATTGTTCACAACATTTAACTTTCTGTTGGGACAAACAACACGTGTTATGAACTAGCTCCCCATGTTAAACGTCAGGTACGCCAGCTTTAAGTTAACTGACTAGAATAACAGGATTGGTGAATTACCTGACAGGCAAGTGCTCCTGTATTTTGGCTATGAGTCCCATGGAAGGGTCAGAGCGAGTGTACATTGTTGCCAGAATCGCAATGACGACAAATAACCAGGACGAAGGGCTGGCTGGATAAACCCCGGTTATCACATTATTCTGGAAACAAACAAGAAACAACAACAACAGCCAGGTCATTTTGATGTAGTAATGTTTTAGTAAAATATATAGTTAAACAGGCCGAGTGAAGAGCGGTTTTTTACCATTTATCACTTAAATATATCGAGTAAACTGGTAAAATGGAATATTACATGAATGAAAACAGTTGCAAATACAGATGCACCGACGAAACAGTGGCTCAGTTGGTAGAGCACTGGCCTTTGAGCCTGAAGGTCGTGGGTTCAAGTCCACCATAAGACTTTCTCCACCGACTCCCACTGATGTCTGCTGTCATTGTGTCCTTGAGCAAGACACTTAACCTCTGGGAACACCAGGTGCCACAGTGGGCAGTGCCAAACTGCTGTTGTGTCCTTCACCCAAGACACTTCACCCCCATTGCCTAGAATGAGTCTGGTGTGTGTGTAAAGGGTTGGTGATGGCACATACTGGTTGCCTCGCTTCTGTCAGTGTGCCCCAGGACAGTTGTGGCTACAGTAGTAGTTTATCACCACCGTGTATGGAGTGAATGAAGTGTGGAGTGTCCAATAAAGCTCTATATACAGTGCCTTGCAAAAGTATTTGGCCCCCTTGAACCTTTCAATATTTCGCCACATTTCAGGCTTCAAACATAAATATATAAAATTTTAATTTTTTGTCATGAATCAACAACAAGTGGGACACAATCGTGAAGTGGAACGAAATGTATTGGATAATTTAAACTTTTTTAACAAATACAAAACTGAAAAGTGGGGCGTGCAAAATTATTCGGCCCCTTTACTTTCAGTGCAGCAAACTCACTCCAGAAGTTCAGTGAGGATCTTTGAATGATCCAATGTTGTCCTAAATGACTGATGATGATAAATAGAATGCACCTGTGTGTAATCAAGTCTCCGTATAAATGCACCTGCTCTTTGATAGTCTCAGGGTTCTGTTTAAAGCTCAGAGAGAACCATGAAGACAAAGGAACACACCAGGCAGGTCCGAGATACTGTTGTGGAGAAGTTTAAAGCTGGATTTGGATACAAAAAGATTTCCCAAGCTTTAAGCATCTCAAGGAGCACTGTGCAAGCAATTATATTGAAATGGAAGGAGTATCAGACCACTGCAAATCTACCAAGACCTGGCCGTCCCTCCAAACTTTCATCTCAAACAAGGAAAAGACTGATCAGAGAATGAGACAAGAGGCCTATGATCCCTCTGGATGAACTGCAGATAACTACAGCTGAGGTGGGAGAGTCTGTCCATAGGACAACAATCAGTCGTGCACTGCACAAATCTGGCCTTTATGGAAGAGTGGCAAGAAGAAAGCCATTTCTCAAAGATATCCATAAAAAGTCTCGTTTAAAATTTGCCACAAGCCACCTGGGAGACACACCAAACATGTGGAAGAAGGTGCTCTGGTCAGATGAAACCAAAATCGAACTTTTTGGCCACAATGCAAAACGATATGTTTGGCGTAAAAGCAACACAGCTCATCACCCTGAACACACCATCCCCACTGTCAAACATGGTGGTGGCAGCATCATGCTTTGGGCCTGCTTTTCTTCAGCAGGGACAGGGAAGATGGCTAAAATTGATGGGAAGATGGATGGAGCCAAATACAGGACCATTCTGGAAGAAAACCTGTTGGAGTCTGCAAAAGACCTGAGACTGGGACGGAGATTTATCTTCCAACAGGACAATGATCCAAAACATAAAGCCAAATCTACAATGGAATGGTTCACAAATAGACGTATCCAGGTGTTAGAATGGCCAAGTCAAATTCCAGACCTGAATCCAATCGAGAATCTGTGGAAAGAGCTGAAGACTGCTGTTCACAAACGCTCTCCATCCAACCTCACTGAGCTCGAGCTGTTTTGCAAGGAAGAATGGGTAAGAATTCCAGTCTCTCGATGTGCAAAACTGATAGAGACATACCCCAAGCGACCAAAGATCCCCACTGAACTTTTGGAGTGAGTTTGCTGCACTGAAAGTAAAGGGGCCGAATAATATTGCACGCCCCACTTTTCAGTTTTTTATTTGGTAGTTTAAAAAGTTTAAATTATCCAATAAATTTCGTTCCAGTTCACGATTGTGTCCCACTTGTTGTTGATTTGACAAAAAAAATATTTTTATGTTTGAAGCCTGAAATGTGGCAAAATTTTGAAAGGTTCAAGGGGGCCGAATACTTTCGCAAGGCACTGTATATAATATATCGTATATAATATCTACTTATTATCCTGCACTATTTAACTGTACAGTATATAACTGCACTACTACTACATATATATCTTTTGACTGGTATTAAAGCATTTTCAGCATCTAGTTATGTTAGCTAAGAAACATAGTTAATACTTATTTGTATATATTGTGTGTGCTCCCTGTGTGCTCTTACTACTGTCCTGTATGTGCGCTGCAACATCGAAATTTCCCCACTGTGGGACGAATAAAGGAAATCTTATCTTATATAAAACCGGTGCATTATTATTATCAACATGCTAAGCTAATAGTGCTATGAGTTAGCTACAAATAAATCATTGACAGTTTTGCAGTCATTTCTTTTAGTTTCGATAATAAAGAATACACTTGAGGTCAAAACTGTCTGAATCTCCAAATAAAGCATTACAATATAATCATGTTTCTATGTTTTGCCAAGTGTGCACTTTTAGGGCATGTTTCGTGATGGTAGGATTCCTTTGAATTTGGACCCGTTCAGGTGGATTTATTTATTTTTATTTGCGAATGGAAAACCACCAAACAGGTGAACATGTGTCCACTCGTCATTTAAGTCCATGAACCGAGACTTGGTCCAGTGGAAGTCTGTTAAAGTCACAAAACGGATCCAGGTTTGATTGGATGATTTAACGGAGGAACCTTGAGTCTAACGATGCGTTTCTTCCACGAGCGGAGGCCGGACCGGTAGATCTCAGAGAGCGCCTGGTGGGACAGCTGCAGGTCGATGCCCTCAGGAGTGACGGTGAACTGGAACGCCACGGCCTGGTGCGCCTCTGCCATTCTGCCTGCACCCACACGGAGACCACAGAACAAGTATCGAGTAAGTAAGGTGCCGAGAAGGTGCTACTATGATGTCAGCAGCTGTAGAGGACGCTAATGACATTTGACTTTGGCTGTTTCCACACCACATACAGTACACACTGTCAATCTACTGCACAGTTTAGACCCAACATTCTGACACAATGAACAATAATAAACAAACCCACATGCATTAAGGGGCTGTCCCCATGGTTACCAGCTGACCAATGAGCAGGCGCAGTCCTGGAGCAGCACAAACTAATGTCTGACATGCAATATGACTTAACACACAAATACTATTCTCATCACATGAGGCAATAGGTCATGTACAGTTGTGGGTTTTGTTGAGTCATATACATTGTTATGTAAAACAGAGGTAGAATATATTTGATTTCTGTGTACGAGGCAGTTAACGATTTAACACATTGTTTATAGCATCATGAATCAACTTGCTCCAGACGTGACTTTACAACATTCTGTGTTAACCATTACTGACCCACTTAGGAAATGGGACACTACATGTGACTTCGAGTTTAAAAGGACCTGAGGCTGACATGGCAGAAACCAGAGGAAAGGGACAAAAGTGTTTTGATAAAACATGAGTGCAGATTCATCAAATACTAATGAAATGTAAGTGTGGGCGCTCTCATGCATTTTAAATATGACTCCTGGACTCAACACAGATTGATGGAGTTTAATGGCAGCGTGCCGACTGACTGATCTGTGAGTGGGACTCTTGTTGAGGGCAAAGCCTATTATCAGCTCTTGTCACAAAAAGAATTGATTTCTCTCCACAAATAGGCTATAGAATGCCCTCGGGTCAGTCAGGGTCCTCTGCACTTGACAGTCACCAGGAAAATGTCTGCACATTATTGTAACTGTTACAATCATGTTTCCTGTTAGTACTAACACACAAGCAATAATATACATTATCAATTACATATTATACATAATACATTATTATAGACACATATATGTACCAACGTTTAGTATAATTTAGCATCATCCTAGTTTTAGTAAATTCCTGCAAACATAAATTATGGATTTGTTAAAAACGGTTTCTTAGCCTTACATGTCGTTTATTGATCATTTACTACATAATTATAGATTGTCTGTATAACTAAGGACATGACGTCAATTATTGGACAGGAATAACAATAATAAGGGTTATTTAGTAGGTGTTTAGAGGTTGTTGTGTCAACACACAGACTGCAGGAGGCGTCTCACTTCAGGCTTTAGGGAAGTTAAGGAGCCCAGAACTCAGACATAAACCATTCTCTTTGGGAGGTAGAAAGGTATCATGGATCACGGATTATTACCATCTCCGGATGTCTACAATCTCCAGTTTTCGCCTTAGCTGAAGACATGCTACAATCGCAGTGGCCTGACACCAGCAGACTCTGGGTTAGACATTAGCTGAAGCTAAAGCAGACCCTTGTGAAGCTAACACATGCTACTGACGCTAGCTCCATAGGCTAAGGTAATAACGTCACAGCACGGCCTACCTGCTCCCTTTGTGCGTGTTGTCGATCAAAACAGCGACTCAAAACCCGCACAGCATGAAGTTCTGTCGACAGACCGCAGACCGAGCCCGGAGCAGTGTGTGTGTCCTGTGCAGATGCTCGGGAGCACCTCCTCTCCTCACGGACCTGCGCATGCGCACACAAGAACCCTGCCCTTTTTCATTCAAACCTTCAACGATGCAAGGATTATTACGTTTTAAAAGGGTAAACTTGTTTATATCATACATTTGACATGTTGACTGTTTTATCATTATTATTATGAGCGCAGACTGTCATGAACATGTGCCGTAAAAAAAACAAAAAAAATACATAAATTCACACAAAAGTATTTTATTCATAAGGTGGTTCTCTCTTTATTTCACCATCAATTCAATCATGTTTTAATTTGATCACAGGCAATAGTTATAATAGTGCACTCTTTTTATATTTAAATTATATATATTTATATATTACAGACATTTCTTTTTAAACGCCTTATTCTACTGACCTTTATGAATGGAGAAGTTTACAATCTTAGCCAGCGTTGGGTTATTGAAAGTGAAGTTGTGAAACTAATGACTGTGACTAGAGTAATAATAAAGTGGTAAGTGCAGCAAAAGTCAAAAAAAGTTCTTCTGTTCTCATAATCCGTACAGAAATGAGGATGAATGAGCAAGCATACAGTGTGTGTAACAGTATGTGCCTAATGTGTTGATGGGAAAAGGTCACACTTAAGTCTTCAACCCCATGTCACAAAACTCAAGATATAGCTTTAACAATTTAACAGAAAACACCCACATTGAAATGCTGTACTAAACTCCCACATTTGTAAAATATTAAAAGGAATGATATTTGTAGATGAGTCAAACATTACAGTTACAGAAGCATCCGGGAGTCGTTTTAAACAATGTTTGAGTGGGAGGGATCTTTAGCTCGTCTGAAAACTGTGGGAATCTTTCTTGCATATTGTGAGACATGGAAGACTGCGATGAAGAAATCTGACTGAAATGGCATGAAACACAATAGTTAGGGCTATGTTTACGGGTTGCACAATGTGGTTCTGGAACAGGGCGAGTGGCGGTGATGAGGGAACATTGCTTTAGGCGACGATCAGAAGATTCTCTTCTTGTTTGTTGAGGTTCTTGAGGAACAGTGAATGATGAAGGATGATTTCATGTGATTTCTTTTCTTATCATTTAGCAGGAAAGTTTGAAGAGACCATAGGACATAGTGTTTCATTCATCTTTCTGGTCACAAACCACGATTCACACAAAAGTCTTCCATGTATTAATTAATCCATGTATTACTCGTTCAAATAAAAAATATTGAATCTTCAGAACAACAAGGGTCCAGTTTAGTATGGAAGCAGTGCTTCAAGTTGTCATTGATGAGATGTCCCTTTTGCAATGCTGGAGACTTTGTTGTTGACATCTTCATAATAAATAAATATTTTTTAAATAAATAAACATTCACAGAGGTTACTGAGAAGCGTGAACTACTGGAATGGTCTATTCCTACTCCCAAGAACACTGTGGACTCTCTCCACAAAGGTGGGGCTGTTTCTGGTTGCAGCAGGTTCATTGTATGCAAATTTGTTGAACTCTTAATTCCTTTTGGCATCAAATACTTTAAAAGTGTGACTATAGCAGGCTGGTTTGCTAAATGGCATGCATATTTGCACTTCAGAACTGCTAGGTGACCTATGAAGCTGAATTTACGTTATTAAACAGATATTTGAGAGTATTTACTGAAGACAGTGATGATTACACTGTTCCCTTTGAAAGACATTTTGGTAATTCTGAGAACTGTGAAAAAGCGGCTCCCTCCATCCTTGCTACAGACAAGCACCTTCTATAGTTTGTTTTGGGAAGGATAGTAGTTACTGATGAGTGGCAAGGACACAATGTAGAGCTTATATTGTATTCTTTCTGCCGAGGTCCAGGCCTTTGGCCCATTGTCCACTTTAGGGCTGGGACTGGGTTCCATTGGAGGATAGTAGTCGGGTCCTCTCTTTGGCTGAGCCTCTGCGCTGCAGGACTCCTCCACTGCCGCCAATTCCACTGCTGTCTGCTCGCTCTCCCCAGTCGCACCGGTCACCCCCACCCTCGGAGCGCCTGGAGTTTTGGCGGGTGGGGGTCCCATGGGGTCGGCCGTTCTTCTCATCTGGAAAGGGATCAGGAGCAGAGAACACGAAAATAAGTAATACATTTGTTTTATGTTTAGGTTTAGGTGTGTTCACTTCACTCCAAATAACTTTTCTTCCAAATAATAGGCCTTGTCCGATTTATCAGTCTACCACAAGCACAGGAGGTACAGAACAGGCAAACAAACGCAGTTACAATATGTTTGAAATTCTAATATTCAAAGTAAGTACGTTGTTTGACAAAAGGGTGGATACAAATATGACGTCAGATTTCACAAGCTCCAAAGATTCAAGTTTGCAAGACGCCTCCAAACGTATCTGAAAGCAGATTCAGGAGTCCATGTTTTGTTCTGCAGTAGACTGGGATAGATACAGAAGGTATAGGTTGGTCGGTAGACAGATAGACAGATAGAGAGATGGATTGATAAATAAATTACTGGCGGTATTGTTTTATAATTACTTTCCCAAAGTAACTTATCCAACACATATAATCTGCCCATGTGAAAGTAGACTGTAGTAGTAGACTGGGGCTAATCCTTTACTGGATCACGACCACATGCACTAAATCAATGTAAAACATTCACTACAAAGAGCCTCCATTACCACATAGGGCTTGCATCAATGGTTGATCATGGGAACTGAGAAGCTGAGCTTGAATTGTTTCCACCACTCGTCTGAACCGGCGACTCGGACCTTCAATAAAAAGGTTTCTGGTTAGGCCCACAGTAATGTGCAGCTTATGGTTCATAGTCATATCTCAGAGTGAAAAACGTTTACATCTCTGTGTGGAATGTTTTTGTTGACAGTCAAATTATAAACTCCAATACATTTTCTGGGGCAAACGTTTTTTACTTCAAATCCACAGATAAAATGTAAGTTGGTCAATATGTGAGGCCTTTCGAGACGACTGCGGAATTTGGGAAATACAAACATAAATGAATCTGATTCCTCCTTAGATTTACCAATGGAATTTACCAAAGGATTTAAAATAAAATGTGCAGAGGTTGTTACCACTTAATAATAAGTACAATACATTCTTGGACACTCAAAGTTACTTCATTTTATAGTAAATTAATAAAGAAAAAGAAAAAGAGAAAGAAATAAAAACAGTCGAGGCCAATACTATCGGTGCCATTGTCACCAAGAACCCGTACATTTGCTCACAGTCTCAGGTTCAAACAGATTCAGATACAGATTTGTGATTTGCCTGATATTAGTGTGAAGGTCACGCTGTAGATCCCCGTCTCTCTCCTGCTCTCCCGGTCGCCGCGCTCTCTCTCGCTCTCGGAAAAGGCAATGTCCACCTGGAACTTGACTGGCTTCTGGAAGACGGAGGGGCCGGCGGAGGACTTGTACTCGGCCCTGAAGCTGGTCTGCGAGAGAACGCTGTGGCTGAGGGACGGGATCTGCGCGGCGGGACGACAGAGAAGCAGAGAGACCCACAGACTTACGAGGCGGGAGAGGTTGTTTCAGGGGGGGAGGGGGGTTTTGACGCGAGTGTGGGGGTGATACAAGAGGTGAAGGGTGAGGAGAGAGAGACAAGAGTATGTGATTCAAACGTGCCGCAAGCCAGAAACTAAAACACAAATAGTCGAGCGAGAGAAACTCAAAACAATGGCAGATGTGAGGAGAGCAGAATAAGCCATGCCTTTACCCAAAAAACCAGTGCCAGAGACAGCGAGAGGCGAGAGAGGCGGAGACTCCGAAATACTCACAGACAGAAAGGCGTGGACGATGTCGGCTTTGACCGAGCTCAAGGGCTTATCTCGGATCACCACGAAGATCTGTTCCTCTTTTTCCAAACCTATGAAATTCCCAAACCAGGACTTCTTTGCCAGTCTGTCCCACACACACACACACACACACACACACACACACACACACACACAGAGAAAAGTGAGGGTGAGAATAGCAAGGCTCGACAACTATTGCTAATCATTTAGACTTGTGGTGTTATTACATACTCTGGACTGGATTCTGGAGTTAAACTGGACATGTCTTCAGATGTGGGAACTACAACACAAGGAGGTTCAGTGAAAAACAAAACAACAATTCAAATCAAAAGTAGAAATAAATAAATGCTATTCAGGATGTAAGAGCGGGAGTAAAACTGCCTCGATATCGTGTTACAGAATTAACAGGTATCCGTAAAAACATTGTTCACTGTAAAAATGTATATTGAGTAGTTTTATAATTCTCTCTAAAAATTGAACTAGTTTCTGTTTTTTATTGCAATAATTATCGTACCGTGAGATCAATATCGCATTGTAGGAGATTTGGATATTGTTACATCATGCTAAACAAGTGCTACATAGAGTAAATTAGTGCTATACGGTTAAATTGCTTGTATCTGTATGCATTATTTCATCTTCATAATTTAATCTTAACATAGATTTAAGGCATAATCTTGTTAAGGACAACACAGACACGAGTTACAAATCTGTGAATAAATGAATTCAGCCTAAATTTGGAGATCGACCGATACAGGTTTGTCTGTGGCCAGTTTTTGTATTGTGTTTGTTTGGGTTGATGTGATTGCTAACATGTGCAAGTTAGCAATTAGGACATCTTCATAGGTCAAATAATGCCTTGATAAATATCGGCTCATTGTAGCCCTTTAGAGTCTACAGCATCACATCTGGTCCAGAAAGGGCCGCTGTGGCTGCAGGTTTTCTATCAGACCCAGAAGGAGCAGAGCAGACTCCACCCATTTCCTCAAAACTTCAGACTGAACCAGACAGGAAGAAGTTATGGCCGATATATCTGTCAGTCAGTAATATCGGTCAATCTCTACTCAGAATTATTGCCGTTTCAGTCCATGTGATGATTAACCAAAGACGTTTTACAAAATGTCCGTATGCACCTTGCAGTTTGCGGCGGTGAAAGCGCGGAGACCCGAGCAGGTTGTTCTTAAATGAATTGAGGCGGGTTCTCCAGTGGGCGGAGCTACTGGCCGCCATGCCGCTCCCTCCGCCGGGACTGGAGGGAGGAGTGAGTGACAGTGAGCCCACGCCTCCCCCTCCGTCGGCCCGCGAAGAGGATGAGGACGAGGAGGAGGAAGGCGGGGTGGAGGAAAGGTGGTGAGGGTGGTGGACAGGGGTGCCCATCGGTGTGGGCAGTGGCGAGCCCTGAGGGGTCACCTGCGACACAGAGTGGGCACAGTTTGGGTAGAAGCTCCTTGTCACAGACTTTAGGACAGAGGACGACGGGAAGAAGAAGCGAGGAATGGGTGAGAGGAGGGGAGACGGAGAGGGTGAGGATGGGTTGTGCAGGGGCAGCGATTTGATGGGCTGCAGGTGCGGGCGCTCAGTGGGTCCTTTGCTGGGTAAGGTTTGAGTCTTTGGAGTCTGGGAGGCTTTGGTCGCCTCATGAGCGCGTGCCAGGCGTGGAGTGGTGGTGCTCCCCTGTTTGGCCTCCTTTTTGTGAGGGGAGGTGGAGGCTGAGGTGACATCTGATTGGCTGAAAGTGAACACAGGGCTCTGATAGGACTGAGGTGGGTTGGAAGGGTGGGTGGTAGAAGAAATGAAAAGAAAAGGAGGAAGTAGAAAATGGAGAAAGAAGGATGGAAATGAATATCATGCTCTGTGAAAAGAGTGCACTTTATGAACAGCAGAAGTGTGAATGTGTTTGTGCAGTAAATGCTAATGGTGTGTGACACAGGTGTCTATGGTACAGTGATGATGAACCATGTATGTAGCATATATTACATTCAGAAAAGTGTGTATTAGCAAGCACCAACAGTAGGTTTGTAGTGATAGCATAAACATAAATATACAAGGGCTTTTACCATGCTGTACCAAAAATACACAAGACAAAATATAACAAATAAGATAAAGATAGTTTTAACTGGAGGATGAGGGTCTTACCCGGGGGCTGCTCAGAGGACTAGAGGACAGACCAGTGGATGCTCCACTGACTGAACGAGACCTGGAGAATGTTAAAGAAACAGTTAGCATCATAAAGCTGCATGGTCGGTGCATATAGTGAATACACAGAACCTCTGGCTGTGGGCAGCTGTGTCCAGAGCCCTGCGAGGAGGGGTGGGTGACCCCTGTTCAGTCACACTAAGGACCTCAAGGCTTTTCCTCTCAGGACGACAGCGTCCATGACGTGTCAACATCGGAGAGTCTACACGCTTCCGAGGGGGGTCTGCTACAAGAACAAATGGAGAAAACCAGCATCAACATGTGCAAGTATAAATGTAGAACGACAGAGCAGGATTCGTCTTTATGATATGAACGCAACATAAAGAGGACATCTTTCCACTCGTCTCAATGCCACTGGGTTCATTTTCTATTTTCAAATGCATTATCACGTTTTTTTCCCTGAGCCATCTGTCGTGTATTACAGTAAAGGAAAACAGTGTCCTCTTCAGGCCAACAGAGGAAAGCCTCAGGTGTCCAAACTTCAGAGCTGGTTAGAACGTGTTTGACCTGATTTAGACATGAGAAGATATTAGATATAAATATATGTTGGGAATAATGATACTGAGGATATTTGTAAATACTCTCAGAACAGAACATCTTAGTGAAGAGGGCTTTTACATTAATGAGATGAGTCTGGACTGAGCTGAGGCATCCTTAAAAATCTGATATAAAATGTGTACACCGCAGTAAGCTCTACCATGAAGATGTGAGACGAGAATGGCGGCTGCGCCCTACAGACTGACCTATGTCGTTACGTGGAGGTAAATCCTCATCCTCGTAGCTGGGGTATCGTTCCTTTCTGTCCAGCAGTAGGTAGTAAATAAGTTTCTCCTGGTTTTCTCTGAATAGAAATGTCAAAATGTATAATAAGAACCACAAGCAACACACACACTATAATATTGGATGATGTTGTAATTTGTTCTGACTGCAAACGTGACTTTATAGACTGCAGAACTTACTCTTCACATTGCAGGTCTCGGGTGAGCTTGACTCTGTCTCTGAAGCATCCCAGTGAGTGCATACTGTCCAACACATCTGGGTCCAGCTCAGTCAGGGACAGGATTCGTTTTACGCACACACGTCTGGGAGGAGGCTGCTCAGGACAGGGCTCACTACGGCTACCCCTGTGCACACACGTAAATGTCATTTATAGACATTGGTCTCTCAATGGTCTGATTCTCTGATCTGTGTTGGTGAATTTGACGGTTTTGTAAAGTCCTCAGAGATAACTACTGTTGTAATTTAGGCCTAAACAAGAATACATTGAATTGATTTGAATTCAAAAATACACTTACTGGTACCAAGGGTGTTTTTGAATGCAGTCCAGCTGTAAAAAAATGGCACAAAAAACATAACAATACATACATACAAATGATTTAACAGCAATAAATCACAAGTTTTCATCCAGTAAAGGTAAAGATAGATACAGATAGATATATAGAGCTATATGGATAGATAAATAGATAGATAGATATTTAGAGAAAGATATATATAGATAGATACAGAGATACATAGATAGATAGAAACTTTATTGAAAGGTCCAGTAAGTAAAGTTTAACCCCGAACAAAAGCTGTCTCCAAGGTCTTTGAATCTATACCGACACAAAGGAGACACAGGAGAGCCCTACCGTAAGCCTTTTTTCAGGGTTGACCTCGATCATGCCCTTGAGCAGCGACTGGCAGTCTGGAGGAATAAAGTGTGGCATATGGAACACCCCACTCTTCACCTTCTCCAGCAGTTGCCTCAAATTGTCGTGGTCAAACGGCAAGGCGCCCTGAAGAAGTGACGTCAAAATAGTGAGAGGCATCTACAAATCAACATGGTAATCCCGGTGTATTGTTGCTTCATGAATAAACGCCTCACCACAAGAAGAGCAAAGAGGATAACTCCGCAGCTCCACACGTCTGCCCTTCGACCATCGTATTTTTCTCCCTGTTTAAGATACGTAACAGAGAACCCCGGGGTCAAGAAAGTCAATTTCAGAATGTCACTTTATCTACTTAGTATGCCATATAGAGATATAGCGATAGATTGATATTGTGAAGCATTTACAGCTAGCTAAGAAACATAGCAGCAACTTATAATGTAGATGTAGTGTGCTCTTATCTTATCTCATCTCAAGACAAAACCTAAAACAAGACAGCATTCACTATGACCAGCTCCTGATTTTGGAGGATTTTCTACTATCGGGTGGATCATCTAATCTATTGAGACCCGTTTTAGTAGTCGTTCCCTTTGAGGAGGGTGGTTCTTTCCGAAAATCCTTCTATATACCTAACGTGACACTACATGGTTACAGTGAGAATGGTTTACCCGGATAACTTCAGGACAGGCATAATGAGGAGATCTGAAAGAAAATCACGTTCTGCATTAGTGCTCGTATAGGTAATATAGGTAAGAATGTGCAATACAGAACTGCATGTGTCCACTATTGCCCTACTTTGTCCCATTTCCTCCTGCTGCTAACATGTGCAGATTTATACATGTACAGATGTATACATACAACTATACATTACTTGCACTGTACATACAATACTTTATACTTGCTTCTTATGGTGCCAAAGGTAGATTTTTATACCCCTTTGTTTTACTAAAGTCAGAGTTATTGTACTCATTATTCTACAGATAGAGATTTTATACTTGTGTATTGTTGATGCTAGAGCTAGAGATTATTCTGTTGTGTGCTCCTCATTCCTACTGTTCCTTAACTGCTGATGCAACTATGAAATTTCCCCTCTGTGGGACGAATAGAAGCTCTTTTAATCTCTTACTAATAATAAAGAATACTCACCCACAACTGGTTTCGAGGAGACTGTCACCCACTTGTAGCGAGGCCATACCAAAGTCTGCAATCCGGATGTTGTTTTTCTCATCTAAGAGCAAGTTCTCCGGCTTCAAGTCTCTGTGACTGCAGCAGCGAGACATAAATAAATACGTCAAAAGAGCATCATTTAGAATTGTTTTAATATGTTTTGATTTAACCAACCAAATTGAGTGACTGTGGCAGAAATCCAGGGCGGAAATAATTTGCCTGAAAAACTTCCGGGCTTCTTTTGGGGTCAGGCGGCCTTTTTTGACCAAATAGTCGAACAACTCTCCCCCAGACACATGCTCCAATACCAAGTACCTGAAAGAGAGGAAAAACATGCATCAGGTGTTTTAAATCGTACAAATACAAAGAAATACAAATGGAGGGAGAGTCAAAGAGGTATAGATTGTGACTAGAAAGCAAACTCACAGGTATTTGTTATTCTCATAGACGTCATGCAGCTTTAACACATGCGGATGCTCAATCAGTTTTAGAATCGCAATTTCCCTCTCCACCTGACCCAGGACAGGGGGCAAGAAGCAAAGTCGAGACATTGTTAAAAAAAAGCAGCAAAGAGAAGCAAGATTTGACAGGCGTTAATAGACAAATACTGATTATTGTCTGAAACCAGAAACGGCTCCGTGTACCTTCATAAGTACGGACTCCGAGAGCTTTTCCCTGTTGACTATTTTAATGGCTACCTTCTGACCCGTAATGCAGTGGACTCCCAGTTTGACAAGGCCTGGAAAGAGATGCCGCATGTGAGGTCTGTGAATAACATCATAGCACATCATTTACAAGGTGAACTTACCTGTCTGCCCCTTTCCCAGAGTTTTCTCCAGTCGATAGGGCCCAACATATTGAGCGGACTGACTGAGTGATAGTTCCTTACTCATAATGCTTAAAAGAAGGCTGTTGGAGACTACCTTGACTACTACAGCACTAGAAATATTGCAAGCACAGATTTGGATTTGATCATGGGTGGCCAAAGCACTACTCTAAATCACCAACATATCCAAATCACATCCTCTTATCAACATAGTGGTGGATGGTTTGCAATAGATTTCTTGCATGAGGCCCCAAAAATAGCTCCAAATGTAACAATCAGCGTGTTACTACAATTGAACAAAACCCACACGTTTGATCCAGGGCTATGTATACTTTGTGCCTACCTAACATATATTGACATAGGCCTAGTGACATCACAATGCCCCCAAACAAGCATCGATTCGCGTTAAAAACCGAGAATGACGTGCTTTCAGACACACACACGCAGATGCATACGTGAAAAACAGCAACCAGGAATAGTATTATAGCTTTTATAGGATAACATTGGCCTCAGCTCCCCATACAGCTGTGAGGCTATAGCTTTAGCTTCGACGCCTTTTGCACCGCCTGTCAAAATAACTCACAATTCCACAAGTTTCTGGACATGGACCAACGAAACGTCTTGTAGCCCTGTCGCCACATTGTCACATCATTTCGCGGTGAAGTGACGATTCTTCCCAAAACACGCATCTTTTAAGCGTAATACAGCCTAGCGCCCCCTCCCAGACCGCAGCATCTTGGGGACCGCCTTCGTCCCCATCAGCCTCCACACGCAGGTGCACCAAAGACACGGGCTAAAGCGGGCTAAAGCGGGCCAAAGCGGGCGCGACTCTCGACCTCTTCACGTCCTTTATGCTTATTTTAGTTCATGCAGAGTCGAGGGCCGCTGCATGACGCTCCCCCCTTGAATCTTTTGCCGTAAATCGATGTTTTCTCCCAGCTTTGGCTTCCTTCGCCTCTCTCGCATCAGCATCCGGGTCTCTCTCTCTCTCTCTCTCTCTCTCATCCCCCCCACCTCCCTCTGCCTCCCCCCTTTGCCTCTCTTGTCCTGTCGTGGGCTGCTCTGCTCTATTCACATTAGTTTTATTTTTTCCACCATAGACTGTAGATTTCACCCCTGCGCTCTCCGGGGGGTCTGCGTGCGGCTCTTCCTCCCGGAGATCCATGCAGGGCTCGCAGGATGGAGCAATGGCGTCTCTGGAGCTGACTCTGACTCTGGAGCCGACAAGAGCCTGAGATGGATTTACAACAAAAATATGTATTCATGAATTATTTGATGCGCATCTGATGAAAGGGAACTATAGGGTGAAGAGTATAGACATAAAGGAAGCATTACACACTTATATATGATTTATTCTAAGAAAAATTGAATCATTTTGAGACCAAACATAAGGGCTAATATTTGATTAGAAGTTACTCTGGTCGTGTTAAAATAATAATAATAATAATAAAAATAATAGTAATAATAATAATAATAGATCCCTAATGTTCTTTGTACAGTATATTTGAATGTGTATCTTGTGGTCCCATTGTTCCTTGTCCTGCAGTCGTTCTGTTCCTGTACTGTCTTGTGACTTTCTTTTGTGTCATTGTTAAATGTTCAATGTGAAGTTTCACATCAGCCTGTCTAGGGACAACAGATGGAAATTAGCCTATGGCTAAAATCTGACATATTTACATATTTTATATGTTCATTAATATGTACTGTCCCTACTTAAATAAATAAATAAAATAAAATAATGATAATACTATTAATAATAATAATAATAATAATAATAGTAATAAAACGGGTATAGTCTGGTCTGACAATATTCCTCTGTTATCACATCTTTGCAAACATCGAATAATTCTGATTTGTTGTTTTTATTTGTAACACATGTTGCTGAACAGGTTTTAGCCTTGGCATATTTAATTTATATCTGTTGTTCCACACAATAAAACAGATTGGTTTGTTAACCCATAAACTGGTGAGATTTGTCATCTTGTTGGGAGTGAATGTGTGTATGACCGACTGATCTTTTGGTTTGTTAAAAACGCACCTCTTCCTCCAAACACATGCACAACTCAATCAGCTGCACCCAAACGGCTTCCGTCATATTAGCCCAATATGAGTGACTAAACCGCAGTCACGCTCACAAACATAAACAGTCTTTCAACCTGAACTATTGATCATGTTTTGGTGGTATAGGGGGAAAAAAATAGGGGAGCAGCCAGAGGAAACAGCAGCAGGCATGGGGAGAACATGCAAACTCCACGCATAAATACCCTGTCTGGCCTTGGGATCAAACCTGGGACCACACTAATATATATCAGACTATATACTGTAAACTTATATGAACAATCATAATCAAACACCTGAGCTTTAGTTATAGCTGTGTTTACCTCAGACTGTCGTTTCCTGCTGAGCTGCTGATTATCTGTCAATCAAAATACTTTTCATGCTCTTAATAATTGCTCGTGATTATAAACGCATCATTTGGTTGGTATTATTACTTATGCAAAACCTGTCGTTCCACATTCTTGCAGAGTTAGCGCTCGTCCTCAGTGAGGGCTGAAAGTGAACAATTGACTAATGCACAGATTAGGCAAAGATTAACAAGCTTTTCTTAACTCCATTAAGATTGTCCTCTACAGCAGCGCACACAGGCGTCTCAGACAACATGTAAACACAGCAGCGCACAAGAGAGGCAGGTTTTTATTATACAATTATAAAACATCATGTTGGATCTGTAATAAAAACAAACAAAAGAATATTAACACTTTACCACTATTGAAAAATATTGACTTACATTCTTAGGAAAGAAGAAGGAATTTATCTGATTTTTCTTCCACCCAATTTCTTTTCGAGTTTTAATAATGTACAATATCATATATGACTTGGACCGTACGCGCAGCTCTGATTGGCTGATTACCGGTCTGATATTTTCCCATCTCCGAACAGCGCGTATCACATTTGATATCTTTCCTCGGACCGTTACCATGACAATCTGTCCGCAGCGCGTATCACACAAAACCAAGTCGGACATGAACATACTTCACAAATATCTCAAAAGCATTGGTAAAGACACAGACAAATTTTCTATGTAGATTTTATTTGTGATTGATATATATTAAACTGAAATAAATAAAAGCTCAACTCAACTCAAAATTACTCATTTATATTCAATAATAATGTATTAAATGTATGGATTTAGATATAGATAAAGACATACATGTTGTGGTCCTCGTCATGATCCTTCAGACAGGGTTTTGACACAAGCCTGCAAGCATCCATGAGGTCTTTACAGGACTGCACTCCCTTCTCTCTGACACTGAAACACAAGTTTATTCCGTCTATAATTTAAGACGATCGACTTAAAGCTCGGGGACCTGACTTTCAGATCGCAAACATGTGGATCTACACAATACAGTACATTCCATCTAGTGTGTCTCCTTTGGCTCAAAATAGCTGTAGTTTTCACACACACACATTATAGCCTCTGCCACGTCACTTCAGATCAGCTTTTTCAGACAGAAAAGTGAAAAAACCAATCAGTTCTCAGCCCAAAAAGTCAAAATGTGACTCTCAGGGCTCTTTCCTACATGTATAACAACAATAACAAAAATTGGCAATAAATGGTAGTTCTGTTTGTTGTCCTGATTTGTTCACAACCTTTTACTTTTACAACTCTTTCTGCCGGTACAGTCAAAATGTATTATTTCATTCACCAAAAAGTTAAGTACCCCAGCTTTAATCTCAGTTATATTCATGCGACAATGTTGTGGGGATTGCGGTAAAATTGCAGAAAGATCCGTGGCATGTGGGCGACAAATGTGGGCTGTAGGTCTGTAACATGAACCACGCCAAACACATATGAGCCTCTATTTAAAACACGGCTAAATATGAAGTGATATTTTGGGGTATTTTGTCATGTCCTGTTTGCAGATTTATCACAGAAGTACAACTGACGAACACAGTGAACACAGTGTACAGTATCAACAGAAGAACCGTTAAAATGACTAGAGTTATTGAAGTATTGAGGTATTTTAATGAAGTGATTTACGGACTTACTTATACGCTTTTCATTTCAGTCTGACTCACCATTTGTCCACATTCTCCCTGATGAGCTGGCAGGACGCTGGCACGGCCTCCACTGAGTCCTGCATTTTTGTCAGAAGACTTATAGATCAAATCTGAGCTCAAAGATCCACCAGCGACAGGGGGCGAGAGGAGCAGAGGAGGGGGGCGGGAACAGCACCAGTGTTTGGAAGAGCCAACAGGATCACTTTAGATCCACAGGTGACGATATTATAGGAAAGTCCTTCATGGTTCATATTTTTTATCATTTCAATTTGAATGTTATGTATTTGTGGACAGCGATAAATCACAGTTTTTTTGGACGACCTTAAAGTTGTTGATTCGCCAACGACAGATCAGAGAATCAAACTCAGAAAGAGATATTTTTGTTTGCAGAGATGAGAAGAGCATTTGTTTTGGGTTGAAGGGCTAATTAGTATTTTCATGTATATATTTATGTATGTACTTATTTATTCATTAATTCATTCAGTCATTCATGTGTTTATTTGACTTGTGTTAATGTAAATAGGCCGCACTGAAAACCATTCTCTGAAGACAAAACCATTTATACCATATTTAAACAGGAACCAGGAATTAGCAAAAAGCATTTCAATAAATAAGAAGATATGAAGCATTACTGTGACGACATCTGAAAATACATAAACAGGTTCAGTTTTAGAGATTCTTCATTAATCAGTGGAAAAATAAAACACAATCTGTAACTTTAGCAAAATGAAGAAGCACGTAGAAAAATAATCATGTATCATCTGTTTTAAACCAAGCAAATGGTTGTGGCCGAAATCCAATTTGGTGAAACTAATTTGCCCAAAGTGAATAAATGTAATTGAAGAGAGTACAGTTCAAATCTGAAACAGTCTTCCTGAAAATATGAGACAGGCTTCTTTTCTGACTTTGATTGATTTTATTACATTTATAGGTATTTACAATATTTACATTCCATAGTTTACATGACTTTTATACATGTTTCCTTCTGTGTTTAAAGTACAAACAATTGAAGGATTTGATTTTCTCTTTTTTCTCTTTATGTGTCTCTATCTTGTGTTGTTCAACACTTTGAGATGCCTTTGGTATGAATTGTGCATTTCCAAATAAACTTTCTTTGCCTTGCCTTACTTTGCAAATACAAAAAATGCAAATTTAAAAAGTGGTATTTTGTGGCATGCTGTTCCATAGTTCAATGTTTTCTGATTGCTTAAAGGTATAAAGAAGGATTTCCCCAGATTTTAGGAAAGAACTGCTCTCTGCTCTTATTGGACGAGCACGTATCACCAGAATGATTGACAATTGGGAGGAGTACAATCGTCTTGATGATCCACCCTGAAGTAGAAAATCCTCCAATATACGTTAAATTTTCATAATATTACAGTCTAAAAATGTGATAAACCAATTTTTCCATTGCTGATTTGAAGATAAAACACACTAAACTCTAGCTAAAAACTGTATCTGTAAAAACCGTCGGCTTCCTCTACCTTGGATTGGCCTAAAAACGCAATTTTAAATGTTATAGGCATGAGATAAGATCCGTCCCACACTCGGGGCTCAACCCTCGAGACGCTGAACTTTACTCACAAAGTTACAGTAATTCTTTGTTCTAAAATGTGTTAATTATGTGCTAATGGAGATACCAATCTTTTCAGACAACTCTTTACACGACAAAGCCTCTTTTCAGACTGTAAATGGATCCACTGCAGGGGGCTGACGGAGTGTGTTCCTAAAGTCTCTGATTGGAACATTTGAGCTTCAGTCATTCTTCAGTTTGTCAGCAGTGATTTAACCGTCGCTATAAATACGAGTGTGTTCTTGTGACTGTCACTGAATGTGGCGGTAGTTTCAAAGAACTGTGTGAGGCCCTGGGCTGTGGTTTACATCCCGATCCCTGTGCTTTTGGGTCTCCGCCATCAAAACAAACAGATTGGGATTCATTCAGCAAAATAGGAGTGAAAGGGTTTTTTTGCTTACGAAAGCCTGTAGCAACAAGATTCTTCATATTCATTCATTCATTCAATTGTAAATGAATAAACCTAAATTTGTGAGCCTAATTTGCTCAAATAACATGTAATATAATGTATAATTTGTCAAACATTGAGCCAAATACAGTCAATTCAAGTGCAATGCTCAAGAACTATATATAACCCTATATATTCTATCGTTGCAATATCCTTATCTTATACCAGAATGTGCCGTATACAGCTGCTAATGTACAGATGTAAACATACTGCTGCTAATGTACAGATGTAAACATACTGCTGCTAATGTACAGATGTAAACATACTGCTGCTAATGTACAGATGTAAACATACTGCTGCTAATGTACAGATGTAAACATACTGCTGCTGATGTACAGATGTAAACATACTGCTGCTGATGTACAGATGTAAACATACTGCTGCTAATGTACAGATGTAAACATACTGCTGCTGATGTACAGATGTAAACATACTGCTGCTAATGTACAGATGTAAACATATAACCACACTTTACTTGCACTAGATTACACAGTACTTTATACTTGCCTCTTATTTTGCCAAATGTTAAATTTTTACATCTATTATTATTTTCAAGATAGATATTTTATACTTGTTATTGATGCTAGAGTCAGAGATTTGGTTTTATTTTAATCAGAATAGCTATTGTTCACTTAACGTGTGCCGTGTGCTCATCTTTCCAACTGTTCTAGAACTTGTGATGCAACACCGAAATTGCAACACCGAAAAACGGAAGGATTGTAATGTGTTATCTGTGCGTGTGTTTTATAAAGAAAAATCAAACAAGTGCAACATAATCTTCTCACATTGTTCCTTATTTTGACCAATAGCTGATACTGGATCATTTCCAAAGTCACACTCTCGTGCCATGGCTCAGTGGTTGAAAAACACTGAGACAAGTGAAATCAATAAACTAGTTATTGATGAGAACTATGTAATGTGGGTTATAGGGGATAATATAGAAATGATAATTACCTTATGCCTAATAATAACATTATGCGTGGGGTAAATTTGGCCAAGACGATATTCCAAAAATATCAATAATTGTGTACAATAATAATAATCATGCATGGCATTGTGCCATCTGCTGGTATCAACATATATTACATGAGAGGAGGAACATTAAAATATTAAAAAGAGTAAACTATGGTTTGAATCCCTGGGAAGCTTTGGCCTTGGTCATAGATACTGGTTATGTGCATTGGGTCCAAATGAATTATTTGCAGATTTTGTCTAGGGGGAGAATAATCGTATTGATATTATTCGAATCCTCAAAGTGAAAAGCAACACTAACAATGTCATGTTGCAAATGACTGTTTCTGAAAATGAGACTCGCTGCTGTCGCTGCAGCAGCTGCTGGTTCTGACGGAAATGGTGGTAGGTGTTTACTGAAGACAAACATTCAGGTTGCAATGTGGAAAGGCGTGCTGGGCTGGTTGTCAGAGTGTGGCCGGTGAATGGAGGTCACCGCAGACTGTAGTGAGTCTCTGCGGTGAGACAGAGGAGAGGGAGGACCGCGGACAGCCGCCTTCAAACATGGCGTCTCCGGAGGAAAATGAGTAACAAATATAAAAACGCGGCCTACTGTCTTGGCAATTCTTTAGCCAGTTTTATCGCCTTTCGTACGTAATTCGCGTATGGTTCTGTTTGCGTAAACCCGCTCTGTATTTGATAGAATCGGCGACAGAAAGGCAGAAGCGGAGCGGCCAGGAGGATAAAGGCAGCTCTGTTATTCGGATGCGTCGTTCCTGACAGCTACAGCTACATCTGCTAAAGCTAACACCAGGAGGGGGTGGGAACATTTGCATGCGGAGAAAAAAAGATTTTAGAGACTGGGGATTTCATTGCTCATCTGTGGGGAATGGTTCGTACCAACGTGGCCAGTCTATTCTGGTTATTTAGGCGCTAACGCTGTAGCAAACACTAGCCTTAAGAAAGGGGGAGGAGAGACGGAGAAAGGACGCATTCAGATCTAATGTTCTTCATCTTCTCTTCGATCAGAACCTTCATCATGAACACCACAGATTTGGGACAATATCTGCGCTGGAGGAAATGATAAACGTGAAAGAAGGATACGGAGAGGGATCTTTGGAGGTGGTTGGATTATAACCCTGTAGACCCCCCTCTTTTCATCCTGCTTTCTCCTCCTCCATTTCTCTTTCAATATGCCGTGTTGCTCTCCTGACGACTTGCTTATGAAACCGGGGAAAATAGCCTGAAACAGAGACCGGAAAGCTTGTCGTTTTCCGTGACAATCTGTTCTGCGACGCTGCATTCGCCCTCGCACACATTGATTGTCCAACACATAAATGGAGAGGAATTACCCGGGAACTGGATTCGGTGATTTGGGCGCAGGAGCAGGATGGAGTTACGAGAGATCGGCAAAAGCAAGGTATGCATTTGACTCAAACAATGTGCATGCATCACCGGGGCTTTGCAGAGCACGGTGTGACCCATGTAAACAAATTGTCTTCTTAAGGAGGCATGGCCGGCCATAATGTGCAGTGCATTGTCATCTAAACACTTGCATAGTAATAATATTCTAAACAGCTATGGATCAGGGTGGGCGGGGTAGAGAAACGAAAGGTTGGGGATATGAATTGGACGTGATTGACAGGCGTGGGTTAGGTAGACCTGGCGGGTGGAGGAGGTGGTGATGGTGGAGGTGGGGGATGTCTGGAGCATCCATAGGAATTATTGTTCCCTGTGTAAAGGCCTGGACACACAGCCCCATATATACATTCATAGGATTGATGGGAACTGTGAATGTGCCATGGCGTGCACGGCATGTCTGTTCAAATACATGCTCCTATTCTGTTTTAATAATGCAAACTAGAAGCCCATCATTATATTATGACCAAATCACATCACAAAAACTATAGTGACAAATCCGCGACACAGTGTCAATTTCATGCTTATTTGCTACAGCGTCATACGGGCATTTAGAGGGTTTGGGAGACAATTAGACAATTATTAAGAACAAATACAACTTGTATAATGACAATGCATTATTCTAATACCTGTGGTTGTGATCTCTCTTCGCTATGAGGTGTATAAGGAAATGTAGAGGACTGTACATGGCTGCTCTGTGCATTAGCTTCATGTTAGCCTCAATGCTAGCGTCATGATCTGAGGCCTGTCCAGCCATCACTGCGCCTGTAGCTGCAGTATAGGATCTTTTGCATGTTATTGGCGACATGTTTAACAGTTACTATAAAAAATACAACACTAACGCCATTTGTGACAACACAGACCAGGGGCAGCGTGTGTTTGCAGCTTAGCATCATTTGCATCGGCTCACATCAAGCTGTGAGCCGCATCAGCATATTGATTGGTCTCGGAAACGCCAACACTCATAAAACGGGACAGTGGTGTTTTTAAGGACTGTAGAAACGTCTGAAATGAAGAATAACATTTGTGTTCAGTTGTCGGCTCATTGTTGGGCCTACGCTCTCCACCTTTCACCATGTCGGGGGCTGCTTGATGCTACTGTGCAAGAAGCTAACCTGAAACAACCAGGGATTCTATCGATATAAATACATGCACTGACATTCACGTGCACATTGTATCATAGTAGCCAATATATAATTATCTGTGAAATAATTTGAGAATAATTACAACACTAATAACATGAACATTAAAAAAAACTTTCAGAATTCATAATCTTACAGGATTCAAATTTTCTTCTAACAACGAATCTAACTATATTCAACTAAAACAAATGTATTCATAAATAAGGTTTAGTAATTAATTATTCATTATATTGTAGTAATTCATTTATATTGTGGTTAAGCAATTATCATTAATCTACTAACTACTCAAATGTATTCTTCTTTATAGTCTTGTTTATGGGAGTTCAAGATCATCCCATCCTGAGTCGGAGCTTCTTCATAGACAAGCCTATGCCACCCCACACCCTCTGCAGGGCTATGCCACCAATCACCACCCAGGGAGCTCTGGACAAGGCGGGGCTTGGGGAGCAGCTGGACGGAGTTTGGGTAAGATAAATGTCATACCTTCTTTTGTGTCTGTTCACATGAACCTCTATTCATCACTAAACTCAATGTTAGTGACGCATGTGTTGCAGTAGTATTATTTTACATGTGTTTGATGATCTGCTGGACTTTGTCTAAATTAATGACGTTTATTTAATCTTAATTAAGGTCTGTCCGGGCTCTTCGACACCGGCCTGCACCATGCAAGCCCCTCAGCCCCCGATGCCTCCGTCATGAACCTAATTTCAGCCTTGGAGTCGCGGGGTCCCCAGCCTCCACCTTCTGCATCTTCCCTTCTTTCTCAGTTCCGCACACCTTCCTGGCAGACTGGTGAGAATGTCTTCCTTTATTAATTGAGCCATGTGACAAATCAAAGTTTTAAAATCACAAACCTGGATTCTTAAATGAAGATAATATTATAATGCACTTTCTGTGAAGATTTCTACTTTAACTTTCACTACTGTTTATTTTAAACACTACATGTGTTTATGTTGCATTGACAGTAGTTTTTCATATATTTGAAGTAATCAGGCCGAAGCCCCAACTGGTTTTACTATTCATCTTCCTTTTTTCCAACAGCAATGCACACGCCTGCTCCTGCGGAACTATTCATCTCTGGAGCTCTTCCTGGTTCTGGCTCATTCCCCTCCTCCTCGGCTCTCTCAGCCTATCAGCATCCAGCATCATTCTCCAGTCGTTCCTTCCCGGCTGCCTCCCTTTCCCTTCAGGACACGCCCACATTTAGCCCCACATCCAACGGTCTGCTCTCCCCCCACGATCCTCTCCTACACATCAAGGCCCCTTCACAGTCCAGCTTGGGTTTTGACAGACTCCTGTCATCGCAGGGTGCTGCTGCAGCTGCCTACAGGGGCAGCCAAGATCCAACAGGTGCCACGTCTGCCCAGGCCTCCTCTGCCAGACACCTGCAGTCACACCAGTTCAATTTACTGTCATCTCAGCTTCAAGACCAGTCCTCCCAGCTGTATAATGCATCAGTATTCTCTTCAGCCCAGGCTCAATCCCAGTCCCAGTCCCAGTCCAACTCTGCTCAGGAGCGGGCCGTACCACGACAGGACAGCGTCATCAAGCACTACCAGAGGCCAACCCCTTCACAGTCCCAACTCTCTTCATCTGCTGCTCATTCTTTGCAGCACTACCTCAACTGTGGAGGAGCTGGATACCAGCAGATTGCCACCCACCACAGACATGCAGGCCTTTCTTGCAGCCCTCTGGGTGACCAGAGCCCCTCATCTGACCATAAAAGCTCCTCCCGCACTGAACAGTATCGACCAATTATACAGCCTCCATATTCCTCCTCCTCTACATCTTCATCGTCAGCAGGGAAAGGGTCAAAAAGCAGTTCCAGCAGTGGTTACTCTTCTGCCAGTTCAGCATCATCTTCACGTACTCCACACACTCCTCCTTCTGCCTCCTCCACCTCATCTTCCTCATCATCATCCTCTGCCACCTCAGGTGCTCATCCTTCAAACTCAATCCCCACCTCTAGCTCTAGTGCTGCTCCATCCAGACAACAACCTCCGCCTCAACCTGCCCCACCACCTCCAACCCCTCAACAACCACAATCACAAGCTGCTACTTCTTCAACGTCAGCCCCTCAGTCTCTCCCTAAATCCTGCCTGTCAGGCTATGGTTCCCCTGTGCCACCTGTGAAGACTCCCACTTCTGCACTAACAGGTCAGACACCACCACAACAACAGGCTCAGTCATACTCCCCTGGTCAGCCTCCCACTTCACACTTAGGTCAGTCGTATGGAGGCTTTAGTTCCCCACAAGCCCAAGACCTGAGTTCAGCTTCAGCTGGGAAGGGCTATGGCAGTCTTGGTGGGCGAAGTCAGTCATACTCAGCTGACATGTATGGCACAGATTCTGCATATGGATCACTCCCATCCTCTCTCGGTGGAGCTGGAAGCCCGTCACTAGGTTATGCCGCAACAGGCCACTCCCCTGCTCTATTAAGGTCAAGCGGGTCATCAGGTAGTGGAGCTTCAGGAGGTGGAAGTAGTGGAACAGGAAATGGTAATTCTGGTTCTGCCGCATCTGGAAGCAGTCTGACAAATGACAGAGGGACTGGTAGTGGCAGTGGATCTTATCATATTCCTGATTCAAGCCCTTCCCCATCTGGCAACTCTACTATCATACGCCCTGGTTTACATTCACCAGTGCCCGCCTGTTCCACTCAATCTCCTGGAGGTCCTGGTTCTAATAAATATATATCTTCTGTTTTATCACCCACATTTTTGTCCTCCCCTCAAGGATACCCTGACACCAGAAACCCAAGCTCCCAGTCCCAGTCCTATCACAACACCTCATCCAAGACCAAGACCGACACTTCAATGCTTGGTGTGGGGAACCAGAGATCCCAAGAAGAGGTTGATGATGATGAGGAGTTTTTGATTCAACATTTGCTGCAAGCCCAGGCAAGTTCTTCCCCTCAGACATCTCACCACCATTCTCAGCAACAACAGCAACAGCCGTCCCAACAAAGCCAGCCTCCGTCCCAGGCAGTTCCCTCAACCACTGACGCAAACAAGGGCCTGAGCTATGACATGAGTAAGAGCTCAGAAGAGAGATACCACCCCCAGAGTGTCATTCGCACACACAGTGCTACATCCAGCAGTGGAGCAGCGTCTGGAGCATCCATCTCAGGCCTGGACTCAGAGTTAGAGATGTCATTGAAGAAGCAGCAGCACCATCACCAACAGCAGCAGCAGCAGCAGAGGAGTGAGAGGTCTGTGGGGAGCAGCCGGAGTAGCGGCAGAGGCAGCAATGAGCAGGTTCACTCACATCTCCATCATCATGAGAGTCTCAGTTCCGTAGTCCACTACGGCCGTGGTGACCCCTACTCTCAGCACTCGCTCGCTGCCCAGCACACGTCACATAATCAGCACGTCTCCTCACACTCTCAGCTTCCTCACTCCCAAATGGATCTTCAGAAGAAATCACAGGAGCGCAGTGAAATATCCTACCCAAGAAAAACTCCTGAAGTCCAGCAGCAGCATTCTCAGTCTCAAGGATCTCTTATCGACTCCCCCACAGATCAGTCACGGCAGCCGCCCCACCTTCTCCAATCTGTGCTCTCGCACACGACCCGCAACAAGCTTGAACCCCATCAGCAACATCATAAAATGGACTCTCACAGGCAGCACCCCCAGCACCACAAGATGGACACCCATCAGTCACTTCAGCAGCATGCAAAACTTGACTCTCATTCTCAGCACCAACCACACTCAAAGATGGAGCCAATTCAGCATCAGCATCACAAGATGGACTCTCACTCTCAACAGCAGCACTCTATTAGCCAACAGCAGGCTGCACTTGAGAGCGCTGCTGGAAGACTGGGCTCTTCCAAACACCAGGCGCCGTCCCAGTCACAGACCACTCAGCTCCAGCTTCAGCTCCAGTCCCAGGCTTTGGAGGTAGCAGCGGCTCATTACAACCATGGCCCGCCTCCTCATCAGCACGAGCAGAGCCAGGTGAAGCAGAGTTCTGTAGTGTCGTCTTTAGACATGCTGGAGCGCTCCCTGTCTCAGACGTCCAACACAGACGTAGAGGACAGAAGAGGAGGAGGCAGTGGGGGACGAAGCAGTGGGAACAGTGAGCGACAACAGAGGCAGCTCCCGACTCACCACCATTCCACCTCTGAGCTGCACTCATTCCTGTCTGAGCCGGACATTGGTCTGTCAACCCCTTCTCACATGCACCACCTGTCACAGCACCACTCCCAAACGCAGCAGCACCAACACCCCCATCACTCACACCCCCAGGCTTCACATTCACACCATATTCCTCCCTCAGCCTCAGGCCACTCTCAGGGAGAGCAGGCTCCCCTCTCTGCTCAGCTCACTCCCCAACAAAGCCAGTTAGACCAACAGCGCTCAGAACAGCATCAGTTTGACACAGTCAGCCCAGTGGAAAAAGCAGATCAAAACCAACAAAGTAACCGCTTTGTTCCGCTCACATCCATCTGCTTTCCTGACTCTCTGCTTCAGGATGAGGACCGCTCCTTTTTCCCTGGGATGGAGGATATGTTTTGTGCTGAAGACTACAAGTCGAGTTGTGCCGGAGGAGCAGGACCAGGACAGGGGGAGATGAATGAAAGCCATGCAGGTCCAGAGGCTATTGAATCTATGAAAGCGGCCCAAAGTACTGCAGCATCAGGAGCAGGGAGCACGGGCAGCTATGATATGATGGGTCACCATGGAAACCAGGGTTATGAACCATACTGCCATGGCTTGGAGGAGCCCAGTAACAACACCATGACTCTGGACTTGGACTCTTTGAAAACCCATGAGCTCCCCTCCACCGTCAACACGGAGCAGCTTGGTCTGATTCAGTCTCAGCCTCCAGCTCTGGGGATGGGCTCTAATAATGCTGGACCCAACAGCACTGGAGGGAAGATGACCACGGGACCAGGAGGGACTAATTCTAGTACTGGCTCAGGGGGCCTGCAGTCTCCAATTTTCTGTTCATCCCGCCCCAAGAAACTTCTTAAGTCCAGCTCTTTCCACTTGTTAAAAGAACGACGTGACCCTAATACGCTACCTAAAAAAAGTTATGCACAGGAATATGAGTTTGAGGATGATGAGGACAAGGCTGATCAACCGGCAGATATCCGCTTAAATAGCAGGAGACTTCCAGACCTTCTTCCTGACTTGGTGTCAAGCTGCAGAAAGTCAGGAGCAGGTGGCTCTCTCAGTCCTTTGATGGGAGATATGGACTTTTATCATTCATCTGGCTACTCATCTATTGGTTCACACTCTCTCATGCCTCAAGAGGGTCCAAAGAAAAGGGGTCGAAAGCCTACCAGACCCAAGAGGGAAGGACCCCCACGACCAAGAGGTAGACCCCGCATCCGGCCAATGCCCGAGCCGTACACACCGCGTGGGATGCTGAATGAGATGAGTGGGTCAGTGGGAGCTGGAGCAGGAGCAGGGTTCAGTGTAGAAGGCAGAGGCAGGGGGCGAGGCCGCGGCGGGCGAGGACGAGGAGGACGAAGAGAGGACATGTTCATCGAAATGAGCTCAAAACAGGAGCACCTGCACCACCACCAGCTCCATCCGCAGCAACAGCAGCTGCATCAACAGCCACAGCATGAACCCATCCCACCTCTGAAGGCAAGTACTTTTACTATTTAGAATTCTGTATTTAAATGTATAACAATTGACTGGAACAGCTTTTAAGATGTAAGTGTATTATATTTACATGTTTGTGTCCCCCCATTTTAGATTAAATTACCAATTGGTACAATGTCCTCGTCGGATTCCCTGCTCAGGACAGATTCTTTGTCTGGTACTGATCCTGGTATGTCTGATGGATCAGTCGGCTCAGCCCCCTCTCTGGGTCTAAGCCCTGGACCACAGTGCAGCGCCGACAGCTCTAGAAATCATGAGAAGAACAAGCATAAGAGCCACATGATGAGTGAGATGATGAGTGAGACGGTGGATGAAGAAAGCTTGGGAGAGAGGGTAAGCCCTAACCATGTTTTATTTGATAATAAAAGTGTTTATAATGTTGACTTCATAGAAATGTCTGGCCCTTTCTTACAGGGTGATGACAAAGATTCCAAGGCAGGCTTTGTTGCTTCATTTTTGGACTTTCTTAAAACCGGGAAGAGACCTCCAGGCTTGGATATTTCCCCTGGAATGGAACATGATAATGGTGAAGGTTCTCCATGTAAACTTGGGGGTCTGCGCCCTCTATCACCTGCTCCTCCACCACCACTACCGCCTCCTCCCTTTGGGGATGGTGAGGGCAATGGAGGCCTGGCCCTGGGCAGCTGCCCGAGCCCCAAGCGTTTGGAGGACGAGTTGAAGAGGAACTTGGAGACACTTCCATCGTTCTCCTCTGATGAGGAGGACTCTGTGGGCAAGAACCAGGACCTGCAGAAGAGCATCTCCTCTGCCATCTCTGCTCTGTACGACACTCCTCAGCTGACCACCATGCAGGCGCCTTTGCCGTCTCCTCCTCAAACACAGGCCACACAGGATCCTCTCACCCCCAGCTTGCCCCCACCAGCCCTGAGCCCACAGCCACTGCATACTCCACATACGCAGCCACAGTCCAATGAACAAGATGTCATGCAGGCTGAGGAGCTGGAGATGGAGAACAGGGAGAACGAGCAAAGAAGCCCAGCTGGGCTCCAAGATGGAGACATGATGGAGGAAAGAGCGTCCCGGCTCCAGACTCTTGGTGGCCCAAAGAATGAAGGTACATTATATATAATAATATGCCTAATATAAGAATGAAGCCATGAGCCTTGAATTTATTTAGACCCTGTAACTGTCCATGACAGCAGAACTAATTCACTTCTTTATTGTTGGGTTTCCTCAAGCAGTTGTTTATTTTGAATTCGGTTAAATCACCAATGGGTGGTTAGTACAGTGACTGTACATATCTAAATATGTGTCATAAGATGGAATAGAGTCTTAGTATTGTTTAAAAAGAGGACCGTCTCTTGGACAAATGAGTCGTGTTTGTGAAGAGCCCGTTCACAGTAAAGATGTTTTAAATATTTGGTCCAATAAAGAAATGAACTGGCTTTAAATGATTGATAGCACTAAACCGTGCTTCACATTGACCTCATAGAAAGTGCTCAGACAAATGTTTTGGGAGTTTGTTCTTCCTCGAACAGTCGGCTGAAATGTATTTCACTGTTCTGTTACAGATTGGAGCTTTTGTTAATGCTGACGTTTTTTTTGTGTTTTTCAGGATCTCTCCCTGAAGTCCCCGCTGCTCCAGCGACTCCTGAATGCCCCTCTCCTCCCCCCAGCCCCGCATCATCCTCCTCCCCCTCCCACTCCCCCCTGCCCCCCCTGTCTCTCCCCTCTCCGCCTGCAGTGGCTGAAGTCCTGCAGCAGAGCGCCGAGCCTCTTCCGTTAGTTTCACTTCCATCACCTGCTGCTGCTCCCCCACAGCCCTCCTCCTCCCCCCCACACCCTCCAGCTCCTCCCGTCCCCCTTTCACAAACTCCCCCACCTGGGCCTGCCACTCAGAAGGAGTCCCCACACCCTTCTCCAGAGTCCCCCGCCTCCCCTGAAGAGCGGCCCCCGCCCAAGATCACTTCACTGCACCTGGCGCAGAAGCAGGAAGACGCCGCCATCGCTGGCGAGAGCGAGGAGGACGAGAGCGAGAGCGGCGGTGAGGGGATCTTCAGGGAGCGCGACGAGTTTGTGGTACGAGTGGAAGACATCCGCACGCTCAAGGTAAATGTTCAGGTGTCATCTGCTTCACTGTGAGCCTTCAAACACTTAACCATCCTCTATGTTCAGCTGGCCCTGCAGACGGGCCGCGAACCCCCTCCCATCTGGAGAGTACAGAAAGCACTGCTCCAAAAGTTCAGCCCAGAGATCAAAGACGGTCAACGGCAGTTCTGTGCCACAAGCAACGTGAGTTTATGTCATGTAGACTTCATTTCATTATTCAGAGGGAAATTAGTCATTCTAGTTCACGTCATTTAGATCCTCTAACAAAATAACAAATAGAATAGTATTTATTTTTCTGTTTGGCCCCAATTCAGAAAAAGCTTGTTTTAACAAATTAGTCATCCACCTTTGAACATGAGCTTACTCGATGTGTGTCGCATTATTGTATTTATTCAATTACTGCTCAAGCCACTTTAGTTTGCTCAAATATTGGTCGAACAGTTAGGGCTGGGCACCTTGACACTTGGGTCACTTTGACACTTATAATCTGGTTCTGGTTCACCTGCAACAATAAGGCCTATTTATGGATGTAAAACTGCCATGTGTCACTAGTCACACAAGTCACTTCACAGATCTGCTTCAAAAAGGTAAAGAATTTCTTCCAAAGTGAAAGTGCCCTCAGTAAAGTCTGGTCCTTCATGTAAATTATGCACCTTCACTTTGGCCAATAACGTATTATTCCTCACATTCATTGAAACCATGACATTTGAAGTTATATGTCATCTATTATGGGTCTTGGAGGACTCTGCTCCACTGAGTCCAGTCCAGGTGTTTTAGACGCAAACTCTGCCCTCATTTGGCTACAGATAAAGTGCAAGATATATTCACACTGTTAATATTTTTCCATTTTAACACAAGAGGCCGCTGCAGCCTTGGCCTCCGTCCAGATTCCACTAAATCCTTAACTTGTTTAGGTGCCGCATAATTCCGTTCAAATATTCAGCTGTCAGAGATGAGTATTGCTAATGTTTTATATTGAGCCAGCACTGGAGCACTGTGGCCTATGAGCATCCTCAATGACAGTAATTTTTGGTTTTACTTCTCAGTATCTTGGATATTTTGGAGACGCAAAGAGGCGGTACCAGCGAATATATGTCAAGTTTTTGGAGAATGTTAACAAGAAGGACTATGTCAGAGTGTGCTCCCGCAGACCGTGGCGCAGGACGACACCTCTCAGGTATGATGTCATGTTTGGAATGTATTTGTTTTGTTTTTTGGTATCAATTAGTGCTGTCCAACGATTAAAATATTTAATCGCGATTAATCGCATGAATTTCATAGTTAACTCGCGATTAATCGCAAATTAGTCACACATTTGCGTGCTGTGTGCAATTGCTTTTTTTATTGAAAACAATGTGTAGTGTTATATTACACACTAACATTTGATGCAAAATCATCAATAAATGGATGACAAAATAAATAATTGGTAACAAAAAGCCCCTTCAATGTGTGTGTGTGGGTGTGTGTGTATGTGTGGGTATAGACCATAGACTGTATAGAAACATCATGGTGTCATTATGATGATGATAAACAATCTGTAAATATTTTGTAAATTTGTTCATGTAAATACTCTATGCTGTTTCTCTGTTTACCTTCGGTATATCTATGACTGTATACTGTTTGCTTGTATTGCCTTTTTTATTAACCCCTCCCCCCATCTCCCACTTCATGTCCCCCCCCCCCCCCCCCCCTCCCCTCCTATGTGCCCTTCTGGGTTTCTTCTTTGGCCCCCTGTATCTCCAACTACATATTGTTTGTAATCTCTGTCTACAATGTATCTGAACTAGTCCTTTTCTTTGTTTCTATGTGTTTGTCTGCAATAAAAAGTAAAAAAAATCGCGCGATAAAAAAAATGACGGCGTTAATATTGATTTGCGTTAACGCGTTAATAACGCGCTATTTTGGACAGCCCTAGTATCAATCTAAACGAGTTCCTTGTCCTCAGAAGACAGAGCCTTCCCAGGATGGCGTCGCCTCCTACAGTACAGCCCCCGCCCAGAGCCCCGGAGAAAGAGGAGAGAATGGCGCCACCTGTCCTACGTGAACTACCGGAAAAGGCCAAAACGCCGACCCCTCCCACGTCCGCCCCGACAACTGTGACCACAACCACCACCAAGGAGCCCAGGGAGCGCAAGGACGTCCCTGCTCCAGCTGTGCCTAAAGCCAAGGAGAAGGAGAAAGTGAGGGAGGCCGAGAAAGAGAAAAGCGCGCTACTGGACAAGGCGGACAAACGTGTCGTGGATCGGGGGAAAGTGAAAGAGGAGAGGAAACCCGTGGAAAGAAAGGAGAAGGCCGAGCGCCCGCCTAAGTCCAAACCGGTCAAAGTGAAAGCAGAACCTCCGCCCAAAAAGAGGAAAAAATGGCTGAAGGAGGTGGCTTCATCGTCCGACTCCGAGTCCTCTGAAGATGCGGCCAGCGAGAACGAAAGTAAGGCCGTTTGTGTCTGATTTTTATGGTTCTATGTAAAGCTGCACTACACAAACTCATGACTTATCGTCTCCCTCTCAGTGCCTGTGAAAGGAGGCGTCAATAACCGTTCCATGAGGGAAATGTTCCGGAGCTACGTGGAGATGCTGGTGAGCACCGCCCTGGACCCGGACATGATCCAAGCTCTGGAGGACACAGACGGTGAGGACCACACTGCACTGGCATGATTGTGGATTGTACTTTTGGATTGTACTTCTTGATTATTTTTTATGCTAAAGATACAGATTTTATTTTTGCTTCTTTATCATGCTATAGCTAGAGATATTCAGATTCATTTTATTTGCCATTTGCAGTAAAACCACATTGGAACATATTTACTAAAGTCCCCAGAGTGCACAAGACAAGTAAAAAATAATGATGCTGAAGAGGGATTTCTTAAATATTATGATGGTCTACATTTTCTAAAGCGTTTGTGTTTTGTTTCCAGATGAGCTGTACCTTCCCCCCATGAGGAAGATCGACAGCATCCTCAGTGAACAGAAGCGGAGGTTGTTGAGGAGAGTCAACATGAGTTCCCAGCAGCAGGTAAACTCTAACCCGCTCCTGTTTCGTGCTTATTCCCCGCATTTTTTTAAAACAATTTGCCAGCACCAGTTGCTGTTGAACCGACACAAAGGGCTCAGGGCTGTGGCTGCAATGTTGTTAATGCTACACAATGATTGCTCAGACATGAATCCTGCTCCGGTCTGTACTTAAGAGTTATTCCAAATTAGTTCCTGCTCAATTTGAATTCACTTTTTTGTGCAATAGTTGAGACTACGTCAGAATAATGCAACAGAAATCATTAGTGTTGCTTCAATTCAATTCAATGCATTTTTGTATCGCCCTTAACCACTTATCTATAAATGTTGATAAATGTCCATAGATGTTCTTCTCAGTGGTTCTTAATGCTCTTGTCTTTGAGCCGGTGTTGTGTTTTCGGCCTCACTCACACCTCCTCCCCTTGTGCAGGAGATTCTGCACGCGTACCCTCAGATCATCGTGGATCCCCTGGACCCTGGAGTCGTGAGGGTGCGGCTCAGTGGAGACGCGTACAACCGCAAGACCCTGAATCGAGTCAAGAAGACCCTGCCTAAACCACAGGTCGGTGCCTCTTCAGACCGAGTTTTTCCACAATCCCCCACATGTGACCGAGCTCTGAAACCCGAGCGACAAGAGCCGAGCCTTTTCTAACGCCACTGAATGACTAAGCCTGCTTATTGAATGGAATCCTGAAGTATAGATAAAGGGATGGATAGATGGCAAGGAAAATTCATCCAACTATTATAAAAACAACAAAAAAACACATAATTCTAAAAGTAGCTAACAATACAATAAATTTAATACATTCTCTTATCCAGTCTCCCCAATGCTAGCTTACGCAGGGCACAATAATAAAACACACTATGCTAACACGGAATATTGTTTTGTGATAATAATTGGCCTTGTATCCATAAAGAAGTGGTCAGTCCCCGAAGCGTCCGTTGTGGCCGCGGGTTTTCATTCCAACTGAGCAGGAGCACATCAGACTCCTCCAATGTCATCAAGGGGAAGTCCAGCCTCAACCTCAGAACCAGATGACACGGGTTTCAGTCTGGTGTCGCTCCTGCTTGGTCGGAATGAACACCCGCAGACACACAGCCCTTTTGAGGACGGGTTTGAAGACCACTGCCACAGACGGTAGAGGAGTTAGCATGCTAGGCTAGCTTGCTGCCGTGCGCCAAGTTTCTGCGGAAGAAAGCCTGGTTGCAGATTTAAATGTCCCTGCTGTTGCCAGACTCACTATTCTGATGATCTACACCAGACATGTCAAACTCAGGCCCGTGGACCAAATCAGGCCCGCAAGACCATTTTTAGAGGCCCTTGATGGTAATGGGATACTATGGCATGTTATACTTCATTTTAAAGCCTATTGTCTCAGGAAATAGATTCAATTACTGCATATGGTTAACTGAAATGTATGTAGAAGTTAGTTAAATATGAAAAATAAATGATTAAATGTCAGTCTTCAAATACTTTTCTTCTTGAACTTGGACCCTAACCCAAACCTACTGGAAAATATAATTCCAAAGCACATGTTAAATTTAATGAAGTTAAGATTAAGATGAAGAGATCCTTTATTGGTCCCACAGTGGGGCGGATGTCAGTGAGAACAGCGGGAATGAGGAGCACACAGCACAAGACACACAAAAAATCCTTCTAGTAAGATAAAAACTCTAGCATGTTGAAGAAGCAGGACTTGAGTAACATAAACTTCTGACTTTAGCACAAAAAGAAGTCAAGTTAGTCGTAAAAAAAAAGCCGGCAGTGACACCGACACTCACAATAGGAGTTAGTTTTCAGAGTAGTTTTACAGTTCGACACAAGCCGGAATGTAAGAATGTGAACGACAATCACAAATGGCCGTAATGCATCCGATACAACTGTAATATTAGTTTCGGTGCCGGGTAGACGGTCTAATTTGTAAACGTCTTTCTATAAGAATGGGGTAGAAGGGGTTTTTTTCCTTCATCCTACTCCTGGGACTTGCTGAATTGTTCTAATACGTTTTTTTTAATGTTCTTTTTCAGGACCTGAAACTCTCCTCTGAGTCGTACCGGAAATACAGCCTCTACCACTCCCTCCATCACTATAAATACCACACTTTCTTACAATGCAAGAAGGAGGTAAGCAAAGCAGCTGGAGAGAAAGACTGAGTGTGAATGGTTTCATGTGGTCAGAGTTATGGGAATCGTCTCTGATCTGAATTTCTCCCCAAACATTCATGCAGCAGATGATAAATCATTTGAAACTGGGCTGTAACCAACTGATAATCTATAAATCTAGCTTTTTTTATGTTGTTTACAAAATCTCTGTCTCTCTCTCTGTCTCTCTCTCTGTCTCTCTCTTTGTCTCCCGGACTCTCTCTCTGTCTCCCGGACTCTCTCTCTGTCTCCCTCTCTGTCTCCCTCTCTGTCTCTCTCTCTGTCTCTCTCTTTGTCTCCCGGACTCTCTCTCTGTCTCCCGGACTCTCTCTCTGTCTCCCTCTCTGTCTCCCTCTCTGTCTCTTTGTCTCCCGGACTCCCTCTCTGTCTCCCTGTCTCTCTCCCTGTCTCTCTCCCTGTCTCTCTCTTTGTCTCCCGGACTCTCTCTCTGTCTATCTTTGTCTCCCGGACTCCCTCTCTGTCTCCCTCTCTGTCTCTCTCTCTGTCTCCCTCTCTGTCTCTCTCTTTGTCTCCCGGACTCTCTCTCTGTCTCTCTCTTTCACTGACCAAAGTTGGTAACCAAAACAGCGCTGAACCAATAATAAAGAAATCATGACCTAATATACTCTCTCAAATGATATGAGGATTACCCAAATTAAATGTAATAGTAGTAAGTAGTAGTAGTAGTACTTAATACAATGTAAATATGTAAATACAAAAATCTAAACTTTACAATAGTAATAATAGCAGACGATAAAGTGAATCATCAGAACAGAATTATCGGCTGAAGAAATATGGAACGATGAATCAACTAGGAGACTATGAAACTCTTAGTTGCAATTAATCGCTACAGCCCAAATTAAGAAACATCATTCCTTCTGCTGTCACTAAATTCATCTGAAAGCCAGGCCCCGCCCCCTTTTCTGAAAGCCCGATCCTGAGCGTATGTTTTTGTGTCTCAGACGAACACCATCGAGCAGGCGGCTGAGGACCCCGGCCAGGAGGAGGTGGTGCAGCAGTGTATGGCCAACCAGAGCTGGCTGGATACTCTCTTCTCCTCCTTCATCGATCTGCTCACACTCAGCACCAAAGCTTGAGCCTGTGCAAACTCGAGGGAGGATCATATTCAAGTATTAAAGCGAAAAAGGACCAGTCCCTTCTGTACAGCACCCACCCTCTTCAAGGCAAAGCCACAATGGGGTCTGTTCTGGGCCTCCTACTGTGACTATGGGCCGTTTCTGTTTCGGATCGACAGACTTGGAAAAGGTCTTGCTTTGTTATGACCCCATTGGACTCGGGTGTTGACAGGACTAGAGGGACTCGCCGGGAGTTTGAGATTTACAAAATTGAAGGGAAGAAAACCATGGAGCTGTATCTTCAAGTCAAGTAAAGAGCCGCTGGCATCATTTTAACTGTGTCGTACAGACGATAGTTCAAAGAGAAGCTATTACCGCTTAGTTTTTACATAAATTATTTTTTTGAAAAGACTAACATCAGCTGTTGGCTTTTACAGAGTGGACAGAGGAGAGAATGCTTTTTAAACTGTGTAGAGTGAGCACCGTGGACTCTGGAGAAAACTATGTGTTATCTGCATCTTGTGCAACATGACGGGCAGCACCATTCAGCTCTGTGATAATATATAAACACATTTTTATTATTTATATGAGGTTTTTAACTTAACTCTCACAAGCCGCTGCGGAGCTGCCCTGACATTTGAGAACCATTGAAACGCCACATGACCCACGTCACCAGGTTGTCTTCCCTCAAACACATGGGACAAACATTGTATCAAATACAGTGGGTGTAAAATAAGAAAAGATTCAGGAGGAGAACTCTGGGCTCAGGCCGCCGTCCTTCAAGCAGATGCAAAGTTAAAGTCAACTTTTCATTTTCTGTGTTGGAAGGAATATAAATAATATTTAAAGAGGAAATAGTCATTTCATTTTTATCATTTGGATGTCTGTGCATACTGACTTATTTTGAAAACAATCTAATTTTCCATAAAAAGGAAAAAAAAAGATGTGTAAATATTGTACAGTTCTTGATGAAATTCTTTGTTCTTCTGTACATTAACTCTCCTGTATTTGAGAAACAAATAAAACCTGCAAAGAACATGTGTGTATCATTCATATCAATGTCTGTTATGTATTTATTATATATCACTGAGTGTCGGCCGTTTGTGATGATTACTGCTTTTCAAGACCCACAGAAGACTGCTACGACTGAAACATGAAACAAGACTGGACTTTACTTTGTTTCTACCTAGTTTCATTTTCCTGTAATCTTCAGTCGAGTCGAGTCGAGGAAGTTTGACAGAAATCCCTGATAAGTCCCAGACTAAAAGCTGAGAGAAGGAGTGCCATCAATGAAGCAGCACTGCTCTTCTCTGGTGGAAAACCAACTGGACCAGAACAGAACCAGTCCAGAACCAGAAACTAGCATCTTTCTTCACCATAGAAAGAAAGATAACAAAAAGGCTTTAATTTGGGTTTTAGTTATGGATAGAACTAACGTTTCTAAAAGAAAAAAGTCACAAAGTTATGAAGACCAATTGGTCCGGTACGAGCTGAGTAATTATGCGTCAAAAACTTAAATGTAGTCAGCTCACCATAATGATCTCTGCGCATGCGCCATCTGGCGGTCAGTGGCCGCACGTGCGTCAGTTTCAGAAAACGAAAGTGAAACTTGGAGTTTCCCGTTCGCCACTGTTTCAGCTGTTCTACAATACGGAACTGGTTCCAATCTCCAGGTGGGACCTCTGAGCAGTAAGACCTGTTTTATTCACAGCACTAAACTATCCTAGAACTAAAGCACTTTGACTGTAGCCACTTCAAAGAGTGTTATTTCTCTCGGCGTTGAGTTAGTGTTCGGTGAGTAAGTGTTAAGTGTCAGTTCTTGTTGTTAGAATGGCTTTGTTGGCTCTAAACAATAGTTACTCAACAGGCTTGAGAGTTTAGACCAGGGGTGTCATTCATACGGCCCGCGGGCCGGAACCGGCCCGCCAAGAGATTTGACACGGCCCGTGGCTCATTTATGTAAAAATATAATAAAGTTACATTTTAAAAAGCCGCTCCGCGAGGCGCCGCGACGCTGCAGCGCCGCGCTCAGGGGTGAGTCCAGTGCGTCTGTAGTGACTCCACCAGAGCGGTGCTGAAGGAATAACATCTTAAACTACAAGACTCGGCGAAAAATACGGCACTTTGAGCGAAGAATTGAGAAAACAGAAGATAAACATGTCTGGCCCTGAAGACACAGCAGTCTGTTTGTGCCCAGAGCGAGAGGTTAGTTCTGCTGCTGTAAAGGGAAGCTACCTGTGCTAACAACATTAGCATTAGCATCGCAGCCGCACAGTGAGAGAGAGTTTGTTAAAACTCTCACAGGCTGCAGACATGGTCTGAGAAACCACTCGCTTTTACCAACATGTTGCCATTGATAAGAGACTGATGGTACTGATGTCACATATTCATTTGTGGTGTTACTGAAACTATCAGAGGAGTTTTGAGCGCTGCTGCTGGTGCTGCTGCTGGTTCTGCTGTTGTTGCTGGTGTGTTGGACAGTGTGGACCGGTACCGATGGTAAAAACAGGTGTAGTGACAAAGCTGCAAATGGAGGTGATGATTTTTGGACATTTGACTGTATTTTACACAGAGACACTGCTGCAGTCGTTAAGAATGAATCACGTTATGGAAGTAAAACTTGCTAAGAAGTACAGATGATGGGTGAGAAACCTTCCTTTGCTTTGGTTATGGAAGTTGTTTTATTCATTTCAACTGAATCATGGTCAGTTTGATGCTTTCTCTGTGATAATAACATAACCATGGACCTTACCACACTGAAGGTGGTTAATGTGATAATAACATAACCATGGACCTTACCACACTGAAGATGGTTAATGTGATAATAACATAACCATGGACCTTACCACACTGAAGATGGTTAATGTGATAATAACATAACCATGGACCGTACCACACTGAAGATGGTTAATGTGATAATAACATAACCATGGACCTTACCACACTGAAGATGGTTAATGTGATAATAACATAACCATGGACCTTACACACTGAAGATGGTTAATGTGATAATAACATAACCATGGACCTTACACACTGAAGATGGTTAATGTGATAATAACATAACCATGGACCTTACCACACTGAAGATGGTTAATGTGATAATAACATAACCATGGACCTTACCACACTGAAGATGGTTAATGTGATAATAACATAACCATGGACCTTACTACACTGAAGATGGTTAATGTGATAATAACATAACCATGGACCTTACACACTGAAGATGGTTAATGTGATAATAACATAACCATGGACCTTACACACTGAAGATGGTTAATGTGATAATAACATAACCATGGACCTTACCACACTGAAGATGGTTAATGTGATAATAACATAACCATGGACCTTACCACACTGAAGATGGTTAAGCTGAGGTGCTGTGTTTAAGTGCTTTTTTCTATCTACCTACTTTACCTTTGTGAGCAGGTTTTCTCTGTAATGAGCCTTAAAACAAAGCTAACACACAAATATTAATATACATATTGTGAAATACCATTTTCAATGTAATATTGTAAATACGCTACATTATTTGCACTATGGAAAACTCACTGTTACATTTAAGTTTGTAACAGAAAACTGAGTATTAAAGGATAGTGTTTTAAAGGAAGTTTTAAATAAATGTGTTTATGTGCACAAAAAGTTGGACTTTGTACCGTTTTTGGATATTTTTGTAGAGCATCTCCTGGTCCGGCCCACTTGAGATCAGATTAGGTTGTATGTGGCCCCCGGACCAAAATGAGTTTGACACCCCTGGTTTAGACAAATATCCTAAATGCAGCTAATTAAGAGTTTTTGTTTTAAATGAACAGAATAAGGTTATTATCAACCTCTGAAAGGCTGGGCAAACAAACAACATGACTATCTTTACACAGGGGATAAAGCATGAATGCATTTATACAGTATATTGTAAATGCAGTGAGTGTATGTGAATGTGTAGATGGCTGTGTTGTGTCCTTCCAGCAGAGATGGCCCAGTCCAAGCCTCTCCTCATGCCCTGGCTCCGGGCTCAGATCAACAGTCAGCAGTATCCTGGAGTGTCCTGGACCAACACAGAGCTCACAGAGTTCTCCATCCCCTGGAAACACGCCCTGAGACAGGACTCCTCCAGCTCAGACATCCTCATCTTCAAGGTAAGAAGGTTCCACAGGTGTTTGAGCGTGAAGACCATGAAGCTGTTTAAAGGAGAGCTCCTGTTGTGTAGGCCTGGGCGGAGGTCAGTGGGGGCGGACGGGCTCAGGGCGACCCCTCGGTGTGGAAGAGGAATTTCCGCAGTGCCCTGAGAGCGAAAGGATTCACGATGGTTTCTGACAACAAAAATGACACTGCCAATCCTCACAAGATCTACAGATGGCCGGACGAAACCAGGTCAAAAAGTAAAGTTATGCTCATTTCTCCACCCATAATGACCTTCTCTGAATGTAAACAAACTCTGTAGTTGTCATAAATAATATTCAGTTGGCTTCGTTAATGTTAAGATCTTTTAATTTATTACAAGATCGGTTGTCTCAGAACCTTGCCTTAGGATAAAGGACAATAAGGGATGTTGTTTAGACTTTGCATAGTTTAAATATATATGTGTAAATGGAAAAACAGGCTCTTCACAATGAAACTAGACCTTATTGCTTATTTTATCGTCATATTTACTCACCAAATATTAAAGAAATGGACAGCCGTGGCTTTGATTAGTAAAAAAAAAATACCATGATCCTTCTCTGTGTGTCCCCTGATAATGTTACTATGATCAATAAAGGAATTTTATTGATAATTTTTTTTAATTCTACTCATTTTTGATGTTGCTAGTTTTGATGTTGCTGAATAAACAACAGCTCCCGAGACATTTCCTGATCCGAACACTTCTCATTTTAAACAAAAGTCTTTACTTCCACGTTGTCACAAGCACAACTGTAACTTCTGTTGATAATGATGTTAAGAGTGTCAAACACAAATCTGCTTCACCCGCAGCCTCTTCGTCTCTGTCTCCTGATCCTCCTCATCCCGACGCCGCCGACGACTTTCCCTTTCCGACACAAGAAGTGAGTCCAACGTCAGAACTTGTTTCATTTACGATGAATTGATTTTGTTATTGACTAATGAAAGATTTTCACATCAAGGGGACAAACTAACTATGAATAAAAAGAGAGAACGTCATCTGTCTCCAGTCTCTCTCCCTAAAACCTTTCAGATCAGAAACATTAGAAACGTTCACCATCAAAAACATTGTCAGAATATAAACAGTGTCTAAAGCTGAGTTGGAGATTTTTGTCCTGCATAGGTCAGACTACTTCAGCGGCTCCTCACAAATCTCTCCAAACTAGTTTTAAAACAGCAGCAGTACATTCAAACTGACTAGAACCAGGAAGTACGATCATGTTTGTCCAGTCTTCTCTAAAAATGTTCCAACAGTCGTGTTTAGCTGTGCATAAAACTCAGTGATTTACCAATAAACGTGCCTTGCCTAAATGCTTATAAATACTAATGTTACCTTTAATATGAAGATGAATATTCTGTTTGTGTTCTTCCCAGAGCCAGCCACACGAGGTGCTGTGTCTCTATTCTGAGTCAGACGTGTTTCCAGGTAAATTCCTGTGTTGTAAAGGCTCTTTTTCTTGATGTTACATCTGACTTGTACAAACACATATCTGCAGATCTGAGCGGCAGCAGCGACATCCTGCACACATGTATGCAGGAGCTCAACATTTGTCCTGAAGCAGGTGAACTTCAGCTTCATCTGCTTTTCTGTCGTAAACAATAAATAAGTCTAAATATACAAATATGTCTAACTTTCTCTCAGAGAGCTCTGAGCCTCCAGCCGAGCAACAGCGGCTGGGAGCGGCTGTGATTGGAGGGCTGGGGCTGTGTGGGCAGCAGCAGTATCCAGTGGCTGCTGAGGCTGCGGAGCATGGAGCAGGGTTGCCGAGGCAACCATCACAGCCAATGGAGGAAGGGGGAGGCGGGGCACATGATCCGGCCCAGCACTTCCTCGACACAGTCACTCAGACTGACGATGGAAGTCATTTCAGTGAGTAGCAGCTGCTGTCACTCATACATGGGTCTGACTTACTAATTATGTATGTATATAAAATAATATACATTATATATATATATATATATATAAAATGTACAGTGTAACTTTTGTTTTGTTCCATTATTCCAAACTAGACAATCAGATAAATCATTTGTTCTTCCTGCAGAGACTCAGTTCAGGATCAGTGTGTTCTACAGAGGACGGCAGGTGCTGGATCAGCTGGTTACCAACGAGTCCGGAGTGCGGATAGTCTACAGGTACAGGCCACATGCGTAACACTAGAACTCCCACAGCAGTCAATTTGACGGCCTGCGGTTTTGTTTAGTTACTTCATGTATTTAAATTATTATTTTTTTTACAAATCTTTCTACAGCTCCAATCCTGTGCCTGGTGCTGTGGAGCCAGAGTCTGGTCTCTCCCTGGTTTTTCTGCCGGCTCCTCAGGACATGGCAGACCAGGTCCAGGCCACTCTGACGCAGAGGATCCTGGACTCTCTGGGCTGGTTGGACGTGGGCGTGTCCCTACATGTGGTGTACGGTCAGCGCCGCGGAGAGTCTAAGGCTTACTGGAGCTTCTCAAAGTTTGACCAAAGTAGACGGCCACAAGAGGTCCCCAAAGAGCCACAGCCGCTCTACATGTTTAAAGACTTTGTGAAAGGCAAGTGAGGAGACTGGAATGTTCTCACAGAACTCATACTGTGGCCCTGGACACTGTCGGATATCTGTGTATTCTACGGTGGTCAAGGATATCTCTGTTTGAAATCCAGCCTAATTTGAGACCGAGTATTGGCCATTATCACAGAACATCATATTTGTTTTGTGGCCCGAGTCCTGGATCTACAGCCCGTCTGAGTGGGAGCAGATCCTTCCCTCAATGTGGGACTCCCAATGTCCATAAATGTTGATAAATATCCGTAAGTGTTGTTGAATGTGTCCTGGATCATCACCACTGTTTTTAGTTTTCCCTTGCCGATGCAGGAGGGTCTGTTAGTCTTGTCTGGGTCTAACTAAAAGAACAGTGGTGATGATCCAGGACTCAACATTTATGGACATTGGTCTCTGCTTCTTATGCACCAATGGCTGTGTTTTCTATCATTGCATTTCTTGTGTTCGACTGTTTGCGTCTATAAATCTGTGTTGGTGAATTCAACAGTTGTCTAAAGTCCTCTGAGATAACTACTGCTGTGACTTAAGGCTATACAAGAATACATTGAATTGGAAATATAGTATTCAGAAAAGTAGATTACTATTTTTGCTCGTCATTTCCTTAGATCTGAAAAAAAAAAACAGGTAAATTGGTTGCTATGTATGGGGTGCCGATTGTAAAAATTCTGTTAAAATTTTTTAGCTGAACATTTGTCTACATTTAGCTCACTTTCCTCACATTTAGCACATTTTCCTCACATTTAAGACATATCTATATCTAAATATTATATCTATATCTAAATGTTAAATGTTATATCTAAATATTATATCTATATCTAAATGTTACATCTATATCTAAATGTTAAATCTAAATGTTAAATCTAAATGTTAAATCTAAATGTTAAATCTATATCTAAATGTTAAATCTAAATGTTAAATCTAAAAGTTAAATCTAAATGTTATATCTATATCTAAATGTTATATCTATATCTAAATATTATATCTATATCTAAATGTTATATCTAAATATTATATCTATATCTAAATGTTATATCTATATCTAAATGTTAAATCTAAATGTTAAATCTAAATGTTAAATCTAAATGTGTCGCCAAGTGTAAAGCTAAATATATAGAAACCACGCCCACTGCAGTGGCTTCAAATCCAGTGGGCCCGCCTTCCGTGCCGTGTGGTGAGAACCCTACAGGATTACACAGGAATCTCACGGGACTCCACGTGGCTTAGTTTACAGTGAATACACTCTGGCTCCAGCAAATAAGCAAGAATCTTCACAAAAATGCTAATTTTGTGCCGTGGCCAAGGACGATGGCGCCGGAGACCCAACATGCCTTGAGCCGTGACGTCGGTCCACGTGTATTCCTATGTTCAAAACACGCGGCACCGCCCCCACTCACCACACGGCACGGAAGGCGGGCCCACTGGATTTGAAGCCACTGCAGTGGGCGTGGTTTCTATATATTTAGCTTTACACTTGGCGACACATTTAGATTTAACATTTAGATTTAACATTTAGATATAGATATAACATTTAGATATAGATATAATATTTAGATATAACATTTAACATTTAGATATAGATATAATATTTAGATATAGATATAACATTTAGATATAGATATAACATTTAGATATAGATATAACATTTAGATATAGATTTAACATTTAGATTTAACATTTAGATTTAACATTTAGATTTAACATTTAGATTTAACATTTAGATTTAACATTTAGATTTAACATTTAGATATAGATATAACATTTAGATATAGATATAATATTTAGATATAACATTTAGATATAGATATAATATTTAGATATAGATATGTCTTAAATGTGAGGAAAATGTGCTAAATGTGAGGAAAGTGAGCTAAATGTAGAAAAATGTTCAGCTAAAAAATTTTAACAGAATTTTTACAATCGGCACCCCATAGTTATGGTGACGATGACAATGTTGCGAAAAGTGTGTCCTTGTTCGGTGGAAGTTCAACGTCATGAAAAAAGCAGTGAGTTGTGAGTTTATGTCTGTATTTGTCTGTGCACACTGGAGACTTTTGCTAATGTATTCCAATGTGGTTTTTTTTTACTGCAAATGGCAAATAAACTGAATCTGAATCTGATCTTTCTTCTAACACTCGCTTTCATCGTTGCAGGAATTATAGATTTCACGGAGGGAAAAGAAAGTCCTCCGAGTTCGTTGTTCTTCTGTTTGGGAGAGAAGTGGCCGGACCCCGACAACAAGCCCTGGAGCAAGAAGCTCATCACTGTGGAGGTGAATCTATGTTTACTCATCCTGTCAGAGGCAAAGCAGGGCAGGGCCTGGTTAGTACTGTGATGGGAGACCTATGAGAACACCAGTTGCCACAGTGGAGATGCTGTGAAGTGCCATTACTAAAGTCGTTGTGTCCTTAAGCAAGACACTTTACGCTCATGCCCGGAAGAGGTTTAGTGTGAGTCTGAAGCCTTTCTTCAATCAATCTGCCCCAGGGTAGCTGTGGCGACACAGCAGTTAACCACTACAGACTTTAGTGAGTGAAAAGTAACTTGTGTGTCTCAGGTGGTGCTGACTTCGATGGAGAATCTGAAGAACATAGCGGTGGGGCTGGGCGCCTCCTCTCTGCAGTCAGTGGAACTGCAGCTGTCTCTGGAGCAGATGATGGACATGTACTGATGACGTTCTGAACGGAACACACTGCGACGCACACTCAGCAGATACTTTGAGGATTCAAACTACTGTAATGATTTTATTTGTTTACATTCCATATCAGCACGACTGATAACTGCACACAACACAAACTGTAGAACACAATATAAATGACTAAACTGTGCAGCACTATTTACATTAAACTTGAATCATTGAAACAAAAGAGCTGTACATCACAGATCCCGTATCAGCAGTGACTTCACCAACAACTGTACGAGGAGTGAATACATTTGAAATCAGGGTTTTGACTGAAGAGCTTTTATACTAACGGCTTATTAACCGAGCGCGAGGTCTGTATGGAGAAATATATAGGTCAAGGTTTGATATTTCTCTTTACAGACCGAGCAAGCGAGGTTAATACATTTTTTATTATATGACTCTCGTCTGTGTCTTTACCAATGCTTTTGAGATATTTGTGAAGTATGTTCATGTCCGACTTGGTTTTGTGTAATACGGGCTGTGGACCGATTGTCATGGTAACGGTCTGTGGAAAGATATCAAATGTGATACGCGCTGTTCGGACCAATTGTCATGGTAATGGTCCGAGATGGGGAAATATCAGACCGCAAATCAACCATTCCAGAGCGCGCGTACGGTCCAAGTCATATAATAAATATATTTGTTATATTAACTCTTAAAGCGACTTTCAAAATCTTGTTTTGTCTTGTAATAAAGGTCACCTTTAACTTCCTCTCAGCTTCACAAACAAAAGGTGACGAGCAGAATGTTATTTCTAGAGCAGCTTTCACAGACAGGAAGTCCCAAAGCTCCGGAGACGAGGACAGTGGCAGCACTTTGTTCAGTTTAACAAAGTCAGGCTGAAGTGAGCCCAGAAATACTGTTTACAAGAAATACATTAAATCTACTTTTCCTCCTCAAAATCAGAGTCCGAGTGTCGTTCTTCTATGATAGAGTTGCGCCCGAGTCCTGTCATTGGAACGAGGCGTCCTTCTGAGTCCACGCCCATCGGCTGAATGATGTCATCTCTGTAAATACAGTCATAATAGTTTCACAGTGTTGAAATCTTTGCTTTCAGATCCTTTCTGCTGTTGTTTAGTAATGAGGCACCATCTGCAGGTGAAAGTCAGAACCCATCGGACCTCTGAAGCTAAGCAGGGTAGGAAATGGTCAGTACTGTGATGGGAGACCTTTGAGAACACCAGGAGCCACAGTGGGGCGGCTGCAGCTGTAAAGTTGCCCAACTGTCGCTGTGTTCTTAGGCAAGACACTTAACCCACATTAGAATGAGTCTGGTGTGTGACTGGGTGGTGGTGGGAGGGGCTGATGGCACAAACTGGTGGCCTCACTTCTGTCAGTGTGCCCCAGGACAGCTGTGGCTTCAGTAGTTTATCTCCCCAGCGTATGCTGGGGAAAGAATTATGATACAATGACAGTGTCCAAAAAGCGCTACATAAAACCGATGCCGTTATTTGTATTAAAACAGACAAATACATTCTGTCCAAATATATTTTGAGAGTTTTACTTAGAATACATTTCAGGAAATGTGTATATAAACGTCTGGTTTACTGTATGAATGTGTGACTGCCCTCTTCTGGCTGGATATAACACTGCACTTCAACATACTCGTTTGAATAATGTTTTTATCATAATTATGTAATCAGTTTGTAGTGAATCAAAGCTCTCACGACAGGACTGACCTGGAGAGTTTGCTGAAGAGCTTGATGAGCCTCTTGGCCTCCTCCTCCTTCTCCTGCTCAGACATGCCCTCCATGGGGTCAGGCATTTGCGCCTCCACTCGCCCCGTCACTGGGTTGATGCGGTCCTTCTGCTGTCTGTACTCCTCTGTGTCCGAGTTCGAGTCACTGGAGTAATGTGCAGTGACGCTCTGAGCGCTCTGGCCCCCCAGCAGACCCCTGGTGGCCAACAGCCCCGCTGCATTGCCGTAGCCTGTGTACTTCACAAAGCGGCGCACTACAGGGGGAGAGTATAAGAGCGAGTAAGTAAGTAATCTTTATTTGACCTTCATGGCCTCTGACTCCGGTTCCACTTCCATCCTCATTCTTCTCGACCTCACTGCTGCGTTCAACACCATTGACCATAACATCCTTTTACATCATCTCCAGCACCACATTGGCCTCTCCCACACTACCCTCCACTGGTTTCACTCCTACCTCACTGACCGAACCGAGCATGTGGTTCTGGGGGACGCTAAATCTCGCCCCCACTCTGTCACCTGTGGGGTCCCCCAGGGCTCCGTGCTCGGTCCCACCTTCTTCACCATGTACATGCTTCCCCTCGGGTGTGTCGTCAGCAGGCATGGAATTCACTTCCATTGCTATGCTGACGACACACAACTTTATCTCAAAGTCACTCCATCCGCCCCTCCCTCTGCATCTCTCTCCTGTCTTACCTCCTGCCTGGAGGAGATAGGGGCATGCATGAGGCAAAACTTCCTGCAGCTGAATGGCTCAAAAACAGAAGCCATTCAAACTGGTACTCCCCATCAACTTCACTGTTCTCCCATCACTTCAATCTCTCTCTTTGGCCACGGCATTCCCCTCTCGCCCTCTGTAACCAATCTCTGGGTCAAGTTTGACCCCCACCTTTCCTTCGAAAATCACATACATCACATCTGCAAAACTTCCTTCTTCCACCTCCGTAATATTTCAAAACTCCGCTCTTCTCTCTCTCTCTCCCGGCTGCAGAGAAGCTCGTCCATGCCTTTGTCTCCTCCAGGTTGGATTACTGCAACGCACTCCTCATCGGGATCCCTGGCAGGAGCATTCAAAAGCTCCAGTACGTACAAAACAGCGCGGCCAGGGTCCTGATGAGGGTGCGGAAGCATTAGCACATCACCCCCATCCTTCACACCCTCCACTCCCCCGTTCACCTCCGTATAGAATACAAGATCCTCCTGCACACCCACCACTGTCTCCACGGTGATGCCCCCACCTACCTCACTGACCTCCTCACTCCACACTCCTCAGGCAGAACCCGGTCAGGCCAACAGCACCGTCTGCTCCCGCCCAGGACACGCCTCAAGAAAATGGGGGACCGGGCCTTCGAGGTCGCTGCTCCCCGTCTGTGGAACGCCCTCCCGGACCACCTCAGGGCCCCACAGACGGTGGAAGCTTTTAAAAAGGGACTCAAAACCCATCTTTTTACTAAAGCGTACTGCTAATTTTTTTATAGTCTTTGGTCTGATTTTATGTGTTTGCTTTTATTTATGCTGCTGTTTGTAGCACTAGATTTGGTGTCAAATGTAAAGTGCATTATAAATAAAATGTATTATTATTATTATTATTATTTATTTATTTATTTATATAGCACACTTCACAGACCAAGGTCACCCAAAGCACAATGTTTTGGAGTTCAGATATTCTCTCCACCACACGGCCCTAATCAACACTATCCATTCACTCACTCATTTACATTCAGACCTATTGCACATGCTTTTAGTGGTAGGGAAAACCGGAGCACCCGGAGGAAACCTGCGCAGATATGGGGAGAACATGCAAACTCCACACAGAAAGGCCTGGAGGTGGAATCAAACCCAGGACCCGTGAAACACAAGCTTTAACCGCTGCGCCACCGTGCAGTGGAATGGTCAGACAGAATCCCGTTGGCTTTAAAGCGGTGGCTTTACCGTTTTCTTTGCAGAGGACGAAGATGAAGTCAGCGGCGCAGTGTTTCAGGTCAGTGTCCAGATGCGTCATGAGGCGAACGATCTGGCTCTTCACCGTGGAGCCCTCCTCTGGTCTCTGGGACACATCTCTGAGCGGCGGCAGGATCTGGAAATAAATAGCATTTTCTTTTTCCAAACGAGTCCCAAGACATAATGGTCTCTTGAGTATCTGCGGAGTACCTGGTTCCTGAGGTACTTCCTGGTTTCCCTGTGAGCTCGGCAGCTCTCCGTCAGCAAGTTGAGAATCGGGGTCAGCTTCTCTTTGGCCTTATCGCCCTGAGACAGACAGACTGCATGACAGACGAACAGACTGTACAGAGTGTCAGTAGTTCAGGACTCTGACCTGCTCCAGACGCTGCTCCATGAAGCACAGCAGCTTCTGCACACAGTCCATGTTGACTCCATTGAACTGTTCTGAGCCCGGGGCCAGAGGAGCCGTGAGGAGCAAGTCCAGACACTGGAGGGGCAGCGCGGACAGCAGGTTCACTGTGTGACTAAGATGTCAACATTATTATTTATGATCATCATTAAACCAGCAGTTACATAACCCTATAACGGCAGACTCACCCCTGCAGGTCATCAGTGTCCTCAGCTAGAACACACTTCCTCAACAGGCAGAGTCGAAGAATAGCCACAAGGTGTCGGTATTGAGCTGCCTCTTCCTAAAGACCAAATACATAGACACCTGCACAGGCCTTTCCAAACTTTCAGACACGTTTATTCCCAAACCCACACTGACCTCTCTGGGCTCCCTGCGGTGCGAGCTGAAGGTAATATTGAAAAGAATTTTCAGAATCTCCATAACGCGCTGTGATGCGTCCAGAGAAATGGGAGGAGCTGCCAAGTCCAGCACACACTGGTATTGGTCCGTCCACTCAACCTCCAGGCAGCTCTCCAGGGCAGCGGTGAGGAGGGACACACCACCCTCCTGCAGAAGGACAAACATCACATCTGTGTCACTTAAGTCTGTACTGACGTGTCAGAGCTTCTTGTGTTCAACCATTTTTACTCTACATGATGGTTTCAAATAGTTCACATCAGAAAACTCAAGGTTTCTCCTATTACAGCGTAATTGTGTGTGTCCAAAACCTTTTTAAAATCAGGTTGAACAAATCCAGAGTGAACTGACTGCTTCCACTCATGTGGGACATTCAAAGTATCCCATTTCAGGAAACAGCCTTAGAAAACGACTTTTCGCACAAAGAGCAGTGTAATGGTGGCAGACGAAAAAGGTCTAGTTCATGTGAATCTATAAATCATTTCAAAGGCAAATGAAGCTCAATGGACAGACAACCAAGAAACACAGTGAAATCTGGGTTAGGTTGTGAGTGTGTTACAGTGTGTAACTATGGTAACTATGGTGACTGGCTCTGTGAGAAACTAAAATTTGTTGATTTTGGGATAAATAAATTACTTAAAGGCTTCAACCTGTTGGAGCAGTTTGCTGAGCTCTGGCCGTAATGCAGTCATCAGGAACATGAGGCGCAGTTCATAGAACTGAACACTGGAGGGCGGCGAGGAGCTGACCCCAGCAGACAGCAGTTGCATTAATCCGTTAATCAGTCTGAAGAGAGAGGGATTCTGTAAGTGCTGTGTTCATTTAACACTTCTGCATAGCCACACACTTACGTTTACTACATGGCAAATATAAAGTAACAAAGTAACATTTCTATCATTCAAACTACAGTCAAAGACTTTATAAAAGATTACCCGAGAGCACTGAACCTCTCCTGGGCCCAACTACTGTTGTAAACGACGTTACATAAGACCTTCATGGCCTCCTTCCTCTGCGCTTCCTCTGTCGGATCCCCCTCAGGCTCATCGTCCCCTTCTCCCTCCAGCTTGCTCTTGCGGCGGTCCCTCCTGCCTCGCTCCAGCACTTTCTGGTGGACGCTGCCTCTCTGCGCCTCGTTGATGCTGGGCCAGGCTCCGCTGACCCAGCTCATGTTCTCTGCGTCTGTGCTGCTGACGTCCTCCACGCTCTCCTCGGCCTGCTCGTACGTCTCCATGTGGGCCTCCTCCTCTTGGGCTTTGGCTTTAGCAAGAGACACTATGATGTTGTCATAGAAGTCTACATCTGGCTGTGAGAGCTCCTCTTGTGTCTCTTCTGAGGTCAGACCCCCGAGTTTGGCCAGAGTCAGCAGAGCATTGTCGGTGACCAGCGGAGCCAATACCCTCTTGTCCCGGGACAGAATCCTCAGGCTTCGGAGAGTCACCTTCAGCAGACTGCAATCAACCTCAGTTCTGATGAACCCAATCAACACCAGGGCCAGATTCTTGGAATTGAAAAAAATATATGCATATTAACAGTTTCACAAATAAAACCTCTCATTTGATAGTTTTTAGATTCTTTGTAATCGTCACAGGCCTTGATCTTTGAACATACTTGTCTGAGGAAAAGATCACAATCCTCTTCTGCATATTCCTCTCCATCCGAGTCTGAATCTGTATAATCCCTCACTTTATTAATCTTAAACTGTCAAAGCAAAACACACAATCATCTTTATGCACGACACCAGGACATTGTAAACAAGTGCCTCAGACGTTACCTCTTCAAGTCTCTTTTGCTGCAAAGAATCAACAAGAAAGAAAAACAATGTCAAATACAAATGGCGATTCTAATGTAATGAACGTGTGTCTTAATCTGCCTAAGGAGGGGATAAAGGACGACTGATGCAGCAGACGCACTAATCATATCTGAACGAGGGGAAAAAAACACTCACTTTCCTGCGATTTCTCTCCTCCTTGTCGAAGAAGAAGCATTGTGCATACTGTGAATGCAACGCAACGTTAGCATGGAGTAGACATGTGTGTGTGTGTGTGTGACTTTACCTCCTTGTTAAACTCTTGTAGATGGATCTGAATTCTGTCGGTGTCTCTGCTCTTGATGCCCTGGATAATCCCCTCCAGGTCGATGTCCATCCTTGTCTTGGATCAGTTAAACAAGGCCAGCTAAATTAAATATAAAATAATAAAAAATGCATTACACATGAATGAGTCAACTGCAAGTAAGACGAATAAATGTGACATATGTTAAAGCCCGTTTTGAATATTACCGTAATGTAATCTAACTCGACTTTCCTTTGTTTTTTCCGATGAGAGCAGTCCCCAAACGTCTCGTCTCGTCTGGCGCTGTAGCTAAACTGACAGCCGTCATGCCCGTGTCACTCTCGATAATGTGAGTGCTCCTAATCCACACGCAGGAGCAGCGCACTGGTTATGACTATAATCCACTAATGGACTCTGGCTTATACAGACTCTGACCCTCTGACCTTTCACAACTTTTTACACACTTTCTCCACTTTTCAGTTGTTCAGAATTTCTCCAGAGCTACAGTGTTAAAGTCTAGAGTCCGCTCTTGGGTTGGAGCGGGTCCAATGTGGATTTAAATCTAGTTTCTCAAGTGGGTTCAGTCTAGATTCAGATTCTTCTCTAAGTGGAGGTCGCAGGAGACGAGCTGCGCATCAAGTGATTTACAGAAAATAATCTATATTTTCTACATTTTGTTACAATAAGTGATATTAGATCAAAGTACCTCTGCGCAGGAGGTAAAGTGTTTGTCAATAAAAACTCAAACGGTTTTAGGAGGATTTGAATGAAACTGCATTTACACAGCAGTCCAGTGAACCAATGTTTCAGTGTTTTGAGATGGTCAGAACCATCGTCTGGATTCAGGATTTATTATAACGCAATAGAAGTGCACCTCGAGGCGGAGGTCCACGAGTGCTTTTATAGTAACGTTTGTTTTGACCCTTCAATTATCATTATTATGAATTAATAGTTTTCATCTGTGAGTCGTGACTTTCTTGCCTCTTTCAGGGTCTGGGCCTGAAAAGTTTAGGAAACCCTGTTCTATAGTTTTACAAAGAATCTTAGGATCTCCCACAGAATGGCCTCATTTGCAAACGTCAGACTATAGAGAATTTTACAAGAAAACAAAATGCACTTTGTCATTGCACTCAGCCTAATCTCAATAAGACATCGCTAATTGTTTGATCTATTCTGTTGAAAATGTTGACTGTTGATTATTCCATAAACCAGGATGTGAATACGTAGTTTGTGTTTTATAATATAAAAACTACATGGATATATTTAGTTCATATATCGGTTCAAGGTTACAGCACAAAAGATACAGTTGTTTCCTGCCCATTTTCTGTGCTATTTTTATTGTGATATGAAAAGTTTGTATCGAGTTTGGGGGCTGCTCGAACTTCAGCCCACTCCTTTTGAGCAGAATAAATACTGTTCAACTAAAACAAACAAAGTGCTACCTGCCATGGAAGCAGATGTATCACTACTGTAGTATTTGTTCCTGCTCGTTTCCCCTGTAACCTACTTTCATCACAAACAATTGACTCAAACCTTTTGCATCTTAAAATGATCCACGACCAGGAGCGTGTGAGAGATGGTCGTTTGGGAGAGTGACAGCTCTTCCTGGCAGGATACCCCGCTCCTGTGCCCTGGCGGTGGGTAAGAGGAAGCAGTGTCCGGCCGGCCGAGGTGAGCAGCTGTGGTCCTGCTCCTACAACAACAGGAAACTCACACGACGTCAACGATAGCGAAGGAGAGAAGTCAGGAGAGGCCGGGCTCCCAGGGAAACCCACCTCAGAGGACGCAGAAGAGACGTGTATCAAGAGGTCTGATTTAAATCACCCCCAGTCTCAAACACACAGTCCTGACGTGGGCAATGTGGGCCAGTCTCTCATTAGGCAAGGTTTTTTTTGTTTAGCACAATTCATACAAGGCAAACTGTGTCACAGATAGTCAGACACCACAGGCAGCAGGTTTTGTTCTACTTCAGTTGATTTATCATTGATGCCATGATGAAAACCAGAGAGTGGTTGAAACGAATTGCTATGTTGGACCTTTCCTCTCCGCTTTAGACTTCATTTTTCCCACAGATCTTCGAAGGGCACCTGACTTCTCATATTTACTCTGCATTATAGTTTTCTTATCTCTGTATTCACTCACTCTTGTGTTTTTATTTGATAGGGACGTACACGATCAACATGTGAAACACTACCTACTACGACTAACAAGGCTCATTTGCAGAGTCCGCCCCTTATTACAGGGCAGGTGCCATTATGACTGTCGAAAGAAGCAATTTTGGAAGTATAAAAAATAAAATAGCCCCCAAGATGTAGCCCTGCTGCCCTCTTCATTATTATTTTTAATTATATAAATCATCTATTTTTTGTTGCTTCTCTGTTTTTTTATTTTATTTTAAGTATCTGTTTATGCCTATTTTCTCCTGTTCACTTTTTATTCTAAATAACTTATTTTTATTAATTAATGCAAAAGAAAACTAATAAAATATAGATTACACAAAAAGAAAGTTGAAGAGACTATTCTAATGTTTGGAACAGCTTTCAACTGTTTTGTGAAGACAACACTTCTGACACATTTATGAGAAAATAAAACACCTATAGTTGATGTAGTCGATGACAAAGTAGATGGCAAATGTTTGTTGTTCAGAAATGACTAAACTAAGAATAGAGCTATGGACAGTTTTAATAACAGCAGTCAAAGAATCCAACACAGGAAATGCAATAATAACCAACACATAGAAGCCATTGTCCTCAGGGGACGGATGACCCATAAAAGTGAATATCCTGGGTCTGGATCTAATGAGTTCAGATTCCAGAGGCTTTTGGACTCTCTCTGGAGTCACACAGAACATTCAGCCGTGGTCCCGTCTCTGCGGCAGGTGCATCATTCTTCACTGCACTTGACTTTCACAGAGGGAGTGGTTCATGAGACTTGATTTCACCCCAGATCTAAATCTAGAGTGAAATCATAGAGCTCTCAAAGGCACCGACTGTGACTCAGGCTTTCTGTGCAACTGGGACCAGATGTTAGGAGCGACCTGATCCACACAGACTGAAGTAGAAGCAGTTCTTGGAGAAGCAGATGATGTTTTCACCGAGATAAAGGCTTCAATCATTAGTGTTTTATTTACAATCCGTTTCAGAGTGTTCATGTTTTTGTAGTTAAAAATAATTAGTTACTCTTAAAAGCTCAGTTTGATTAACGCATTACTTTGATAATACATGTAGATTACGTTTACTTCTAAAATACTCGTATTTAATAGTTGTTTATGATGCTGTGGGGTTTTCCTCTAAACACAAGCATGTAATTATGACAAAAGTAATCCCAAAGAAATGTAATGTTCATTTCTTGAGACTGTAACTAAGTGTATTTTAAGTAATCAGTATCAAATTACTTTTTCTAAGTAAAAAACCAATGTCATCAGTGACAACACTTAAACAACATAAATCCTATAATTACACTGTGGAAGATCTTTATGGAGATTCTTTTGTTGTTCTCCGTGACAATAATATGAATAAAATTAAATTGTTGAGTAACTAGATACTGATTACTTAAAGACCAAATCAAATGTCATCAGAATTGTGAATGAATCACTTCGAGTTGATAAAACTTATCTGTGTGTGTTCAGTCCAGACCAATAAAGATAACAGAGGAAAGAGATTATAATGGGATGATGTCACTTAAAGCCAGGGAACCTTATTTTAAAAACAATAACAAATTGAATTCTGTAATGAAGTCCAAAATAACCGTTGCTCAGACAATCAGCTTTGTGCCACAACACGGCATTTCACTTTTACAAGACTCTGGAGACAGAATCCTTTAATCATTAAAAAGGCAGGTACCCCAGCTTTAATGTATCCATTGTTGTTTTACTGGCCTCCTGCTGGGACTCGGAGGAGGAGCACAGGGACTGGCCTCCTGCTGGGACTCGGAGGAGGAGCACAGGGACCAGTCTTCCTGAAAATGTGAGACAGGCTTCTACTGTGCTAATGTTCAAATCCAGGTTAAGAAGTTTTGTTTGTCTGAATACGGCCGAGGGATTTTATCTTCACTCTGTTTAATGCACTGTGATTCTTTATGATTTTATCGTGTGATGTTTTTCTTCGAGCACATCTTGTTTCCTTGTGTATGAACTGCGCCATAAAAATAAATCGCGCCTTTACCTACGAGTGGACGTTGTTTACCTCTAGCATCTATCAAGGGCCTTCAAGGAAAAAGCGGAGCAAGGGGTGACGTGACTCGGGGGAAAAGTTACAGGAAAAACGGCCCGGCGAAGAACGGGCAGAGGTGGTTATTTCGGGCCAAGCGCACTTCCTGCAGGTGATGGAAATGAAAGCACTCTATTCTAGAACAATTGCAAGTGCGGCGGGTGAGGAGAGGGATGCGAGAGGAAGCAGAGGGGGTCGGGGGGGAGGCGAGGGGGGGGACTGGTCAACGTAAACATCATGGGAAACGCCGCACAGGGCCGTTCCATGCTCCTCACATTGTTTTCGGTTTGCCGCCTCGGGGTTGTTTACGATACGGCCGCGGTCCTTGTAAATAAAGAATGAAGCTGCCATCGTAACTCACCGCGAGCGTGGGAGTGGATCTGCATGTGACCACGCCAACGCCACGGCCACGCCCCCTTCTCTGCCCGCCGCCCCGTATAAAAGAGGAGCTGAGGTGGAGGGACCAGAAAGAACAGCATCACAGCATCCAGAACTTTACAGAGATCAACAGTCGCAGAGGTTTGATGGTTTCCAGGAGACTCGACGGGGCTTTGCGTTTGGAAGTTGGTGAGTCTGAATCAAAAATTGGGTTAATTTTGTCTTGCGTTAAAATGTTTTTGGTGGTTCTTTTGAAAGTCGAGGTAGTTTTATTACCTGGTTACACTGAAACATGTTAACAAAGTAGTATCCAACTTGTCTTTTTAGAAAATCTGCTTTTGGTTCTTTGGACGTGGAATTACTTATGTTTACTTAATGATTATATGTGTGTGGTTTGCTGCACTCAATCTGATTCAAGGAGATGGAAAAACAAGCACATAAGTGTCCGAAACCCAAGAAATTGTGTAAACTTTTAAATTATTCTTTAAAAATTCAACTTTGCCAATAATTTAGAATTTTTTTTTCAAAGATGGACTAAAAATGATGATCTAGATTAAGAAGAACAAATCCTATATTCATCCCGCTTTGGGAGAAATGTCAGCGTTTTATCACTGGTAACACAACAGTGGGAATGACGAGCACAAAGCAAACTAGTGAATATTAACTAAAGAACAACTACCATAAAACAACATCACAATCTTTTCCTTAATAAAAAAACTTTCTAGACAGTTTCCCGCCTTTCCATTTTTTACCCCTAAATATTTCCTACATATTTATTGATCATTCTGCTGTTGATTTTAGTTAGTAGACCTATATCTCTTAGATCTCAGGAGGATATAGTGCTCAAATTTATCCGTTTTAATAAAGGGTTCTCTGACAAAGTCGGATTCCAGGTTAAAAACTGTTTTGTTTATACAACTGAGGGATTTTATCTTCACTCTTTTTTAAAACTCTTTCATGATTTTAACGCCTTGTGTGATTGTTTTCTTCAGCACTTTGAGTTGCCTTGTGTATGAACTGTGCTATACAATTACACTTGCCTTGACACACATTGTGCATCTTCCCGTCTGCTAGATGTTTACTGTGTGCTAACTAAGTGTGTATTAAACCTCTTGTTGCAGGGCTGTGTAGTATGGAGATAGCCATCCTGCTGCTGCTGACCGTGTCTCTCTCAGCTGCTGCCCCGCTCTCACTCACTCAGAGGTGAATCATTCTCAAGAGAAGAACCGATCGCACCGTCCACATTCACACCGTGCTCACCGTGTCTTTTGTCTGCGCAGGTTTTCTTCTGCGGCCTCCGGCGACGCGCTGCAGGAGGCGGAGGGCGCACGGTCCGAACAGACGCTCCATGCTCCTGCTTTGAGGATCGTACCATTTCTACAAGAGGAGAAGCTTCCGATCAGAGAGGCACTGAAACACAGGTACAGACCAAAGAAAATATTAGACAGGCTTGACATACCCCTACTTGTGTACATTCATCTGCTAATTAACAGGATATAGTTCATCAACACCGCAAAGAATTATAAAATATGGAGGTAATAATTGCTTGAATCTAGGAGGGTTTTTTTTTATCTTAATTTGGGAGTCATTTTGCTTTGTCCCATCAGCAAATCTTGTTTTAGGGCAGTCAGAATGTGCTCAAATTAGGATACATTATGAGCAATATTGAGCGATTACTTTTTGCAGTGTGTGGTTATAAAAAAAAAAAAATCCAAGACAACTTAAAGTTCATATAATTTCTTTGTGCTGAGGTACCAAAAAATACATGTGATAAAAATCTGGCTCCATCACTAGAAAAACACTCAATAAACCTCCAATCAGCAGCTGCCACGGTGCCAGCAGCTTCAACCTTGATATAACCATAACGTGCAGTGGAACGGCACCGGCTTCTGCATTTGTTAGAATGATGAGTTAGAACTTTAACCAGAGTTGTTTCAAAGTGTTATGAAATCACTACACAACTTTAGTCTTTTTTCAAGCAGATTTCTAAAATGTGTTACTTGTTCCAATCTTCTTTACCACAAAATGTTCAGTCATTAACGTGTCATACCAGATTAACAATTCAGCATAAGTTACTAGTGCAAAAAAGTAGACATTTTTTATTTACTACTTTGAAGAAGGTTGGAGAGCCGTGTGTTAAACAGTGAGCCAAGGTTTTCAAAAGATGAGATGAAGACAGGATGGAGTCGTCTGATTTGTTCACCAAAAACATTGTTTGGACAAAAAATGTGAGATATTTATGAGAGACGTTATGTGCCCAAGCTCCAATGTCTTATTCAGGGGTGGAGGGGCTGCAGATCAAATGTAACGAATTTGCTTTTCACCAAACTTCACTGTATTTTTGTGGACAAGTATGATTGATCTGTTGACGTTTCTTCAGCATGGCGGCGAGGTTGCGTCCGCGCCGGGCCCCTCAGCGTGGATGCCAGCTGGGGACGTGCCAGCTCCACAATCTGGCCAACACACTCTACCACATCAGCAAGAAGAACGGCCAAGACGAGTCAAAGAAAGCCAACGATCCCCACGGATACGGCAGATAGCGTTTATGGACATTTATTACACCTCATTAATACAAGGACTGAGGCTGGGTCTCTGGTATCTAAACTATATACAATCTGTCTGTGATCGGACTGTCTGGTACTGTAAACTGAATGTATGCTCAAGTAAGGCTGATGTGGACACAGTGTGACGCTATTATTCATAAATATAATAAATTATTCATATAAATTATATGTTGAAATGTGTTTTGCTTCAGATGTTTGCACAAATGCCGAAAGTAGCAGAAGTCTCAGGTTCTTAAGCGCCATCCTCGGGTCAAACTGACCATCCAGTGATTAAAAAGGATCCTAAATAAAAATGTTCAGCTGAATTTTGATGATTTTTCTTGCCTTTGTCTTAACCTGCACTGGGTCGTATAGGAGAAAAATACCTCTAAAAGAGTCTACTTTTAATAATCTGTGGGAGGTCCGTTTGACCCGAGGGTAACACAAGGGCCAAGTAGACAGGTATGACCTCTGGTAAAAGTATTGTAATAATTTCCTTAAGTATAAAAGTACAATTTTATTCATGTACAAGATGAATTGTGGATCCCAAAGGCCTCCCATCACAGAACTAATCAGACCCTGCCCTGCTTAGCCTCAGCGGTCTGATGGACTTGGCTTTCACATTACATTTTATAATGCAAAGAGTACAGAGTACAGGTTTATAACGAAAAGTTGACAAACTAAATGTGGACAGAAGCCTACAAGAAGCACATTGTGGACAATCAGTAACTTTGAAGTTCATGATATATATTTTTAGTCTAATGAAAATGGAACTAGGGAATATTTGATATGATTTTGTGCACTGCTTTGTGTGACGGGAAGAATAGAGTCTGTTGGGAGCTACTGCTGCCCTAGAACTTTGTTGATAATGAATTAATGGATATGATCCAGATATGAATAACAAAAAAATAAATAAAACTAGTTTGTCGTGTGTTTATGTTTAAGCCCAATGAAAATGTGAATTCTCTATAGAAAGTCAAAAATATGAATTCTTTGAGGGTTTTTTGCTAGAAACTCCAACACTAAAAGACTAAAAAGTACATCGGCTGAGTAATTTACATTGTACCAAATCTAAATGTACCAGAACTAAAAACCTGCTCTGTGAGTTCTGGTGTAAAATGACGGAAATGTTAGTGGAGACTTTGGGAACGCCTGATCTAAACTATATGCAGCATATATTATTAGTGCATTCAATTTTCCAAATGGTGAGAATCCTCACTAATCCAGAGGGATATTCTGGGATCCATAGATAGCTCTGACGCATTCTTCTGATCATTTCAAAACACTGTCTCTGGACCAGACAAACCTGATCAGTGTGAAAGCCTTCTCCACCTACAACCGCAGCTTGTTGTGGTTAAAAGCCACTCCTATCGATGACTCACACTCTATGTTTGTGTTACTGCTGCCAACCACTCCCTCACCTGTGGGTAGCGTGCTCGCCCTGGTGTGTGCGTGTGCGTGTCTGTGGTCCAGTCCCGGTCTGGTCTGGTCTGCAGGGGAAGCCTCCGTGCTCTCACACCAAACCTGAGGGAAGACACTTTTTTCCTGCTTTTGGTTTCTTCTGCTCCCGGTAAAAAACGGCGGCCATGAGGGACGCGGCAGAAGCGGGAGGCGGCAGAGACCAAAGCAAATCCGAGAAGGACCAGGTGGGTCTGATGAAGTCTGATTAGGTCTGATTAGAGCGCCGCGTCACGTGACCACCGTCCGGTTCTGGCTGCTAGCTTTCGTTACATTGTGTCCGCTGTCTATTTGCTCACTACTAAACAAAGTATTTTTTTTTCTCCTTCGACTGCGCTCTGCAAAATGGTGGATGAGTTTCTCCTAAGTTCTGAGAGGAGATGATAAAACAAAAAAATTGCGGAAGTTGCCTCCTTTTGAGGAAAAAAAATGCAACCAGCTGCAACTACAGAACAGATCCATGAGCAGAGGTGGCATAAATCATTCTAAAAAACCACACACTTAAGTTTTTAAGCAAGAGTTGATGGACTGAGACTATTCCCATAACGTCAGTAAACGTCTAAAACTACACTATTCTGTATATACTTATGAGTAAATGAGTAAAATGTATGAATGAATCTAATAACAAGCACTGCCATCAACTTAAAGCCTGTGTTTTTGTTGTTTTATGTTGTATGGAAAGTCACTAGTGATGTAAAATGTTATGTTAGGAGAAGGACGTACTGATATTTGGGTGTAACTTAACGAAGTTGTCAGAAAAAGAGGAGGAGAATACTGATACCAGGAAATAAGCTCTTACTTGACATCTCAACACAACACGAGGTATATTGTATGTGTGTTCTTGCTCTAGCCCAGAGATACATTTATGAATCAACAACAACAAAAATGAGTGGAATTTTGATGATACAGACTGCAACAAGTGGAGGAATATGGACTATCTGTATGACAGTCCCTCTGCAGAAGGCTGGGAGCTCCTCTGGCATGTTGCACTGCAGCACGGTCCTGAGCAGGGGAGGCAAAGATAACAAGTGGCAAAATGAAAGTGGATACCTTTCTGTAAAACCCAACTTTGGTAAAAGCAGAAAGCATGCTTACAATTATTCAGCAAAACAAATCTAACAATTTTATTCTATTTGCTCCATTTTTTTCAAGGTAAGGCAACAAAATACCACATAAATCCAGCAAGTACAACAATAATACAGTTCGTGAAAGAGTAGGATGGATACTTCCTGCTGTCGTCGTAATATTAAACTACTTTCCATCTTGTAAGAAAGAGCCATGTCACGTGTTGATGCTCTTGGATGAAAGCCAATTGTCAGAGTGAGGGTGGTCCGCTATTTTTCTGCCTGGAAATGTTGATCTTGACACATGATAAAGACCAAAATAGCATGTTTTCAAAGCAGCAAAAACTCATCGAAATTGATTTGTATTTACACCTGTTGCTGTCAGTCAAGTTTCTTTCAGGGTTTGAAAAATAGGTGCCCCAGCTTTAATGCTTTAGTAGTTTCCTCAACCATTTGGTGGATCACTTTTTTGAGTCTCTATATCTGCTTGAAGCTTGGATCTGAAATCTACCTCATTGGAACATCTCTATCGATTGGTTTTAGGCACTTTTACATCAAACTGCATCTCAACCATTTGGTAAAGGCTTATAATGAGAAAAAACTAGTTTCAAAAAGAAGAAAAACACATAAAGTCCAATTATTTGTGTTATTAGTGCTCCTACATGTGCTCCTATATTGAACTTAGAAGCATGGCTATCCACTTTAAACCTCCTATTAAAACATGTGGACACTGTATACACGCTTTGTATACAGCAGCTTTGAGATTCTGTTACTTACCAACTCAAAACAAAATTAAACTAGATTTTTCTGTCTGTTTTGAAAGAAGAAACAGAAGTGTATTTATCAAAATCAGACTATAGTGGGTACTGATCTATGGTACTGATATGCACGAGTGATGGTTGATAGTATCTGTTTTGTACAATTGTTGTTCATTGGTGTTTGGCCGAAGTGTACCGTTGTCGTAGAGTATTTCTGCAGAGCTGGAGCTAAAACTTCAGGCCTCTGTAAGAAGTCACAAGCATGTGTTTAGGGAGCACATATCTCACCATCATATCAACAGGTCACAGCCATGTTTCTAGTTCAAACTGCTTTAGACACACTTCAGAAACACAAAAACCGTGTTGGCTGAACTGTTCTGTTTGTGTTTGCAGAGCTGGATCCCCAAAATCTTCAAAAAGAGAGTTTGCTCCACATTTGTTGAGGATTCCTTCAGGTAATGGTTTCAAGCTTCTACATTTTCAGTGCATTTCAAGAACCTGGGGAAAGTGTCGTTTAAGATTCATTTATTTGTCTCACAGTGAGGAAGTTTCAGTGTTGCATCACCGGTTACAGAACAGGAAGAATGAGGAGCATACAGCACGAGAAAAATGACCAATAATAAAATCTCTGACATAAAAGTATAGACTCTAATAAAGAAGAAAATTGAATGTCTAACTTCAGCATAATGAAGAAGCAAGAATTAAAGGAGCAGTATGTAAAAATCTGGCCAAAAGTGGTACTGCAGCCTCTCCCACTCTCCCTGACTCAGGTTGCCAGATATGCAGACACATCCAGCTGGGAGCATAATAACTGAATAGACAAGAGTTTTATCAAGAACAAATCTATAACCAACAGCTATAGGCCCCGATAGAAATCCTTGTTTTATGTCTTTTTTTGTCATTAATGATTTGAGAATCATAACGAGACCTTTTTAGTTCTGCGCCACATGGTACTTTACCAGTGAGATTAGCTTGACGCAGTGAGTTCTGGCAACCCGGATCGCAGACTTTATGATTGGTGAAACGGTGGAGGGCAGGACATCAAAATGAAAAAAAAAAGTAATAATTTTGAAATCCAAATATCTCTACTGAACTACTGTCATCAGATAAAGAAGTATTTGAAAAGAGCATGGTTTATCAATGCCTTTTAACAATAGGGCCATTTAATGATGACTTGACATGAAAATCTTATATATTGCTACTTTAATTACAAAATCTCTGACTTTAGCATAATAAAGAAGTAATTATGAAATACTGTTTATTCTAGTGCAGGAATTATAAGGTTGTATCGTTACATCTGTTCATGTTAGCAGCACGAGGCTCTGGGACACACATGGTTTCATAATACACATTCTGACATTAGTTTATTTATTTTAGAATCATTATTTTTTTATTGCACCCACATCTTGTTTTCATCCAGACTTCTACATTTTTATCTTTTGTCAAACCCTTTTTCTTGAACACCAGATCGTGAATAATGCATTTCAAAAGGTAAAGTATAATTCAATACTGTTCTTGTTGATTCTTAGTAATGGAAACTTGTGTCAGTGCGGAGGCGTGAGAGAGGACCATGCGTCTGTGGCTCTGGGAGACTTCTTCAGCACAGCCATCGTGAACCACTGGGACAGCGCCCAGCATTCGTCAGAGTCCCCCACAGACGCCTTCGGAGAGTTGCAGTTTACTGGAGCCAGTAGAAGGCAGAGCTATGTAGGTGTCAATTAAAATTCTATTCAATGTGTTTTTGTATAACCCTAAATCATACACAAATAAAAAAACTCAGAGCCATTAGGTATTTTACTACATGCTGTTGAGTAGTCCATTATTATTAAATGTATACAGCAAAAGGAGGCTTACCCAGACTTTGTTATCTAGGTTTACCTTTTATTTACCATATTAATTTACTCTTCTGTTTGGGTGCTTCCTTCTGTGGGGCAATAGTTCCTGCGGCTGTCATGGGACACTTCCCCAGAGATGGTGTACACACTGATGACGGTCAACTGGAACCTGCCGGCCCCAAACCTGGTGGTGTCTGTGGTTGGTGGAGAGGGCCGCGCCAAGGTGAAGACCTGGGTCCGAGAGGTCATCCGACAGGGGCTGGTGAAGGCGTCACAAAGCACAGGTACCGTAATGCTATAATGTAAACCGTGTAAGCACAGGTACCACACATAGAGAGTCCTAATGTGGTAGAACTGCAGCTGTGCTTCATCCACGGCGAGAGCAGAAAGCAAAGTGTAAAGGGGAAGGTGATTAGTGCTCCCTCTGAGCAGCTGGCTGTAACTCTAGCCCAGCGCTAGACAAACCTCCGGCCTGTGGGCCGCATGTGGCCCTTTGGACGTTTCTAACAGGCCCCTGAGTCCTCGGTTTATAAACATCTAGACTCTAGTATAGAATAAAATCCCTCTGCTGAATGCAGAGCTCTGGAGCCGCAGTCTCGCTCCTCGCTCTTTCTCGATGTATAACTAACCGGCTCACTACAGACCAGTCGCACTGACCTCCCTCCTGATGAAGACCATGGAGCGGCTCATCCTCACCCATCACCGCTCTGGTCAGCCCCACCCTGGACCCGCTGCAGTTCGCCTACAGACCCAACATCGGAGTAGAGGACGGCGTCATCTACTGCAGCGGACGCTCTCCCACCTGGAGCCCGCAGGGAGCACTGTGAGGGTCATGTTTTTTGACTTCTCCAGTGCTTTCAATACCATCAGGCCGGCACTGCTGCGGGGGTAAAATGGAGGACGCGGGAGTGGACAGTCCCCTCACTGCATGGACCATCGACTACCTCTCAGACCGACCACAGTACGTGCGGCTGCGCAGCTGTGAGTCTGAGGTGGTAGTCTGCAGCACTGGGGCCCCTCAGGGCACTGTCCTCTCAGTTTCTCTTCACCATCTACACTTCAGACTTCACACACGACACACACAGCTGTCACCTGCAGAAGTTCTCCGACAACTCCGCCATCGTGGGCTGTGTGTCTGAGGGAAACGAACTGGAATATCGGTCGGTTATCAAGGACTTTGTCGACTGGTGTGAGTGCAACCACTTGTGCTTGAACACCAGTAAGACCAAGGAGAGGCGATTTCAGGAGAAAACTACTTTCCCACACACCGCTTAACATCCAGGGGGAGGACATTGAGCTGGTGGACAGCTTCAAGTACCTGGGTGTTCACATTAACAATAAACTGGACTGGTCCCATAATACAAACGCCCTGCACAAGAAGGGCCAAAGTCGCTTCTTCCTTCTGAGGAGGCTGCGGTCCTTCGGAGTGAGCAGGCCTCTGCTCAGGACTTTTTGTGACTCTGTGGTAGCCTCTGCCATACACTACGCTGCCGTGTGCTGGGCCCCGGGCAGCACAGAGCGGGACAGGAGCAGACTGAACAAGCTGGTCAGGAGGGCCAACTCCACTCTGGGCTGCTCCCTGGACTCTGTGGAGGAGGTGAGGGACAGGAGGGTGCTAGTCAAAGTCACCTCCATCATGGACAACACGTCCATAATAACCCAAAATAATAATGCTTAAGGTCAAAAACTGTGACCCCATTATTTAATATTAGTAAAGAACTGTTCATGGTTTACTTTACTATGTGTCATTGTATAATGAAGACACTAGTGGCTGCTCTCTTCCCCCTCTCTCCCCAGGAGCCTGGATCATTACGTCTGGTCTGCGTGAGGGCATCGGCCGCTGTGTGGGTGAGGCGGTGCGGGATCACGCCACCGCAGCCTCCTCCGTCACCACCAACAAAGTGGTGGCTCTGGGCATCGCGCCCTGGGGACTTGTTTACAACAGAGAACAACTTGTCAACCCTCAGGTTTCATATTTTTCACATTCTCAAATATTTGAGTTACTATATCTACTCGCAATAACGCAAATCTTCCTCATTGGAACATCTCTATTACTTTGGTTTTGTCACTTTTACCATCAAACTGTATTTCAACCATTTGGCCAATTACAAATTAAGTGGGTACATTTCTAACCTAAAATGTGTGTTATTAGTACTACTGTCACTTTACTGCACTGTTAAAAGTATTTTCTGTGTGTGCCCAGTGACTGGTTATAGACTCTCTTCCCGACCTTTTATATCTTGTTGATTTTGGCGGCTCCTAATACTCTATACTTTGCATGTTTACTCAGGGCAGTTTTCCAGCCAAGTATTACGTCCGATGCTCGACACCGAACTCCTCTTGCCTGGACAACAACTACCAGGCCTTCCTGCTGGTGGATGATGGGAGTGTGGGACGTCCAGGAGGAGAAACAGGCTTCAGGGCAAAACTGGAAGACTACATCTCTCACCAGCGCACTGGAATCTGGGGTGAGTGTCACGACATGTACTGTACTTTGATAGTCACTTACAACAACTTCACACCAAGTTTAGGCCAAACTTTTATAGCCCCAGGGTTTGAAATCATTGAAATGTAGAATTTGACCAAATCTCAATGAATCTGTATTTGTAGAAGACATTTAAAACAGCCCAGGATTACCAAAGTGCAGCACAGACAAGTGAAAAAACACACAGAAACATGCATACAAATAAAAAAAATGTGTCTCTTGCTACCTGGTATTAAAGCCAAAGAGAAAAAGTGTCTTAAGCAAGGATTTAAAATACTTGAGTGATTGTCCAGTTCTAATTTGTAAAGGCATCACAGAAATATGACCAAAATAATTCAATTTGAGAGATGTGGTGCTTTGGTACAAATAATGCATTGTGTTTGTCCTAAAAAGAGTCTTGTGAAAGTGAAATCTCATTAGAAAAGATCCCTCTGAGTCCCTATTCGCTGCTTTGAGCTGAGAGTTACAATTTTGTAGTTTGAAAGTTGATCACAGCTGCATGACACGTTGATTAACCAATATGTCACAATTGAATTACATTTATTTTTGTTTAGCCCTAAATCACAACTCTGAGGACTTCACAAAGCTGACGATTCGCAAACACAGATCAGAGAATCAACAATCAAGCACAATAAATGCAATGATAAAAAACACATTGAACAACTCTTATGACGTCAGCGTAATATTATGGATAATCACTGCAAAAATGGATAAACTTTGAGGTAATAATAGCTTGAATCTAGTGGTTTTTCTCTTAATTTGAGTTCATTCTGACTTAAAACAATATTTACCAGTGGCACAAGTTATTGGGCCTCATTCACAAACCGTTCTTAAGAACAAATTAGTACGTAAATCCTACTTCCGAGGATTTTTTATATTTCGACTTTAAAGTCAGCATTTTATGACTTTAATGTCAGTCTGGCAAAAAAATAAAAAAGGGTGACTCTTTGGCTCCGTCGTAACCAATAGATCCATGGTCGTAACTTTGCTTAATGTTGCTGTTTCCTCTGTCTGCACATGGCCCTGCAGTCTCTTTTATGGGCATTAATGGGCGGTTACCAATGCTAAGTACCTATGCTAATGAATCACCTGGCACACTCGCTCTACTTACGAGGAGTTGGCATTCATCAATCTAAGAGAACGGCTGCAAACAATTCAGCAGCTTACGAGCGCGTTGATGAATCCCACGTAGGGTCTTCTTAGAAATCTACTTAAGAACGACTTGAGGAGAAATTTAAGAAGATTCTTAAGAAGATATTTGTGAATGAGGCCCAATGATTATTATTTCAATGGTTGCTTTATTTTCTCATTCCAAGGGAGAGATTTCTTGTGTCTTTTTAAAACAAGACCATTTTGCTTTGTCCCGTTGGTATATCTTGTTCTAAGGCAGTCATGATGTGCCCAAATTAATTTTTAAAACAGGTTTTGCAGTGATGTGTCCAAATTAATGAACACCCTCAAACTTGTGGTGCAATACAAATGCCACCGACGAGCTGTGTCTTGATTTAGCCAAACCTGAGAATACCCTTATCTTGATTAAACTTCTATCTTGTAAAAATATCTCATTTACATGTTGCCAGTTTATTTTCTCTCTGCTGATCCTCATGACCACCGAATGTAAACTGGCCCCCTGAAGCACTCGTCGTTCTCAAACTTATGAATACACATAAACATAGCTGCAGATGCGTCCTCTGGTGGTTGTGGATGGTAACCTCGACTAGCCCCAACATGTGAAAAGCAAGGTGTGATTCCAAAATGTTGAATCCTCATTATTTATATATTATTTTGTATTTGTAGGGAGTGGGAGCATTGATATTCCAGTTTTATGTATGCTGGTGTCGGGCGGGGCAAACATGCTGGAGGTACTGGTTTGTTATTCTCTGCTGATTTGATTCAACATTGTCAAACTAATCCTATTGAGACGTCTGTGGTTGGCAGAGAATCAATCAGAGTCTGAAAAACTCCATGCCGTGGTTGGTGCTGGCCGGCTCTGGGGGTGTGGCGGACTTCCTGAGCGACGTGCTGGAGCACCTGTCCCCGGTGGTCCAGTCCTCTGATGGGGACAGCGACATTGGCCCCAGCGTGGATTTGAAGGAACGCATGACTGAGAGAGTGAAGAAGTTTTTTCCCCCCGAGGCCGATACAGACAAACTGGTGGAGCAGGTACAGTCTACAATGGATCTGGTCTGAGTACAAAAGCACAGAAATATCTTGGAACGTCTATAATTACACTGTACTGCACCTTTTACTTATTATTTAAATGTATTGGTACTTGTGTGGGAAAACGACAGATCTATTTAACGTAAGAACTCTCAGAACAGTCAATTTGACGGCTTTTAGTTTTGAAAGTATAATTACTTGGCTCATATAGACCACTTACTTAAAGGTACACTGTGTAGTTTTTACTCCTATCTATAGTTGAGATCACATATTGTTATTTACGGTACTACGGTGGCTTCGCAGGACAATATGTCGTCTTTGACAGTGGTCCCCAACTCCTGCTCAAACTCCTTTTTGTCCCTTATCAACCACTGTATTTCAAGATGGAGCATTGACATGTAGAGTCTTTCCGCTCTCGGACATTTATGAGTCAAATTCCAAGCCTATGACAACAATTTAAAAACATGGTGGAGATTAATATTCTTATAAAGGTCACATTTGTCATTGGTTAACATGTTTTTTGCATTTGGAGCAACTGTAAAAATTACAGAGTACCTTTTAATGTTATGTAAATAATGTTTGTAAAGTAAATTGTTTGATGTACATATACTAGGCCCAAACCAAGTGGCTATAAAAGAGGACATTTAAAGTGATTGTCTGGAGTTTGTCAGAAAAAAGAGAGGTACATGATTTGAAAAAAAAACAACCCAAGCTCCTCCCCCTTCCTTTCTTATTGGTCTACGCCTACGTCTCCGTAGCAATCAATCAACACATTTAAATGTTAATCGGAGAACACATTATACATTATTAATACACATGCACTGAGGTTTTTAGAATTATTTGTTTTCATGACAAAAATAATGTTTTAATGCACTAAAAAAGCGATCGCGGTAAACCCGTAAGTAGCTATTAACATTCATTGAACATTATAGGACACATCTGCAGAGGATCTGATTATGGATATAGGTTCAGTATATAAATGATTATGGATATAGGTTCAGTATCCATCCATCCATCCATCCATTTTCTTCCGCTTTATCCGTTGCCGGGTCGCGGGGGCAGCAGTCTAAGCAGAGACGCCCAGACTTCCCTATCCACACACACTTCCTCCAGCTCGTCCGGGGGGACCCCAAGGCGTTCCCAGGCCAGCTGAGAGACATAGTCTCTCCAGCGTGTCCTGGGTCTTCCCCGGGGCCTCCTCCCGGTGGGACGTGCCCGGAACACCTCCCCAGGAAGGCGTCCAGGAGGCATCCTGAACAGATGCCCGAGCCACCTCAACTGGTTCCTCTCGACGTGGAGAAGCAGCGGCTCTACTCCGAGCTCCTCCCGTGTGACTGAGCTCCTCACCCTATCTCTAAGGGAGCGCCCAGCCACTCTGCGGAGGAAGCTCATTTCGACCGCTTGTATCCGCGATCTCGTTCTTTCGGTCATTACCCAAAGCTCATGACCATAGGTGAGGGAGGGAACGAAGATTGACCGGTAAATCGAGAGCTTCGCCTTTCGGCTCAGCTCCCTCTTCACCACAACGGTCCGATACAGCGACCGCATCACTGCGCACGCTGCACCGATCCGCCTGTCAATCTCACGCTCCATTCTTCCCTCACTCGTGAACAAGACCCCGAGATACTTGAACTCCTCCACTTGAGGAAGGACCTCTCCACCCACCTGCAGAGGGCAAGGCACCTTTTTCCGGTCGAGCATCATGGCCTCGGATTTGGAGGTGCTGATTCTCATCCCAGCCGCTTCGCACTCGGCTGCAAACCGTCCCAGTGCATGCTGCAGGTCCTGGTTCGTTGGAGCCAACAGGACGACATCATCCGCAAAAAGTAGAGATGAAATCCTGTGGTTCCCGGACCGGACCCCCTCCGGCCCCTGGCTGCGCCTAGAAATTCTGTCCATAAATACAGTGAACAGAACCGGTGACAAAGTGCAGCCTTGGCGGAGGCCAACATGCACCGGGAACAGGTCTGACTTACTGCCGGCAATGCGAACACAGCTCTGGCTCCGGTCATACAGGGACCAGACGGCCCTCAGCAGAGGACCCCGGACCCCGTACTCCTGGAGGAGTACGGGGTCCGGGTCGAATCTCGGATTCAGGAGGAGCAGTGTGGTTTTCGTCCCGGTCGCGGAATAGGTTCAGTATATAAATGATTATGGATATAGGTTCAGTATATAAATGGGTAACTCAGCGTGGATGTTCAGAATTCTTTGTTCAGTTTTCATGTAGTTCCAGAGCCCAATAGAGGCTTGATTCGGAGGCTCCGTGAAAACAAACAACTGAGCATGACATGAAAATTACTTATTTTATATCAACATTTAAGGCCAGGAGGTCAATTTAATACAATTCTTACAATTTGTAATTCATTTAGAGTCATTCATTCCAGACTATCACTTTAATGACACTAAATCAGAATCATTTTTATTGCCACGTAAGTAACAAACAAAAGTTCCATCCATCCATCCATCCATTTTCTACCCTTTAATCCATTTCTGGGTCAGGGGGGTGGCAGTCAGAGATGCCACCCAAGTCTCATAGCACCAGCCCCTCACTGACCCTCTGCAGGTGGTGAGTCCACAGGAGAACGGCTGCTCTCTGAGTGTGAGCATAGCCTTGATCTTTTAGCGGGGGATTTGGGCAAAGTGGGGTTAAGTGTCTTGCCCAAGGACACAACGGCAGCAGTCATCAGTGGGAGTCGGTGGAGAAGGTGTGGAGGTGGGAAGGCCAGTGCTCTACCAACTGAGCTACTGTCGCCCCAAACAAAAGTTACCACTTGGAAATTGTTTTGGCAGAGAGCGTGCCACTTTGCCATTTGCGGCGCTGTGTGCAAGCAAGAGACAGCAGAGAGCAATAACACACAGACAATTGGATAGACACAGTGTGCTTTGTGTAAAACACGGAATTTTTCTTGGGATGAGCACCTCCGGCCGCCTGCCCAATGTGGCTGCCAGAGGGGGGCAGGGTCAGGGAGGGGGTAATCCGGAAAGACAGTAAGGAGTGAGAGGGAGGGAGGGAGGGAGGGATAGGAGAAGGGGGGGGGGGGGGGATCCGTAGCTGGACGGCAAGTGAGGGATGTGAGAGAGACCTGGTTATCTTTGGCCTTGGCCAGTAGGAATGTGAGATAGTAGAGAGAGGCCACAGATAGGGGAAAACAATGCATTTGTACATTGACATAAGGAAAACAACTCATTGCCTGCCAGCCTATTTCAGAACAGGTACTCCCATATTGCCAGCAGTTTCTGATGATTTTTATTGATTTTTCAAGACCCACGGAATATTGTGTACTATGACTATCTGAAATACAAAACCAGATTCTGAAAGAATGGAATTGTGTACTTTCATCTGAAAAAAAGAATTTTGTTTCAAGCTTGTTTCGTTCCCCTGTAATTCCCAGTCGAGGTAGAGGGAAGTTTTACTCAAATCACCAGTCTCTGACAAAAAGCTGATTAATCAGAATCAGAATCATTTTTATTGCCACGTAAGTAACAGGAAGTCACAGACTTGGAAATTGCTTTGGCTCAGTGCAACAGTCAGAGATAATAAAAATAAAGAATAAAAAGCACTTCTAAGGAATACATTTAAATTTAAAATGGAGTTACAGTTACTATTTGATTAAAAAGTTTTGTTGTTTTCATAACATACAGAGGCAGCGCTGGTGCCACCTGCTGGCTCGATAAAATATACTCACCCCCTTGGATTTTTTGTTACATTACAGCCTTTAGTTCAATGTTTTTTTTAAGCTGAAGTTCATGTGATGGATCAGAAAACAATAAGTTGGTGAAGTGAATTGAGAAAACTGGAAATTGGCATGTGCATATGTATTTACCCCCTTTGTTAAGAAGCCCATAAAAAAGCTCTGGTGACTTGCCTTCAGAAGTCACAAAATTAGTGAAATGATGTCCACTTGTGTGCAATCTAAGTGTCACATGATCTGTCAGTACATACAGTGCCTTGCAAAAGTATTCGGTCCCCTTGAACCTTTCAACATTTCGCCACATTTCAGGCTTCAAACATAAAGATATACAAATTATTTTTTTTGTCAAGAATCAACAACAAGTGGGACACAATCGTGAAGTGGAACAAAATGTATTGGATGATTTAAGCTTTAACAAAAAACAAAAACTGAAAAGTGGGGCGTGCAATATTATTCGGCCCCCTTGCGCTAATACTTTGTAGCGCCACGTTTTGCTGCAATTACAGCTGCAAGTCGCTTGGGGTATGTCTCTATCAGTTTTGCACATCGAGAGACTGGAATTCTTGCCCATTCTTCCTTGCAAAACAGCTCGAGCTCAGTGAGGTTGGATGGAGAGCGTTTGTGAACAGCAGTCTTCAGCTCTTTCCACAGATTCTCGATTGGATTCAGGTCTGGACTTTGACTTGGCCATTCTAACACCTGGATACGTCTATTTGTGAACCATTCCATTGTAGATTTGGCTTTATGTTTTGGATCATTGTCCTGTTGGAAGATAAATCTCCGTCCCAGTCTCAGGTCTTTTGCAGACTCCAACAGGTTTTCTTCCAGAATGGTCCTGTATTTGTCTCCATCCATCTTCCCATCAATTTTAGCCATCTTCCCTGTCCCTGCTGAAGAAAAGCAGGCCCAAAGCATGATGCTGCCACCACCATGTTTGACAGTGGGGATGGTGTGTTCAGGGTGATGAGCTGTGTTGCTTTTACGCCAAACATATCGTTTCGCATTGTGGCCAAAAAGTTTGATTTTGGTTTAATCTGACCAGAGCACCTTCTTCCACATGTTTGGTGTGTCTCCACGGTGGCTTGTGGCAAACTTTAAACGAGACTTTTTATGGATATCTTTGAGAAATGGCTTTCTTCTTGCCACTCTTCCATAAAGGCCAGATTTGTGCAGTGCACGACTGATTGTTGTCCTATGGACAGACTCTCCCACCTCAGCTGTAGTTATCTGCAGTTCATCCAGAGTGATCATGGGCCTCTTGACTGCATCTCTGATCAGTGTTCTCCTTGTTTGAGATGAAAGTTTGGAGGGACGGCCGGGTCTTGGTAGATTTGCAGTGGTCTGATACTCCTTCCATTTCAATATAATTGCTTGCACAGTGCTCCTTGAGATGTTTAAAGCTTGGGAAATCTTTTTGTATCCAAATCTTTAAACTTCTCCACAACAGTATCTCGGACCTGCCTGGTGTGTTCCTTTGTCTTCATGGTTCTCTTTGCGCTTTAAACAGAACCCTGAGACTATCAAAGAGCAGGTGCATTTATACGGAGACTTGATTACACACAGGTGCATTCTATTTATCATCATCAGTCATTTAGGACAACATTGGATCATTCAAAGATCCTCACTGAACTTTTGGAGTGAGTTTGCTGCACTGAAAGTAAAGGGGCCGAATAATATTGCACGCCCCACTTTTCAGTTTTTTATTTGTTTAAAAAAGTTTAAATTATCGAATAAATGTTGTTCCACTTCACGATTGTGTCCCACTTGTTGTTGATTTATGACAAAAAATTAAAATTTTATCTTTATGTTTGAAGCCTGAAATGTGGCGAAATGTTGAAAGGTTCAAGGGGGCCGAGTACTTTCACAAGGCACTGTACACACACCTTTTTTGAAAGGCCTCAGAGGCTGCAACACCTAAGCAAGAGGCACCACTAACCAAACACTGCCATGAAGACCAAGGAACTCTCCAAACAAGTACAGTGTTGTTGAAGTACAAGTCAGGGTTAGGTTATAAAAAAATATCCAAATCTTTTATGATCCCCAGGGGCACCATCAAAGCTATCATAACCAAATGGAAAGAACATGGCACAACAGCAAACCTACCAAGAGACGGCCGCCCACTAAAACTCACGAACCGGGCAAGGAGGGCATTAATCAGAGAGGCAGTCCATAGAGTTGGACTTTATGGCAGAGTGGCCAGAAGAAAGCCATTACTTTCAGCAAAAAACGTTTTGCGTGAATGGCACGTTTTGAGTTTGCAAAAAGGCATGTGGGAGACTCCCAAAATGTATGGACGAAGGTGCTCTGGTCTGATGAGACTAAAATTGAACTTTTCGGCCATCAAGGAAAACGCTATGGCGCAAACCCAACACATCACATCACCCAAAGAACACCATCCCCACAGTGAAACATGGTGGTGGCAGCATCATGCTGTGGAGATGTTTTTCAGCAGCCAGGACTGGGAAACTGGTCAGAGTTGAGGGAAAGATGGATGGTGCTAAATACAGGGATATTCTTGAGCAAAACCTGTACCACTTTGCGCATAATTTGAGGCTAGGACGGAGGTTCACCTTCCAGCAGGACAATGACCCCAAACACACTGCTAAAGCAACACTTCAGTGGTTTAGGGGAAACATGTAAATGTGTTGGAATGGCCTAGTCAAAGCCCAGACCTCAATCCAATAGAAAATCTGTGGTCAGACTTGAAGATTGCTGTTCACAAGCGCAAACCATCCAACTTGAAGGCGCTGGAGCAGTTTTGCAAGGGGGAATGGGCAAACATCCCAGTGGTAAGATGTTGCAAGCTCATAGACTTTATCCAAAGTATTGACTTTAAGGGGGTGAATAGTTATGCACATTGACCTTTCCTGTTATTTTGTCCTATTTGTTGTTTGCTTCACAATAAAAAAAAAGACAACATCTTCAAAGTTGTGGGCATGTTCTGTTAATTAACTGATGCAAACCCTCAAACAATCCATGTTAATTCCAGGTTGTGAGGCAACAAAACACACAAAATGCCAAGGGGGTTGAATACTTTTGCAAGGCACTGTAGATATAATAGACATCAGGGAACATGAAAGTAGTGAAAAATGCAATTGACGTCTTATTTATTTGTTTGAGAAAGGGCGAACAATACATATTAATGAACATTTTCACAAATTTAAATACAGTATGCCAGAATATAGCCTTAGGCTAATTTCCATCTGCAGACCCCCTGGCAGGTTGGTGTTACACACAAGTTAGTAAAAACAAACACACTATTTATATACAGAGACTGGGACAGGAACAGTTATCGCATCATGTTAGAACAAGCAGCAAGAGTAGACAGTAAGCACAATGTAGAAAACAGTAACAGAAACACATAATCTGTATTGCACAAACCCGAGTATTGCACATGCCCTGACTGTCCTGATATTACACTGACCCATACTGCACTATTCTTAATGCGTCAATGGCACACAATGAGTTAAATTAGACACATGATTAAGTATTGCATTTGATTTGGACTCTTTGTTTGTGCACAGGCATTAAACATCTATAATAACAGAGGGTTCATTACTATATACCACGGAGAACAAGAAGGTCCAAACGATTTTGACACCGTGCTGCTCAAAGCTTTGGTTGGAGGTGAGAATTGTATTGTATTTCATTTCATTATTAATTATTTTGATCTAACGTGTGATGTATGTGTGCAGCAAGTAAACAGCGAGAGTCTGTGGATGACAGTCCTATCGAGGAGCTGAAGTTGGCAGTCACATGGAACAGGGTCGACATTGCCAAGAGTGAACTCTTCAATGGAGACATTCAGTGGAAGGTACTGAGCCCATGGATCTATAATAATAACTGGATAGGGTATTACTAGCTTATAGCTGTCCCACCTACGGGCACATGGGGCGCCCGTGGTACTGCAGACTAAATTCACAAGGGCTACCCAGAAAAAAAGTCCTATAGAACTCAATGTACATTATAACAGCTCGACCTCAGCTGACAAAGAACCTACAGCTTTCATAAAGATCAAATTTTGTGGGGATTTTAATGTCCCTTCTCATCCTGAACTTTTTTTCTTCTTAAATCCTTCGGTTTTCTTTAAATCCACACTTTACTGCCACAAACTCTGCTCCTTGCCTTCCCGCTCTGGCTCCACTCTGGCTCCGCTGCTCTGATTAGTCAGAGCGCGGCCGAGCCCCTCTGTGCACGTGCATGAAAGCCACACACGCGTATTTGGTGCAACGCATCATGGGAGCTCGTCCACTGCGCAGAACCGGGAGGACCAGACGATGCCCAAATACAGGCGAGTTCAGCTAATCTCCCGGTCTCCATGAAGTCCCATGCACTACTGAGCACAAGCCATTCATTTGAATAGGGTGCCATCTTGGATCACCGGGGCTTGACTGAGCCCTGTCTTCTTTATTATGCTAATGTTAGCGATTACTCTACTATAGATACTTCTGCATAATAAGGAAATCTCCAACTTTAGCATAGAAGTATAAAATCTTTAACTTTAGCATAATAAAGAAGTGTAAAATCTGCCCCGTTAGTGGTTTTTTAGTGGTCTTGGGTCTCGTTATTCTTGTTGTATGCTCCTCATTTCCACTGCTCTGTAACCGGTGATGCAACACTAATATTTACCCACTGTGGGACTAATAAAAAATCTCTTAATCTTTTTTGGGTTTTTTTTGCTTTTAGTACAAAGACCTGAAGGAATCTATGACCGATGCCCTAATCAACAACAAGCCCAAGTTTGTCCGCCTCTTCACTGAGAACGGTTTGAGTATCCTGGATTATCTCACATACGATCGGCTGGAGACGCTGTACCGCTCCGTGGCAGAAGGCACTCTTCTGTATCAGTTGCTGCAGCGCCGCCTACAGGAGCGCCAAGGAACTACAGCCAATGCTCCAGTAGCTTCAAACGCTCCCTCATCTCCCACTTTCGGCACCGAGAAACGCCCCACTGGTCCGGAACTGGACATTACTCTCTTTGAGGTAACGGTGACATGTTTATATAAGACTGTAAACTCGACACTTCTTCTAAACTAATGTTGTTTAGGTTTCAGGCGTGATAGAACTGTTGATGGGAGATGTATGCCAACCATTTTACTTTGAAGCTGTGGGTTTAGAGCAAAACGCATCCAGACGGCAATCACTGAAGGTAAACCCTGTAGAAAGTGACTTTGTACAAATGACATCTTTTTTAAATAAAGGTTTATAGGAGGATTTTCCCAAATGTTAGGAAAGAACTGCCCTCTCCACTTTTCCTTTTTTTTTTTTTTTTTTTATTATTTATGCATTTTCAATATGACAATTCACATATTATGTGTGTACCAGACACAGAATGACATGCCTTTTTTCTTTCAAACATAAAAAAAAAAAAAAAAGATTGACTGAAAAAAGTTTATTATAATAATAATAATAATAATAATAATTAAAAAAAAAACTGTAAATATCAAGGTAAAATTAGAGTTACAGGTTTTATTATACATATATCAAGGTATGCCAACCATTTTCATATCTTCCATGTATTTTAGGAATGGCCGCCACGTTCGTTCAAATTTGGCAATTGAGCCAGAAAGTGTATACCTCGTTTTTTCTATATGTAGAAAGTGCATAAGATCAGCGATCCAATGGGAATGTGTAGGAGAGGACTCGTCTTTCCATTTAAAAAGAATAAGTCGTTGTGCCATCAGAGATGCAAAGGCCACAGCACGTAAGGAGTTGGCCCTCTCCACTTTTTGAACAAAACTCTCTGGTCTTATTGGACGAGCATGTGTCACCAGAATGATTGACAATTGGAAGTACCAATAGTCTTGATGATCCACCTTGAAGTAGAAAATCCTCCAATACCTTTTAAGTCAGAGTGCCTTGGACCGTTTCCTCTTTATTTTCCCACGGATCCTCAGAAAGCACCTGGTCTTTTATGCACTCACTCTTCTTGTGTTTTTATTTTTGTACAAATGTCTTGAATGTTTTTGCTCCTGCCTTCAGCGCGTGAGCAAGATTCTGGCTGGAGAGTGTTTGTATCGTGCAAAACGCTGCTTGGCTCCATGGGCTTCTCTCTTCATCTGGGCCGTGCTGCAGAATCGTCACGAGATGGCCACGTTGTTCTGGGAGCTGGTCAATATTTCTAATAAAGGATTCAGGATTTTCAGGTTACATTTCTAACATTCGTTAACGGACTTCATTTGTGTGACTTCCAGGCTGGAGAGTCTGTGCTCAGTGCTCTCAGCGGCTGTAAGATTTTGAGAGAATTGTCGAAACTGGAGACTGAAACTGAAACTAAACAATCTATGAAAGAACTTGCACAGAAGTTTGAAAACCTTGCACATGGTAATGATGATGATGCTCTCTGTTTTATCCAATGTAAAGCTATTTTCATCCATGACTTTTTCCACAGACGTCTTCAGCTCCTGTTACCGCAGCAGTGAGAGCCGCTCGTTTACTCTCCTCATTAGAAAATCTTCGGTTTGGGGCGGGGCCACCTGTCTGCAGATGGCCATGGGTGCGGATGCCCGGCTTTTCTTTAGCCACGACGGAGTGCAGGTTAATCCTACAAACCAAACATGCATTTTTATTTATCTATCGTGCTGCTGGTAAGTATCTGTGACTTGATTAATTTATCTTGTCACACATATAACAAAAATAAGACTAGTTTCATACAACTGTACAGACCTTTATCTCTTTAAAAATTTGACTGTCTCATACCTCATGAAGCAGACTACACATTGGGTTTGCACTGCTCTCTAGTGGTACATTTAATTGTTTAAAGAGATCCTTTATACTCCCTCAGTGGGGACATTTCAGTGTTGCATCAGAACAGTAGAAATGAGGAGCACGCAGCACAAGATAACTGAACAATAACTCTATACTGAAATGAAATAAAATCTCTTTAACATGATAAAGTAAAGTATAAAATCTCTAACTTTAGTAGAAAGTCTTACTGTTTGTTTAGTTTTTATGACCATTAGACATGTTGATTAACTCTAAGGATAGATTTAGAGTGAGACCAGCTGGAAATGCATTAGGAAAATGACACTAAGGAGTCGTCTTGTCAGCTGGAAGGAGTCGATATAATACAGAACAGACCAAAAGATAGGACACACTTTCTAATTCAATGAGTGTCCTTTCTTTTCATGACTATTGACTGTAGATTCACACCCAGGCTGTGTAAGGGCTGTTTTACCAATAAGGAGAGTGACCTGGCCTCCACAGTCACTGGACCTGAACCCAGTCCAAATGGTTCTGGGGTGAGCGGGACCACAGAGTGAAGGCGAAAGGGCCAACAAGTGTCAAGCATCTCTGTGAACTCCTTCAAGACTGTTGAAGACCATTTCAGGTCACTACTTCTTGAAGCTCATCAAGAGAATGCCAAGAGTGTGGGAAGCAATAATCAGAGCAAAAGGTGCTACTTTGAAAATATGTCTTATATGCTAGGTCCTTCAGTTGTTTCATACTTTTTTTTTTTTTACGTACATAATTCTACATGAGTTCATTCATAGTTTTGATGCCTTCAGTGTGAATCTATATTTTTTAATAATCATGAAAATAAAAAACTCTTTGGATGAGAAGGTGTGTCCAAACTTTTGGTCTGTACTGTATCTGCAGGTTGTGTTAAGTGTTGGACATTTAACACTTTTTGCCCGTGTGTTTGTCAGTCGCTGCTGTCTCAGATCTGGTGGGGCGACATGATGCGGGACACGCCGGTGTGGAAGCTGCTGCTCACGTTCTTCTGCCCCGTGCTCTGCTACACCAAGCTCATCTCCTTCAGGTGACATCTCTCATGTCTCTGTGAAAATGAACGCGTTACTTTAAGTCGTTTGTTACAGAGACCACGACGAGCAACAACAAGAGGACGATAAAAACCTACAAGAGGATTGTCCTTATCGAGATAACGAAAGCCTCTACGGCGCCACAGTCTTTTCCTTCTCTGACATCAAACACATGTGAGTGGAACCTCTCCTGGTACACACCATGTGTCTGAATCGCTATAGGAGGTTTTGTGAGTGGTTTTTGTATTTGTAAAGCACAATTCATCATCATAGGAACTCAAAGTGATTTAATAAAATAATCACAGTACATTAAAAAAGGTGAAGATAAAATCCTTCAGTTTGTTCAAATCCAGGTTAAATCTGTTCCAGATTTGAGCTGAATGAATCTGAAATGTTGTGTCCTCATGTTTAGTCCTGACTCTGGGCACCATCAGGAGGCCAGTCTCTGTACTCCAGCTGCAGCTTTCTGAATATACTGCAACTATTTTAAGCCTGATTTGAAGAGACCAGTGAGCAGCTGTCTAAGCAGGAGTCTAAGCTACTGGAGACAAATGCAGGATAAGAATCTCCTGATTCTGATTTAGACGCTACATACATGTATTTTTGATTCTGGCAATGTTTTTCAGATGGTTAAAAGCTTTTTATGTGGCTGTTCAAATTCAGTCCATTATGTCTGAGTATTAAGATCTGTATTATTAAGAACTAACCAGACCACAGTGAACATGTTATTTCTTTATTAGTGATGCTGATTCCCAAGACCCAGTCCCTCTCAGAAACATTATTAAAGGTATGTGTTTCCATGAATTAAAAATGTAATTGCTCAAGGAAAGAACGCAGTGTATGTTTGTCCTCCTCTTGTTCTCAGGGACTCCTCATCGCTACAGACCCCCAAAGAGGCCCTTCCTGGTGTCGCGGTGGCGTCAGTTCTGGTTTGCACCCGTCACTTCATTTTTGGGCAATGTGCTGATGTACTTCCTGTTCCTGCTGCTTTACGCCTACGTGCTACTGGTGGATTTCAAGCACCCGCCTCCTGCTGGTCCTGCCATCACTGAGTATGTCCTGTACTTCTGGGTCTTCACCATGGTGTGTGAGGAGATCAGAGAGGTGAGAGGCCAAAGCATGTTCTCTGCTGTATTTTAGGGCAATGGTTCAAATGTGGGGGTTGCATTAATTAAACCAGGAGTCACAAGAAGAAGTCAATTTCTGTATTAATAAACACTATACTTAGGATCAATGTAGGTCACAATGCATGGCTCTAACAGGAGAGATTATTTTATTGTTGTCAAGAGATGAGTCCAATGAGGGTGGAGTCGTCAGTAGTTGGTGTACAAGGAGAAGAGCATGGGAGAAGAAACACAGCCCTGAGGAGCTCTGTCTGACGGACCGAACAAAGTGCCAAACCCTGAGGACCGAGGCCTCTGAACCTTGAGGACCGAGCCTTCTGAACCTTGAGGACCGAGCCTTCTGAACCTTGAGGACCGAGCCTTCTGAACCTTGAGGACCGGGCCTTCTGAACCTTGGGGGCAGAGCCTTTGCTGCTGCTGCTCCTTGAATGCTCTCCCACAACACATCAGGAACTCTTAATCACTTCAGGAAATCAAATGACTGCTAAAAACCCACCTGTTCAAATCTAGCACTCAGTGAAAGGCACCACTCACTGCTGACCAAGTTGCGACGGAGGAAATTCATTTCCTTTGAGCAAAATGGCAGGGCTTACGGATCCTCTACATACAGTGCCTTGCGAAAGTATTCAGCCCTGTTGTGGAATTTCATACCCCAATAAAGGAAAAAGCTGGAAAGGTATTTGTCTTAAATCAAAGATGTAAACACATTTATTTTACACATATATATGCGGAGAGCCGACATACAGTCTTGCATCGTGAGCTCTGCCGGGGCACAGCTACTGTACCAATACATATACTCAGGAGGCGCACAGCAGGGCCCCAAAACCGTGACGTCACATGGGCTGAGATTATCATGCAAACATCACCTTTCGTTTTAGCGCAAGACACAGGAAGGCCTTTGTCTTAGATGTGAAAGGAGCAGACAGCAGAGGCCTTTGCAAACTCAGCATGGCGTCAGACGACCGTCTCTGCATTGATTAAAGGCCCAGTCGTCCGTGTATTTGCTGCGACTGGTTCTAATTTAATTACTCTAAAAACTGTCATTACAGCCCCCTTGAACCTTTCAACATTTCGCCACATTTCAGGCTTCAAACATAAAGATAGAACATTTTAATTTTTTGTCATGAATCAACAACAAGTGTGACACAATCGTGAAGTGGAACAACATTTATTCAATAATTTAAACTTTTTTAACAAATAAAAAACTGAAAAGTGGGGCGTGCAATATAATTCGGCCCCCTTTACTTTCAGTGCAGCAAACTCAGTCCAGAAGTTCAGTGAGGATCTTTGAATGATCCAACGTTGTCCTAAATGACTGATGATGATAAATAGAATGCACCTGTGTGTAATCAAGTCTTTGTATAAATGCACCTGCTCTTTGATAGTCTCAGGGTTCTGTTTAAAGCGCAGAGAGAACCATGAAGACAAAGGAACACATCAGGCAGGTCCGAGATACTGTTGTGGAGAAGTTTAAAGCCGGATTTGGATACAAAAAGATTTCCCAAGCTTTAAACATCCCAAGGAGCACTGTGCAAGCAATTATATTGAAATGGAAGGAGTATCAGACCACTGCAAATCTACCAAGACCCGGCCGTCCCTCCAAACTTTCATCTCAAACAAGGAGAAGACTGATCAGAGATGCAGCCAAGAGGCCCATGATCACTCTGGATGAACTGCAGATAACTACAGCTGAGGTGGGAGAGTCTGTCCATAGGACAACAATCAGTCGTGCACTGCACAAATCTGGCCTTTATGGAAGAGTGGCAAGAAGAAAGCCATTTCTCAAAGATATCCATAAAAAGTCTTGTTTAAAGTTTGCCACAAGCCACCTGGGAGACACACCAAACATGTGAAAAAAGGTGCTCTGGTCAGATTAAACCAAAATCGAACTTTTTGGCCACAATGCAAAACGATATGTTTGGCATAAAAGCAACACAGCTCATCACCCTGAACACACCATCCCCACTGTCAAACATGGTGGTGGCAGCATCATGCTTTGGGCCTGCTTTTCTTCAGCAGGGACAGGGAAGATGGCTAAAATTGATGGGAAGATGGATGGAGCCAAATACAGGACCATTCTGGAAGAAAACCTGTTGGAGTCTGCAAAAGACCTGAGACTGGGCCGGAGATTTATTTTCCAACAGGACAATGATCCAAAACATAAAGCCAAATCTACAATGGAATGGTTCACAAATAGACGTATCCAGGTGTTAGAATGGCCAAGTCAAAGTCCAGACCTGAATCCAAACGAGAATCTGTGGAAAGAGCTGAAGACTGCTGTTCACAAACGCTCTCCATCCAACCTCACTGAGCTCGAGCTGTTTTGCAAGGAAGAATGGGCAAGAATTCCAGTCTCTCGATGTGCAAAACTGATAGAGACATACCCCAAGCGACTTGCAGCTGTAATTGCAGCAAAAGGTGGCGCTACAAAGTATTAGCGCAAGGGGGCCGAATAATATTGCACGCCCCACTTTTCAGTTTTTTATTTGTTAAAAAAGTTTAAATTATCCAATAAATTTTGTTCCACTTCACGATTGTGTCCCACTTGTTGTTAATTCATGACAAAAAATTAAAATTTTATATCTTTAAGTTTGAAGCCTGAAATGTGGCAAAATGTTGAAAGGTTCAAGGGGGCCAAATACTTTCGCAAGGCACTGTAACACGGATTCAGAAAAGTAATTTGGGAAAGGAAAAGGAAAAAGGTAAAAACCTGGGGGCGGGGCCACGTGGCAGTGGTCAGAGGAGTGAAGGGAGAACAATGGTCTCTCTGGTCGTGGACCTTCTCATTTTGGGAGTACTTGTATGAAAAGTTTAGAAGCCCTTTTACTTTTGTACCTAAATATTAAATGATTAATTATTTTTCCAGACTTTCTTTGGGGGAGCTGTGTTGACACAAAGGCTCAGAGTGTACATTCAGGATGTGTGGAACAAATGTGACCTCACTGCTATCACTCTGTTCATCATTGGGCTCATCTGCAGGTACAGGACCACACAGCCATTCCACGTTTGACCACAAGAGGGAGCCACTGCTTTTCATTTGTCTGTGTTGTAGGATGTTTCCCTTGACTTACGGCTTCGGGCGCGACGTCCTTTGTATCAACTACATGGTATTCACCCTGCGGCTCATTCACATCTTCGCGGTTCACAAGCAGCTTGGACCAAAAATCATCATAGTCGGAAAAATGGTACGAACCGCAACATGTGTCTAAAGATGCAGGTGTGTGAACTCTCTTCTCTTCTTCTACAGATGAAAGATGTCTTCTTCTTCCTCTTCTTCCTCGGCGTGTGGCTCGTGGCGTACGGCGTTGCCAACCAGGCTTTGATCTACGACTACGACCCGCGCCTGGACCGCATCTTTCGCAGAGTTTTTTACAGACCGTATTTGCACATTTTTGGACAGATCCCGGTGGAGGAGATGGACGGTGAGGCTCTAGTTTAGTAGTTTAGGCTCTCTTATGGATGGCAGTGATTTAAAGCTGCACTAACTCACTTTGTGAATTTTTTGAATGTGACCGCTGGCCTCGCTCTTTCTGCTCCCCCTACCCGCTCTCACGGAGCTCACGTCAGTAAATGGTGACAAAGACACGGGAAGTTTCAGGTTAGCCTCCGCCGCGTGTTTACCTCAGCTGTCTGTGCTAACGAGAGACCTGTATATTTTCTCAAGAAAGTGGGGGCCAGTGGTCCGCTGTGATTGGTCACAATCTGGTCCCGAAACAAATTCTCTTCCCTGCTGCACAAAAACTCTATCTAAAATAAAATGACACGCCAGCACAAACCTGCACTGTTTATTCTTCAAAAGGACATGTATCCCAATGCACTGCATGGATATGGATTGAATTTTTGTAAGGAATACAAAAATAAAGTGAGGTAATGCCGCTTTAACCATGTATAGTGGCTGTAACTGGATGTGAAAGCCAGATCCTGTCAGACCTCTGAAACTAAGCAGGGCAGGGCCTGGTTAGTACTGTGATGAGAGACCTCTGGGAACACCATGTGCTACAGTGGGGCAGCTGTAAAGTGCTAAACTGTTGTGTCCTTCGGCAAGACACTTCACCCACATTATAATGAGTGTGTATGTATGAATAGTTTGTGGTGGTGGGAGGGGCCGATGGCACAGACTGGTTGAATCGCTTCTGTCAGTGTGCCCCCGTGCAGGTATTATTATTATAGCTTAATGTTCTGCCTTTCTCAGTCTTCGCCAAAGTCTGGGACATACCGTGCACAGATAACGTGACCCTGATAAATGACGGAGCAGAGCCGTGTCGGGTCCTCCACAGTAACTGGCTGGTGGTCATTTTACTGGTGGTGTATCTGTTGGTGACTAACATCCTGCTCATCAATCTGCTGATCGCCATGTTCAGGTGAAAAGAATTGTAAATGATTTCTAATTATTATCAGTTCTGTTTTTACATTGATTGAGTTTGTTCTGACAGTTACACC